TCGGTCTGTAAGCGGCACGTAGGGCAACCCGATCGGGCAGGGAAACTGATTTTTGTATGTTTGGGGCAGTTCTTATAATTCCTAAACGGTCTTCAAGCGGCACGTAAGGCATAAACTTTCTTTCTGAATAGGTACTATCGGTCTGTAAGCGGCACGTAGGGCAACCCGATCGGGCAGGGAAACAGATTTTTGTTTGTTTGGGGCAGTTCTTATAATTCCTAAACGGTCTTCAAGCGGCACGTAAGGCATAAATTTTCTTTCTGAATAGTTACTATCGGTCTGTAAGCGGCACGTAGGGCAACCCGATCGGGCAGGTAAACAGATTTTTGTATGTTTGGGGCAGTTCTTATAATTTCTAAACGGTCTTCAAGCGGCACGTAAGGCATACACTTTCTTTCTGAATAGTTATATCGGTCTGTAAGCGGCACGTATGGCAACCCGATCGGGCAGGGAAACAGATTTTTGTTTGTTTGGGGCAGTTCTTATAATTCCTAAACGGTCTTCAAGCGGCACGTAAGGCATAAATTTTCTTTCTGAATAGTTACTCTCGGTCTGTAAGCGGCACGTAGGGCAACCCGATCGGGCAGGGAAACTGATTTTTTATGTTTGGGCAGTCCTTATACTTCTTAAACGGTCTTCAAGCGTCACGTAGGGAATAAACTTTCATTTTGAATAGTTGCTCTCGGTCTGTAAGCGGCACGTAGGGCAACCCGATCGGGCAGGGAAACAGATTTTTGTATGTTATGGCAGTTCTTGTAATTTTTAACGGTCTTCAAGCGGCACGTAGGGCATGAGCTGTCTTTCAGATAGATAATTGGTTTGTAAACGGCACGTAGGGCAATTTGATCGGATAGGGAAAGAAATTTTTTACACGTTTGTGCAGTTCTTATGATTGACGGTTTTTGGGTGGCTCCCTTTTGTAGTAAAGCTTCATATTTCTTTGGCGAAAAAATTGAAGGATTCTTTGACAAAGTTCTTAGACGACTGATTTCGTTGCTGTCGGAACTGATTCTGAGAGAAAAGTGTTTTTTGTAATACACATAATTCCCATGGTGTATTTCTACTTCCAAAACGATATGTTCTGCTACTTACTTAACGATCTTTTATGGAACTTGATGAGAAGAACTGAAAGAGCAAATTCTCTTTGAGAGGGTAGAAAAGTGGGAGGGGGGTTATCTGAATGTCTGTGTGAGGAGTGAATTTGCATAAAAAGCGTGTAAACGAGATAAAAATAATATCATGCATGGATCAGGAATTTCGAGAAATGAATGATTTGTGGAGATTATTGCTTCTTCGAGCAGTTTTCCTTTTGTAAAATGCTCTTCGCAAAAATGTTCTCAGCAACAGGAAATTTATTTAGAAATATTTTTAGTCAAACCTAAGCCCTATATGTATCTGCCCCGACCCACTTGCTAGCGACCCGTAGGGTCGCTAGTCAAAATAATAACAGTATTCTACCAAAAGTTCGTTTCTGCGTTCCGGCTCTTTCTGGCGCTTTCGGACTTTTTCGGGTTTTTTAAAGCTTTTTGAGTTTTTCGAGCTTTCTTGGGCTTTCTTGGGCTTTTTTGGGCCTTTCTCGGCGAAGTATGACGGGTCTCTGAGTCTAGATCGGTGCTCGATGTCTGCGAAACGACCTTTTGAAAAAAAGTCTTTTGTAATTTTGCATATTTTTGGGTAGGGGACTATATGTCGCCGAAAAAGGGCGGCCCCGCGGTCATTTGCGACAAATACGTGCCCTTCTATATGCGCGGACATGCGTTCCTGCAGGAAATCCGCGCGGGACTCTTCCACATTCGGCGACATATAGTCCTCCACCCCATATTTTTGGGTAGTTAGAGTAACCAGGTTTGTCCTAGGTTACCGTTTGAAGATGAAGAGAATCTTAGAAGAAACACTTTTGTATTTATACCTCAAAGCTTTTCATGACGAAGGCGGTCGTTTCAATGTGTGACGCGGCTGCGACCCGCGTGCTCGAACATCTATATTTATCATTGGAGTTCGTACGCTCGCGCACGCCTCGCGTGCACGGACGGCCGCCTTCGTCTTGGATCTATGCATCATTTGAGAAGGAAAGAAAATTTTCGCTGATGATTTTGACCCTCCGCAGTATCGCAGTGTATTCATGAGAAAATCATGACTCCATTCAGGCTAACGTTTCGCAGACCAGTATTCGAACCAGCATCAAAAGGCGTTTTTTATAATATAAGTCATTATGAATGGCCACGGTCACCAGGCCCATAGTAATCCCCTCAAAATTGTCGCAACGTAAAGAAAGCGAGGTTGTGACATGTCCGAGTGAAGTAAGTGCTGCTCATAAATTCACGACTCGCTTGATCACTGCCAAAGTAACGCACCCACCCGCCGATCCTACGCTTAGCGCTGATCGTGAGCAACGAGCGCGGCCAATGCGCTATAGATAGCTAGTTAGGCTTCACATATACCTGACGATAGAGGTATAGCGGGTGTTGGCGAGTCGTTGATGTCTGCGCTGCCTTTAGCTGCTCGTGGCTGCTGCTGGGTACGCTTTGGGTGCATGAACGAAGTAGCCTTAGCCGTTACTACCCTTAGCTTAGGCTATAATGAAAGTAAGTGTTGAGAACTACCAAAATTGAAAAATATTACATGAGATCCAAAAAAGTCATCCTGTTCTCATCAACAATTTTTTTTTAAAAAGGATAAAATGGTAGACCAAATGTTGCATCTACTAAGTAAATAATCGACAAATATCTAAGCGAGTGTCGCAGAAGAACTTGATGTGTGCTTGAGGACCGAACAATCTAGGTCACAGCTGCCGTTAATGTATCGCGGTGTACTGGTAACATCCCACTAAATCGTTAAAATCCTCTAGCTTTTCATCGTTACTCCAATTTGATTTCACTTTTGCTTCGCAAACGTTCTGTGCAGTTGCTCAGATCCAATTCTTTGTCGACTTTGTCAATTCTTTAACGAATTTCTTATGGACGCATTGCGTTTTGGTCCTGCAAATTTGTCATGATTCAGTATCGCAACAAGTGCTCTAGAAATCCTTCAGAAGTTCAAAAATATGTTAAAATGGACAAATCCGAGCAAAAACAGCGTTATCAGCATGAAGCAGCTGAGAGAAGCTCACCAAAAGTGAGCTTTATATCGCGTAGCAGCGAGGAGCAGCTACGAGCAGCTACGAGCAGCAAGCAGCAGCGCAGAGCAGTGCAGCACCGCTAGCTATACCGGGTCTGATTCGCATTGGCTGCAGCAGCTAGCAGCAGCAGCGTCGCCTGGCGTCAATCGATACGCACAAAAGGCGTTGCTGCTGGCAGTGTCTTATCGTCAGCTATAGCGACCCATCGTCAGGTATATCTCAAGCCTTAGAGGCAAGCACGTGGAAGACAAGAATGCAGAACGGAGCAGTTCTTGCTTGAAAAGGTAGATCAGTAGATGAAAAACCCATGTAGAACATGGAAGACAAGTTGTCTTCGCCTTGCGCACGTGTTGTTGTTCTAACTTTAAGTCAATCGTAATGCTTGCATCAAGGAAATTTCTGTGCTATTTTCAGAGCTATGCTTGCTTTTCCGCATGGGACGAGAAGAAGCGTCAACGTTCGCTACACTCGCCTTCATCCTCTCCAACTGATCCATCAAAACCACTAGCTGTTGGCGGGAAAGTTTCGGATGGAGGAGAAGCACGTCAAGGAAAACTGCCGACTGATCGCACCGCTTATGAAAGGCCGCTAAACTTAAACTGTTTCGTCGATTTGGAGAACAGCGTACAATTGTAACACACTTATTATTGTTAATATTCTTTCATCCTCAAACTATTTGCGTTTTACGGAAGGGCTTCTTCTCGCTTGGATGAAATTTTTGCGTTGTGTTTTGGAAACTGCCTTAGTGGGATCACTCTATTTTCACGTAAGAGTCCCATGCTTTGAAGGCAGTGGCTCGGCAAGTCTCATCCTAGTCAAATTTGCGCTTACCTGGGGTTATTCAATACGCTGATCCCGAAAATCCACTGTGAAAACGGCGAAAATAAGCGTTTTTTAATGCCATTCCCATTGTAATTGGACGAGTGGAACAAGGCCGATGGCGCTAAATCGTTGCAGGACCCAATTGTTATAGCGTTGCGGCGGGCAGCCTCCAATGGTGAGAAGGAATTTGCCAACTCGTCCAGATGCGCGTAAGATTGGCCTGCGCATGTACTCAGACAATCGCCGGGGGCAGGCGGGCACCGGAATACGCGTTGCTGAAATCTCGCATTCCGCTCGCAAATTCCAGGAGAATGGTCAGCGGTTTTTTGAAAGATCGCCTGTTGAGTCTTTTTTCGCTCTTATCTTTTGCACATATACTGCTGAATCTCTGAGAAATCGAGAACTCAGCACGCGGCGTTCCGAAAAATTCTGATTGCTTTCCAAAAAATCCGCGAGCGGGGTGCGAGAAATCAGCCATCTATTTTTCCGGTGCCCGCCTGCCCCCGGAGATTGTCTGAGTAAGTGTGGGAGCAATATTCTCGGCAGGGAAAGCATGCTGTGCAAGCGTTGTTGTTGCACTGTTTTCATACTTGGGCTTAGGGAACCTACCGCGTTAAAATCCTAAGTTGTTGGTGCCGATTCACTGCCTCTAAGATGTGCTACGTTGCCTTTACGTTGCCTTTGAAGAAGCATTTACAGACTAAAGATTTTTCAACAAAAAAAAGTCTCATAAACTTTCATAGTGCTGATTCATATCGCGCAATTGATTTGCCACTACTGATCACTATTCTTTCAATTTCACGAGCAACAAACTAGTAGAAGGACTTCTCGTTGTGCGGCGCTGTCTTGCGAAGTTCACTGATCGACCGCAAAGTGCGGCATGGTCATTCAGCGTTTCACGGCAACCGCGCTCTGCGGTCAAACGAGATTTCGCGATCGTGATTACAATTCTGTCATTGCATAAATTATTTTGCAGAACTGTTACTCTTTTGTTTTGAGCCATGTGATCATTCCGCTAACATTGTATTACAGTTTTTATTCCTGCAGAGTTATTCCGATACGTTGCATAGGTTTTCATAAATACAAAGGATTTATCCTAGTGCTTCTCTTTCTGAGAATGGCATCTCGTGGAGGTCAACGTGCTACTGGAACGGATGGAACTGATTTTCAACATAGACAACGAATTGCTGCTCATTATCAAGAGAGGTAACAACTTCTGGTTGTTTTACATTGCAATAGCAAACTTCGTGCAAATATCTTGCCATTGATTACTTGCAGTTACACCAAGATAGAATTCTTTTCAGTGCTCAATATAAATTTATCTTGAAATGGTTCTTTGTTCCACATTTTCTCATCCTCATCTTTATGTGGGCAAAGGTAATTTGCCTTTTTGATTTTAATTCTTGACATATGCCTTCTTTACTACCCTTGTGTATAAAATGGGATCATTCAGGTTGGAAGCGAAATTCTTAGGCGAGAATTTGGTTGGCGAAGTGCTTTCTTTGAGCGGCTGGATATGCCTTCCGCCTATCCTTGGGAATATGTATGGTGTTTGTCATTCATTCCAATCATATGTGCGATGTTATCATTCTCTAAAAATAGGGTAAGTTTCACACAAATATACTCTCCCAAGGAACTTCTGTATAACGATTATTTTAAAGGTCAAGCTGATCAACTATCATTACTATGGACACTTCCTGTTTGGAGTACTTCCATGTATGATCGGTCTCGGTGGTCAGCTACCAGAACTTTTCGATTATATGAGTGACCAAGAACATAGCAACACTCCTACATTCAAGGTAAATGGTACCGCTTTCACTAATCTGCTTCTGCGTCTAATGATTTTTCTAGGGAGTCTTCCCAATGGTCATCATCTGGTACATTTTCTTTGCCGTTGCACTCCAGATTCACGGTTTTGCCATGTACTTCTCATATCATCTTGCCGCCGCTTGGACGCCTGCTGTTAAACGAGATTAGATCGAACGCAGCCGAATAGATACGATTTCTCTCAAATTTTTACATAGAAAGTTGTAGTGGGTCTACTTAGATTTAACAGATTATTTATTGCTTCGTCTTATTACATTACGATTCATCTCATATGACTCCTCTAACAGCAGTTGTAGCTGTCTGCTGCATCTCTTTTTGCCTTCTGCAAAAAGAAGAAGTCAAACCCTCTGTTTTCTACCTAAAAGATATCCAAGAAGCACTGTGATATTCTCCTCGACAGGATTTGGCCTATAGCGCTGCAAGAAAGGTAGAACAATGTCATATACATGGTGAAATTCTTACACTAGAAAACCACAGAAAGAATTCTCGGAGTTTGCAGAGGCACTGTCGTAAGTTAGTTTGCATATTGAAATTATTAGTCATTGAAATTTCTCAGTCATTTTTTTTTGTTAACGAAAGCCTTCAATCAGGCTCAACCTCTTTCTTTTCTCTCCTTTTTTGCTTCACTTTCTTGTTATTTGTTACACCTATCACATTTGTTATTATATTTGGTGCAGATAGATACGATAAATCGTTATATCGATATTTCTACTTATGCGGATGAGTATGTCCTGTGTCCTCACATACATCGTTATTGCAAGATTGAGTTTCAGTAGTTCAAAATTTTTGCAACAGCCTCTATCTTTCAAGCATGTGGGGTTCTACTTTTGACGACCAGGACGAGGATGACAAGAGTGTGGCTGTTATGAAAAGGCAGTTTCTCCATGAGCCCGCTATAAGCAACTTCACATTTCCACAACCGCCGCTAGGAATTCAGGTACTGTGGCTTGACTCGTAATCTCATTAATTCGAGAATGCATTGCTTCGAACCGAGTGGTGAAATCTCAATTATTGGCTGTTTCAGGCTAAGGATTTTGTATCAGCTCATTTTGGAAAAGATGCAAAGAACATGCAGTTTCGGCGGGGAACGACAACACTTGCATTTGTTTATGAACCGGCGACCGCCAATGACCAGGGAGGTATCGTAGTAGCTGTGGATTCGCGAGCATCCTCCGGGGAGTACATCTGTAAGTGATCATTCACGCATTATGGTTGCTGGACCATGAGATGGCTTAAATGATGCAGCTTCGAAATCTGTGATGAAAATCCTGGACATCGGGGATCATATGGTTGCCACCATGGCCGGAGGAGCCGCTGACTGCCAATTCTGGACGAGGACTGTAGCAAAGTACTGCAAGTATGTGGCAGACAGATTGCTAACTACGATTCTCTAATGTCCCTTTTCAGCTTATTCGAGCTACGAGAGAAAACGCAGATAACCGTAGCCGCAGCTAGCAAGTACTTTGCTAACGTTCTTTACAACTACCGCGGTATGGGACTCTCTGTGGTGAGTCAAGGTGACCGGTGCCATGTTGTCGTCAGCTTGCTGCGCTGTGCAGATTGACTTAGTAGCTTACACCGCTGCTAATCTTCAGTTTATTTACCATGCTTATATATCTTATTTAGGGTTCCATGATTGCCGGATACGACAAGAGAGGGCCACAGATTTTCAAGGTTCGATTTTTCACCGTTTTTCCCACTGTTTTTCTCATACATCTTGTTGATTCCATCCCACTTATTCTTATTTCCTTTTTTGCCGACACACTTTTGGCACTATGGAAGCATAGAAGCTGTAAAGATGTTGAAACGGCTCCTATCCACTGTGATGCGTGGCTGGGTTTTCGAGAGAACCTAGAAAAAATCATAACCTTTGAGAGTTGAAAACGCTGATTTTTCTTCTGCAAAACGTACGTGAGGACAAGACTTTCACAACATGTTGCCAGAAATGCTCAAATATGACATTTTACTACAAGTTCTTTCGCCTAGTCTAGGAGGCAGGTTCAAAGTTAGCGTTATGAATTCATCATCTGAGCTGGTAATATTGTACAGTTCGTGCTTTCTATTGTCAGTAACTCTTATTAGGAGCTCAGTGTTTATCATATCAAGAGTGGCGGTTTTAGCAAAAAAAAGGAAACTTATGACAATCTCTCCGCTTATGCGTTGCCTACTGAGGATTTAATTCGAAAATGCTTCAGGTGGACAGTGAAGGTGATCGCTGCCAGTTACAAGTTTGCAGTGTTGGATCAGGTTCATTGAATGCATATGGCGTTCTGGACACTCACTATAAGAGAAAGATGACCGATGAAGAAGCACTGAAACTGGGACGTCGGGCAATCATGCATGCCACTTACAGAGATACTGGTTCCGGTGGTGTCTGCAACAGTGAGTATATAAAATTTTCAACTGCCAGACTCTATTTACTGCGGTACCCATCTTCAGTTGTGCACATAACACCCAAGGAGAAGAAACGTTTGCCACCTATCGATGTCAGCAAGTTGTGGTATGAATTCGCCGATGAGCTTGGACGCGACATTGTGTATGAACCTCGTGATGAATGAATACTATGTTTTTGACGTTAGTGAACGCATATATTGATTGCATTGGTTAAGGACTCTCCATTTTAATAAATTATTGATTCGTATTATTCGCGTTTACACGTTAGTTTGCAATAGTTCTGAAAATCAAACCGAAATGGAAACTGAGACTACCGGCTAGGAGGAACATAAGACGAAAAAGAAGACATGTGCAAAAGCGTCACGACAACACCGTTTTTATTTATATTTGTATGCCTCAAAATTGCCACTTGACTATACTCGGCTCCCAAATTGCCGCGAGGGCGGAGTTATGCTATGCAGGCTCATCAACGGTGCGGTTGTTCTGTCAGACATTCTTCTCGCAACAGAGCACGCTGGCTTTTACAATGGTTTTCTTCTTCAGAAAAAACAGCGAGTCACAAAGCCGCGCATAGAAGGACCGTATTTCCCTGCGAAAGCGACTGTTCTATGCCTCTAAGTTTAGAAAAGCTTAACATTCAAGAATATCATTCTTCGGAAATCCTGTCAGTGATAAGAAACAGCAGAACTTGAGAAACGTCATAGCGTCATTGCATTGTTCAACTCACATAGAGCATTGGAAGACCATACATATCATTCGTATTCTATACTTATCTACATCCACTTCAGCCTTACCGATGATGAATCAATGATGCCGCTTTCGTATCAGAGTGACAAAAATTTCTGAAAAACTCGACTCTGAGCTGACGCGCTCTAGCGCTAACGTGCCGGGAATTGGAAATATTCAATTGCACCGCTGGCATTATGTATTAAAAATGATGTCTTAATTATGTTTTCTATGGCATTAGAGTCTGCAGAAATTTGTTGAACTTCACTCCTCTTATTCAACACCATTCCAGCTAGTCAGGTCAAAGATGGATGAGTTCTTGTCCATGTGTAATACAGAAGAAGATGAAGAAGAACAGCTTCCATGCGCCGCAACCGTCAACCAGGAAACCGCTTCAAACCACACGTTAGTCTTTTTAAGTTTGAGCAAATAGTTTAGAAGTGATCCATAGATCAGTATTCAGTAACTCGCCAAGGAGCTCCGAAGATCCAGCACTTGATGATGAGATCCCTCTAGACCCATCTGAAATTCAGAGTAAGTGAACTTTTTCATGTTTCACCCCATCAAGCTCTCCTGCACCAACTCCATAAGTGTAATACATACTATGTTTTTCTCAGAACAACTGGAGGCGCTTGAGAGAAAGAAGCAAGAACTTATCAAACGAGCGCGTGCTACTGTTTTTGGTCCAGAGAATAAGAGCGAGGCACCAGCAAGCAAGTCAAAAAATGGTTTGTTTTGAACTCTTTCACTAAGCTTTCTGATATTGCCTTCTCTCTGACATTCGTTCCGTACGAGCCGCGCGAAATTTGCGTACGAGCGGACTCCTCAATGGCCGTTCGCCCGCTAAATGCGCTCGGGTGATACGCGAATTCCGCGCCGCTGGTACGCTGTCACTTCGGCGCCGTTGGTACGGTAATTTCGTGCTTGAATCACTGATATGGCAATTTTGTGTTATGCCACCGATATGGCGGTTTCGGAGACTACGTCCGGCTACAAAATTGAACGACACAAAGGTGCTATCGAAAATTGTCTTTAGGACCACCTTGCGACTACGTCCTCGTGCAAATATTGTAAACATATTCACGTCAATTAGCATTTAGGGCAGCCTAACCACTGCGTCGTACCTTACGCAAGTATCCTTTACGCTTATAACGTGTGAAAATTACGCTATAGTTTTTGTGCACTAAAAAATGTGAAAGTTATACAGAATGCATAAAAAATGATTGCGCACAAACTTAAACGTCTTTTTTTGACTATGGTAGCCATGAACACGTAGACCTGCCTGAAAAGCTGCAGAAGCTTAAATTAGTGGTACGCGGCTCGTGTGTTTGAAGGCACGCGGGCGGTACTGCTTGTCAACTGCGCGCCGCTCGTACTCGTGCACGCCGAATTACGCGCCGCTCGTACTCAAATCCGACTGTGTCGCGCCGCTCGTACGCTCGACAGGCGCGGGTCGTAGGAATCGTTGTTTTTGCGCGCCGTTCATCCGAAACGAATGTCAGAGCTCTAGCAGCGATTTTTTTTCAAGGTCCAAAATTAGTGGACTTGGATTTTGCTGGCACTTCTTCCACATCCACAGAATGCACTCCAACATCTCATCGTGCTGACGAAAGCGATGACGAGTACATAGATGATAAAAAGTAAGTTTTGTGGATAATGAAGATTCTCGTTTAATAAGTAACTTTACTACTAATTTGCGAATTTCTCATCCATCTCTAATTACCGCAAACCATGCCACATAATTGGTCAAAATTATATATAGGTCATTTATAAAATCGTGACGACGATTTGACTGCGTCCGTTGCTTCTATACTAGCATAAAACACTCATACAAAAATGTGATGATGACCTTACGCTCAGCGGTCTCCTCCAGTGTCTAGATACTACCATACGTAAGCAGAAAGACCATTAAGTAAAGAAAGTGGAAGGAAAACCTAAAGTAGGAATGAAAGTCTGGAAAATGCGGCTGCTGGAAGTGCATGCGTATCGCGCACGGTCGCTCATCGTCACGATTTTTCGAATGCCCTATAAGCGTTTCCCCTTATCACCAGCAAAATCCTGTTCTTAGTGCCTCCTTTGAGTTTGATCACTCAAGTGAAGCACTGTCGAATAGATGTTTCTCTTCCAAATTCCCTTAATTCAGAGAGTTGTATGAAGTTGGTAAATTGATACAGAAACAACTTGATAAGCAAGAAGAAGCGCAGGAAATCCGACGACGTCCTTTCTTATCCTCGATGGTTAGTTTTAATCCATCAGACTCGAAATAAATCCTTTACATTCAGCCGGCTAAAAAGCCTTCCGAAACAATTCCGGTCAGAAAACCGGCCATTAAAGAGACGATCATCCCAACTGCCTTCGATAATCATTTCCAGCTTAGGATAAGGTAGGCATTTATCCGTAGCATTATTTTGTATATTTCCTCCGAACCAAAAGTATGTCAATTTTAGAAATCCAAAGATCTCTTCTGGAACATTCGATTCCTTTATCCAAGGTTTCAAAAGAGTGCGTATATCTGAAATGAGATCATCCGCCGCTCTTCCAAAAGACGGTTTTGTCACTGTTGGAGTGATTGTCGCTCGGGATATGCGAAAAAGTTCCAATGATAAAGACTACGCAATTTGGAAACTCCACGATTTGAAAAACTGTCAAGATTCACCAATTTGTGTGTTGCTATTCGGAGAGGCTTACAAAGAGCACTGGAAATCACAAATTGGAGTTTGTGTTGCCTTGGTGAATCCTCATGTGGCAGAGGACGATCGACCTGATGCGGGCAAACTTAGAGCAAAATGTGAGCAGAAAAGTTCTCCTATAGTTTATGACCGTACTCTGAGTTTCAGCTACCAACATCACCCTGAAAACGTTCAAAAGGGCGGAAATAATTGAGCTAGGGTATTCAAGCGATCTAGGGATGTGCAAGGTAAGTGCTTACCCATACCTGTGTTTCAGTGGCGGTCCCAGAAATTCCGTCCCGGGGGGGGGGCGGCAAAAAGTTTTTTCTAATGAAAAGCATGGCGTCAGCCACGGACTTCGAAAATTTTTGGACTGCTTCTCAGAATTTGGCGGACCCCCAACCCTAAAATCTGGAAAAAGGGGGCGTAACTAACGCCACGCCCCCGAAAAAATTTTTACAAGGCTAATTTGAATTTCTAAAATCTTGATTATTTTAATCGTTTGCAAGAATAAACAAGTCACTTGCGCATTTTTATATCGCGACCCATTCTTGAGTGGGTGGGGAGGGCGCCCCCCTCCCTTCGGTCCGCCACTGCTGTGTTTGGATAAGGAGTCCGTCGACGTTAAGATAATTCGACTAGGCACACCTTGGTGCCACTCGTTTCTTATTATTTTAGCATATCAAATTTGAAATGCGTGAAACAAAGTCTCATTTTTCAATGTAGGGAGTGAAGTTTGGCGGGCAAAAATGTGGCAATTTTGTCAACACATCATTGTCAGAGTTTTGTGTTCATCACATCATGAATGAAGCGAGAAAGCTATCCGCGAATCGAGGTAGCTCCAAGTTTCTTGATTACTGTGTTTCTAAACATAATATAACGTATACAGGCGCTTTCAATAGTGTCACATCGCTACCACCAAAGAAGAGGGCAGCTAATCCACTTTTTGTGGGAACGCACAGGTGGGACTTACGATAATACTTACACGTGTGGATGACCTTGAATTGATAGTTGTACTGTTTATACTCTTTCAGAACCACAAAATTCAACACCGTAGTTCCAGCTAACAAGCACGATAATATGATGAATTCGGACACTATGCATCCGACCATAAGCAATATTATCTTGCCAACAGAACATAAAACAATAACGAAAGTGGAAGAGAAGGCGGTGTTGAGAGAACTTATCAGCGATAGGGTCAGTGCTTATTCGTAAATTTGCTGTCGATTGTGTACCCGAATGCCTCAGCTTAGGCTCATATGCTCGGTGCTCGCAATCTTGTAGCTGCTGTGGAAATAAAATCAGGTAGAGCAGTGAAGTCAAGTAAGGCAGATAATCAAGCATCGATGTCGGATTTCATAAAAACTCAAGAAGTATGCTTGGCAAAATGCATTGGGCATTATCCTGCGATTTTTGCAAGTTTTCCCAAAAAGTGTTTATTAGGCTTCCGTAGTCAGGCCTGGATTTCATGGGCCACAACTTGGATTTGGTTTGAAGGCTGGGCAAGAGATCTGTCTTGCCTCAAGGAAAGCTGATGCAGCAAAGGTATTACCTAATAGTTTATTTTGGTAATTCCAAGTTGTGCATTGATATGAGTGCCCTATAGCCTTGTGATTCAGATGAGAGCAGTCGCGGTCTTGAATCGAGAAAAAGCTGGAATCGTACAAGAAAAGAAAGCTGTAAAGCGCCCTGCAGGTGACTGAACCTTTTTACTACGGGTTGTGAAGGGGGGGGGGGGGGGGAAATGGGTCGCGAAATTCGTAGCCTAACTAATTATTGAACTGCGTATGTAAATCGTTTTTGCCAATATATTAGGTTGGCACGAAAGTTCTTGCGTAATTCAAAGAAAATTCAATAACTTTTCAAAGACTAAACCTAAATTCACAATCTTGTATGCTAAAAATATTAGAAGCCTTACGCTTCATGATGGATGTTTAAACATAAAATTCCGTGAGCTGGACATCAAGAACGAAGCTCTCGAATATGGGGCTTCAAATTTTGCGATTTTGAGTTTGGCGCCAGAAAATCGCAGAGTGCCGCTAGCTATCCGAAAAAAAAATCTGTAGAATTTACTTACACAACGAAAGTCCATGTGTTACTTTGGAAGGCTTTGATCTTGCACGGTGAAGCAAAAACAAAAAATTCGTGAAATATGTCATTTTGCGGAAAAAATCCCCTCCTGTCCGCGGTTTTCCTGCGAAAACACTTTTTTACAATCGAGAAAACGTCGCAAGGCTCTAAATAGGCACTATGTCTAATTTCTGGTTGCAAACTGTGTTTTCGTGGAAAAATTAGAGGGGATTTGTCCTGTGAAATGAGAAATTTCACAAATTTTTTGTTTTCGCATTTCCATGCGAGATCAGAGCCTGCTAAAATAACGTATGGACTTTTGTTGTGTAAGTAAATTCTACAGATTTTTTCGGCTAGCTAGCCGCCCTCTGCGATTTTCTGCCACCAATCTCAAAATCGCAAAATTTGAGTCCCATATTTGAGAGCTTCATTCTCAATGGCTAGCTCATGGAATGTTGTACAAGAACTTCCATCATGGAGCATAAGGCTTCTAATATTTTTAGCATACAAGATTGTGAATTTAGGTTTAGTCTTTAAAAAGTTATTGAATTTTGTTTGAATTACGCAAGAACTTTCGTGCCAACCTAATAGTTGTTGGTGATATAGAGTTTTGTATATTATTAGAGTTCAAATCAGCTCTTCAAATTTTTGTGGAGGAGGCTGACGCCATGCTTTTTTTCTTCAATTTTAGGCCATAGGCCCGCTGAAATTTTGAAGCCTCCCAAAACTTTTCCAGAAAGCTTTGCAGACGACGTACCCCTTCCATTCGAAAATTTTTCTCGTCCCCCCCCCCTTCCCTATACAATTCTCGGATCGCCACTGCCATGGGAGTGACAGATATTTTCTACAGATAAGGCAGATGGAGATGGTCCTACTTCAAAGGCGTCAAAACTCGCTATTCTTGGGAATGAGATTGATCTTAATAAGCTGTTACAAAGAAAAAGCATACACGAAAAGGAAGCTAACAAGGTATCATTTTGTTCTCTTCTAAACTGTAGAGCTTCATATAAAATTTCACTAGGCTGAAGGAGAAGCCGTGCAAAAGCATCTGGACATGCTCGAGCATAAGGAAAAAGTCGAGACTTTTGTCACGGAGTGCATGTCAGTGAAAAACGTGAAAGTAGTCAGCTGCAAAAAGGTTGCTTGTTACGCTATTTTTTTTTGAATTTCAATATGGTTTTTCCAGTGTGACTATACAGCACATAAACAAAGTGATTTGTGCAAGAAGGAAGGTCATGAAGTCAAGTATTCGACAGCTGAGAAGCGGTTTTACAAGTGCAAGGCTTGCAAGAAGCGTGTGGTCACTTTTGGGTTGTTACCCACCAAGTCGTGCAAGGTATCTGTGTCCAAATTCATTACCTCGTCGTTCAAATCTATTTTTAGCATTGCAAAGCTAATGACTGGGAACGAGTGGCGATGAAGGACGAAAGGGTGGTAAAATTAGATAACGAGAACCTACTTCTTCGCGGCGAAGAAAGGAAATATGTAAATATCTAATTTTGTAGCACTGCAAATATATTCCTGCACATTTCGTAATTATTATACCCTCACTTTGGTACTGCGTGTGATTCAGTTGTTTTCTGTTACTCTTAGAGTATGTTAGTATTCCAACCAAGGGCAATGAATCAAAGAATTTTGCATTCTTATAATGACTGTGATTGTGAAACATAGTTCTTAGCGCTTGTTGTAGTGATATGTCGATCCTCCAATCTTTGTTTGCTGTTTGTATTGATTTGTTTGAATCTGTCCGAATTATGGTCCATTTGATTGCAAAATTATATTGAACTGTGGAGTGATATACAGGTGACTGGTTTCAAACAATAGCTTTTGAAGGATGGCCTACATCTGTTGTGTGTAATCTCACCAAACTGGTACATTACTCAAACCATAGGTCTTGTCAATGTAGACTTTTTAATTCTACAAAATTTAGCTTTAGCTGTAGTTGTCTCTGGGCTCTATCAACAACTCGCCTCAGCCTTTAAATCAGCTTTCCATTCCGCAACCTTACTACCCTATTTTCAGGTGTATAAGCCGCGGGGTGGTCCTAGCTTACTTCGATCAGCCCGAACACATCAATGGACCTCGCATCCAAAGGACCCTATACCGTGCTGCGTATTGTCTGAAAGAATCGTGCGGCATAAGGATCGCTTCTCGAAATACAATGAAGCGGCTGAGCAACCCGGGCGAAAATTTAAAAAAGTGCGGCTTATACACCTGAAAATAGGGTAGTAACTTTGTCTGATATTTTTAGAAATGTACTGCCACGCTGTCGCTCATCAACATACACCCACTAACCATTTCTTAGTATTTCTACAAGTAGCTAACGGTACCATCAAGTCCATCAAGCTCCTAACTCTAGCGTGGAGAGTTGTAATGTGCACTCTTCGCTTCTCACGACGTCATTCGGCAGCCTTTCGAAGGAAGCTGCCGTTTTTTATCGTAGATTGGTACCAATCGAATAAAAAAAGTTTACCCGCAACTTTTTTTTAAAATTGATTCTACTCCGACGTGATGAATGGGTTTGGTTCACGGATTTTCTTGTAATAATTTTTTGCGTACAGTTCGGCTACAGATACTGTGTGCCATCAAGATCCCTGCATCATCGATGCGCAGATATCGTGCCATCAGAATCCTTGTATAATTGACTCCCAAATTTAGAAAAAGACGGAGCATGGTCAACATTGGGTAATGCTGATAGACTAGTTGAACCTTCACACTACTGCTTTCCAAAACTTTCGCTATCAAGACAGTTATGTGACGTCATATCTCTGCATCTAGCTGGATTTGGAGCGCTGACATTTTCTCGTTGATTTCTAGTCGGAGAAATTTGACAAGTTTGGACTTGTTATAACAAGCCCAAACTTGTCTACCCCTATAGGGGAGGGGTGCATATCGATCCTAACCAGAATCGGTAATGTTGCAGTGCATTTAGGCTCTCATTGGTAGGCGCCAGACTTCGCAAGCAACGTAAATCCCCGTAACTCAAAACTACGCACCATTTTTTAATTGGCGTCGGGTAATGTATCGGCCCCGACCCCCACCCCCCCCCCCTGTTTTTGGCGGGGGAGGCGTTTTGCACGGGAAGCTCTTTGAGGTCCAAAGAATTGGGTTTGTCGCCTAACGCCCCAATATCAAGCCGTACCAACGGGCATCTGACCGTAACTACAGAGGTTGCACTATTTGGCGTGTGGGTCATGGGAGTTTGTTATTTGCGCTTTATGTGGTTGCTTGCTACGATTGTCTTCAAGGTTTTGGGAGAATAAGCTTATGCTTTCTTTGAGAACGACAGTAGGGCAGAACGATAGCAGTCTTTGATATTGACAGCACTTGCTTCATAATAGGCTTTAAATGGCTCTTCAATACTAATTTGTTGTTCTTCTTTTGATCTATGGAAGTTGGAAAAAAATCAGAGGTATCTAGTGTTTCCGGAGGTATGTGTATACCTTTCGTTTGAAGGTTTGCATAAGAGAATAAGCAATAAAAATACTGATCAAACATGCAAATATAAATTGATTGCTCAGTTTTGGGCTGTTTGCTATATTTCTTAGTCATTCGAAGAGATGCGTCAGCGTTTCGTGCTGAAGTTCATTGTAGATGAAAGAAGCGCTCGATCTCAGTGACTCTACCTTTATGCACGGTTCTATACCTCTTTAGTTCCAGGAATGCATCATACAAGATGGCTGGATGTCTTATTTCCTCTGCAGGAAGATGCCGTAGTGCTAGAAGCATCTCCATCCAATGGCGCACGGGATTCTCTGAGAGCACTTCTTCTCCTCACTCTGTTCGCACTTACATTTGCTTCAGCCATGGCACGTATGCAAATACATTTTCTTTTGCTTTTTACTGTCATACCAACTGATTTTCATTGGGTTTAGCTTGCGACGGTTTTACGTGGCGAATGGGCTAGAAATCATGTAGCAAGCTTCATATCTTGCATCGGAGGTGGTGTATTCCTTGCAACATGTTTGTTGGATCTCTTACCGGGTTAGTAAAGGTCACGCTATTCAAATCGTTGCCTTCTAGCTTTTCAGCTTTTGACTTGCAATTTTCAGAGGCTCTCGAGTCATATGAGAAGGCCGAGTTTCAGTCAAATTTTCCGGTCGCTGAAGCTGCGGTCGCAGGTGGACTGCTAATGGTTTTAGCTATAGAACAGGTACGTTTTATGGGCTTCCAGTCTTTGATTGAATTTTCTACTGTTTTTGATAACGTCGGGCACCAGTTTTTATTCCTGTGAATCCCAAAATCAAGTTCTTTTCTTTCAGATTGTTCTAGAGATGCAAGCTCAAGGATATCTTACCTCTGGCCATTTCCACTCTCACTATAATGATGATGTGAGACAAGTAGGAAACTGAGCTAGTATTGTTACTGTTCCTAACCATCTTTTCTAGCCGCTCACACATTCCGCTTCTACAACACATGAGGAGGACACGAACCCTGCATTGGGAGTCTGCCTCCTTGTTTTGGCCTTATCATTGCATGCTTTATTCGAAGGACTTTCCTTAGCTGTTATTACGGATGCTTCGAAATTGTTAGAGGTATGTGTGCACCTATTTACAGGTGAAAATGCAAATTACTTTATCTTTCAGGTATTTGCAGCGCTTATACTTCACAAATGCATCATAGGCTTTAGTCTGGGCGTTCGGCTTGTTGAAAGCGGGTTGAAGACACTGTGGATTGCGTTATGTGCGTGTATCTTCAGTATACAGGTGAGTTCGCAGTTATCTTTTTAACTTTTTCCTGAAGTAACCCATTGTTCACTAACTTTCGTTAATTCTCCAATTTTAAACTTAACTTTTAATTCAATTTCTTCTCCCTATTATGGTTTTGGGATCCACCTCTACTTGTAAGGGATCGTTCATACCGCGCACAAAGGCGGACGAAGCCGGACGAAGGTGCACGAAGGCATGTGTGTGTGTGTGTGTGTGTGTGTGTGTGTGTGTGTGTGTGTGTGTGTGTGTGTGTGTGTGTGTGTGTGTGTGTGTGTGTGTGTGTGTGTGTGTGTGTGTGTGTGTGTGTGTGTGTGTGTGTGTGTGTGTGTGTGTGTGTGTGTGTGTGTGTGTGTGTGTGTGTGTGTGTGTGTGTGTGTGTGTGTGTGTGTGTGTGTGTGTGTGTGTGTGTGTGTGTGTGTGTGTGTGTGTGTGTGTGTGTGTGTGTGTGTGTGTGTGTGTGTGTGTGTGTGTGTGTGTGTGTGTGTGTGTGTGTGTGTGTGTGTGTGTGTGTGTGTGTGTGTGTGTGTGTGTGTGTGTGTGTGTGTGTGTGTGTGTGTGTGTGTGTGTGTGTGTGTGTGTGTGTGTGTGTGTGTGTGTGTGTGTGTGTGTGTGTGTGTGTGTGTGTGTGTGTGTGTGTGTGTGTGTGTGTGTGTGTGTGTGTGTGTGTGTGTGTGTGTGTGTGTGTGTGTGTGTGTGTGTGTGTGTGTGTGTGTGTGTGTGTGTGTGTGTGTGTGTGTGTGTGTGTGTGTGTGTGTGTGTGTGTGTGTGTGTGTGTGTGTGTGTGTGTGTGTGTGTGTGTGTGTGTGTGTGTGTGTGTGTGTGTGTGTGTGTGTGTGTGTGTGTGTGTGTGTGTGTGTGTGTGTGTGTGTGTGTGTGTGTGTGTGTGTGTGTGTGTGTGTGTGTGTGTGTGTGTGTGTGTGTGTGTGTGTGTGTGTGTGTGTGTGTGTGTGTGTGTGTGTGTGTGTGTGTGTGTGTGTGTGTGTGTGTGTGTGTGTGTGTGTGTGTGTGTGTGTGTGTGTGTGTGTGTGTGTGTGTGTGTGTGTGTGTGTGTGTGTGTGTGTGTGTGTGTGTGTGTGTGTGTGTGTGTGTGTGTGTGTGTGTGTGTGTGTGTGTGTGTGTGTGTGTGTGTCGAGAGAAACGAGACAAGACGCGCCTTCGTGCGCCTTTGTCCGCCCTTGTGCGGCATCGTCCGCCTTCGTCCGCTTCGTCCGCCTTTGTGCGCGGTATGAACGATCCCTAAGCTCTGGTAAGGTAGAAATGCAATTGCTGTTTTTTTTTTAGATTTTTTAAGCGCAATTGATTCATCACGCTTTGTCGCAGTTTAGATATGCGCAGTTTTCTTGCGTCTGTCGCGATAGCTCTTGTTAGGCCTTTTTTCCCATTCTCTCTTTGCTACACTATCATTTCTGCAATTTTCTACCGTTAGGTATTGATCGGTGGACTGGGGGGTATGGAGATCATGTCATTACTTTCCGGAGGTGATCGAACAACAGCTGCGATAGTTTCCACCATTCTGCAAGGTTAGTGTTTTCTTTCTTGTTGATTTCTGTTCTATTTTCATTCTTGTTTACTTTTTCATTTCTTTTGCCCTAGGTAGCAAAATTTTTTGCCATTCAGTATAGTTGTTATATTTCGCTGCGTATCTTGATTGATCAGTCATTTGCAGTCAATGCCGTAATGTCAACTCTGTTTTTGTCTTTTTTTATGTTTTCAACATTCATTAATGTCATTTTGTGGTCTGGTTGTTTTGCACCTTGCAGATCAGATCGGACAACTACAATTTATCGAGTTTAAGGTATAGCCTGCGGTACGTTTCTCTACATAACAACATTCGAAATCCTTCCACATGAGCTTGAGAAGAGGGGTAGCCGTTTGGTGAAACTTCTATGCTTGTTTATTGGTGTGTTCATTGTCGTTGCTTTCATGTTACTTTTTCCTGATATGGACTAAGCTGATGATCCTCATCCAAATTCGCCATATTTGTACATACTTCTCTTTTGTGAGTTTCAAGTGTCGGTTTCTAGTTCGCGACTAGTCACATTATTACTTTCTTTTTTTCTATCTTGCCCACATCCATGAAATCAATTTACAGCTATTGTGCGTTCAGGCTGACTTGCACTTCTTTTCCGTTTTCTCTACGTGATGCTTGAAACAGCAATTTTCTGTATTCGGTGGCCATAGACTTAGTTACATCAGATCTCCGATGTCTGTAAGCCGTGAGCATTTTGATTCGATTTTCTGCAACTACATCTGCTCATAGTTTGCGCCTTTTGACTGCATCTTTAACTGCTTTATCGATCACCTCTAAATGTTACTTCGCTCTCCTGTGTGACCTGTGTTTCAGAGTTTTTTTTGAGCACTCTACCTGTGCCTTTATTCGTATTCGCAACTATTTTCCACTTCGGTTCCATTATCAGGCATAATTTTCCATCATGCTTCACTTATGTCACATATTTTACTATACGACGTAGATAATTGCTCAGATAGTTGCCATAGCTGACGGGCGGGCACCGGAATATTGCAGCACGTTTTTGCAGTCCTTTTCCTGACTTTGGATTATTTTGTTATTTGATTAAATCAACTATACCAGTATCTTGTTCCATTTGAGAAAGTAAGATCCATTAGCCAGCGCTTTTTTGCAGCGGACTCTAAGAACTTGTTGCCGACGCTGATGCCTGCTCATTTGCCACTCAGTGCGAGTGCATTTTTTTGGAACGTTTTTCTAGAAAAGGTCTTATGTGATATATTTACGTTTTTTTTTGGAAAGTTTTTGCAGGTGAGAAGCCAATCTGGCTTTTATCCTGTCATTCCATTCTAGTTCAGACGAACATCAGCTTTGTATCCGATTTTTCTTCTTCCTATCTCTGTAGAGAACAAGGCATTTCTTGTTCCAAAACCTAACATATGTTGTTTATTTTATGGTCTTTCATTCATTCAAGCTTTTCTTGTATAGCAATATCATTTGATTTTTCAATTCGTATAAGTACTGTGCCCATAACTGGGAATAAATGATGCCATCTCTGTTCTACATGTACAGAGCAGACGGTCATTGCGTCATACCGGATTTTCATTCTTTGTTTTTAAAATAGATGCAGCATCAAACGTTTAGTGATGGATGCCATATCATGAGCAATGTACTTTGCACTAGCGATTTTCGTAGTCATTGTGTGGGGGTTTCTGAGGTGAGCGAAGTTTATTAGTGTTACTTGATGTAATGATTTGCAGAAGAGAGTATTTACTCTAGGTATATTGGTGTGATATCGTCATGGTTTCTCTCAGTAGTACTTCGTTGCCCACTAGAAGTAGGTAGTGTGGGTTGGTGTAGGCTAAGCGATGTACGGCTACGTCTACCTGATGGTTTGTACGTGCATGTTGATGTTTGTCAGATAAACTTCTTTTCTGCATTGGTCAGGTAAGCATCCATGACTTTCCTTTTTGTTTTCCAATCTTTGTAGTTCTGTTGTTTTGTAGTAAACCTTTGCTGATATCCTTGGGTGATGTGAGAGTAGAAGGTGATGCACACTCGCTCACGCAAGCCTCTCCTAGCAAAACCGGCAAAACAACCAATATATCTGCCGTTAAGCGGTCCATTATCTCCAGAATCAGTCAGTTGGTTCAGGTTAGTAGTTTTGTTTTTTCCTGTTTCGTTCGTTATTTATCGCTTTTACATTTTTCCAAAAACCTGTTTGATTTTTGTCGAAGTCTCCGTTCATATTACAGAAGTTCATACAAGAAACTTTGAATTGGTTTTGGTTTTTCGTATGTTTTGGCGTGAGGAGTGTTTATGCTTTTCCCCATGTTTGACATGCTCACATCTCGCTTCAGTACTGCGGCTTGTATGTCAATTGCGGGCATTTGGTATTGTTCGACCCTCTTCCGGGATGTGTCGTACACGTTACTTTGGATGAACTGCTTGTGGAAGCTTTTCGCAGTCGTGATGGGTACGCCTTTTGCTGGATTTTATTTGAGCCACCGCTCTATGTTTGATTCTCAGATGGCAATTGGAAGCGTCATGTCGACTAGCTCGTGGCAAAGCCATGCTTCGTAAAGTGACTACCGGTCACTCTTTGTTGGATGTCGCTCTTCAGTTCAGAATCTCGTTGGATTTGGAAAGTGAACGTTTGATCAACGTTCGGTTCCGCATTCATGATCCTACAGTCGATCTGTCTAGCGGTAACTTTATTTGAAAATTCCATTTCTGCGTTGATATTTGTTGCAAAATTGTTTCAGCCGTTTTTACTGCATTTGAAATGCGATCTTCTTCTCCATCGCTAGGGAGTTCTTCCAAACAAGACGATCTCTCTGAAAATTGTGACCCGCAACAAACTTCATCCTTCTTGGCCAATCTTGCAGAATTAAATGTTGAAACGAACAACTGCCTTATAAAGTACAATGGAGTGCTGGGACAAGAGATGTGAGCATAACTTCCGATATCGCTCTGTCTTGCACTAAATGTTATTTTCAAATTGTAGTCGAACTATGACCCTCACTCTTCGCGGCTTGTCGGTAACAAAAGATGGTGAAAAAGGTCGAGCCCGCATATCTGGATTAGTAGTAGAGGACCAAGGCCAAAAATTGGCTTTGAGGACCAGTCTCATTGTGCTTTCGCAGGAGGTAAGGTGTAGATTAGTAATACTTTATCTGTCAATTTCTGTTAATTGAAGGTTCACAAGTCTGGAGTCAACGTACAAATCTCTTCGGACAGTGTGCAAACAAAGCTTTCGATTGAAGACGTTGTTTGGTGGAAAAAGCATACGGAAGCTTGTGTCATGTCTGTTGTCGGAAAATCAATGGTCAGTTGCGTTGATTGTTACGCGATATCACTCCCCTATAAATTACGAAAAGGAACTATATTTTGTGCATCGAAAATATCTGTGTTGCATGTTCTTGAAAGTTTTTGTACTGACAAAAGCTCTCAATTTTTTTTTGCAGAACGCTAGATCAGATAGGCTGCAGTAGAATGTAACAGATGTAATAGCAGTAGAATACATATCATTCATTCTCTGATTAAGAGGCACGAGCACGCTTTGCGTACGTTTGGTTAGCAAGTTTGTGAGTGCGTTCTAACGCGTTTGGGTAAATTACTTGGAATTTATGGAAAAAAGTTTGAATTCGTATTTTTCAACGAGCTCGAGCATATCTTTGCGTTAATCTCAATAGTAAATTATCCAAAACGCGTTAGAACGCACTCGCGAGCTTGTTAATCAGACGCAAAGCGTGCCTGTGTCTCTTAATCAGAGATTGAATGATAGCTACTCTTGTTGCGTTTTTTGATTAAGACTGAACCCGTCTTATCAAATCTGGCCCTATGTTGCGCTAGAAGTTGTGGGTTTCTGGTGCAGTCATGGTTGCTGGAGGGCTATTTAAAATGTGTATATATGGCTGCATACTCACCCAAACGTGCTCTTTTATCTTTTTTTGCGCAAAAGATAGCTCTCAGCTTTCACTTTGTTTTGTATGTATTACAACCAAAACAGAAGAACAACAAATGATACTAAGTTTTGAAAAAAAGCCAACGGGAGCGTCCTTCATACTCCTGTTTAGGCATCGCCTACACCATCCGCAACATCATCGCAAAATAATGTCCCAGTCATATTTGCTGTAGAGCTAGCCTCGATTTCTTGCGATCTCGTCGACTTAGACTCTTTCCAGTCAATTCTTTCGCTACAGTATCTTAGTGTCACGAAGGTGAGCGTTTTGAAAGCTGTAGTGCTTTTTCTCGTAAAATACATATACATTCCAGACCAGCGAAGTGCTTGAAGTTGGTGTTGACTGTCTTTGCATCACCGCGCCAAATGTGGATACTACGAATGCAACATTTGAGCATCATCAATGGAATCATTCAGTGAGAGCTAACATCTTTCTTCCCTCATTCACTGTTTGGGAAGAGATTATGGTGTTACAGGTCTACGTAGGTGCGGCGCTGGTACAGTGTAGTTTTAAGGACCATGTGCGGGGAGTTCTAGTAGGTGTAGACGACTGTAAAATTGAATGGAGCGATAAACTGGCTGATCAGGTAGACTTAGGTTTTTTCTTTAACACTTTGATTTGATCCGTTGGTTAACAGATCAAGCAGCTACTAGAAGTCATATGCACAAGTGAATCCGATAGTGAGAAGGGTGATACAAAGAAAAAGATCAAGTTGCGATTGCAGATGAAAAGGTCTGTTTGGTTACCTTTATCACTTGATTCCCCGCCTATCAACATTATTCTCTAGAGCTGCTTTGATTGCCGTAGCCAAAGAAGCTGTCTATCTTGCCCTGACCTGTGATGATGTGGAAGCGGAAATTGCAGCCATGCGAAGTATCGCAGTATCAGTAGAGCATACAAGAATAGTGGTTTGTGCTATTTGTAAGCGACATTTTCAAATATTCAATCACTCAATATATAGAAATTAGTTTTAGTGCGCTCCTGTTCAGCCTGTTGGTGCAGATCTGACTCTTCTGAGAAAGGTAACCCAGTATATCCCACCCAGAAACTTGATTTTGGATCCTCCATGGCGTTGCTGGAATCAGACGAAAAATGACGCGTGAGTTCAGATCTTCTGCAATATCGTTGACTTCAATGCAAAAATGCTATCATTGTTGTAGCAGAATTTTCTGCGAATTGATTCTACCGCGGCTGGCTTTCATCCACTTATGATTCTGTCGTGGTTGGAGTGTTCAAGTCTAGAATTTCGCCCAGTACGTGACCAAGGTGGCCTTAGGCTTTGGTAGCCTTAAAGGCACCGTCCACCCAAAATCTCAAATTCAATGTTTTTGTCGCCTTCAAGCCTTCTGAAGGCCCTTATTCCGGATATGGAGTCGAAAATCCGCGAAACCCCCAAAAATCCCTGTTTCGAGAATCCTCTGCAACAAGCGCAGGCGAGATAAAGCATGCAAGTGGGCGGGGCGACCCTGGTCGCCCCGCCTACTTCGCTACTTCCGGAGCGGATTACTCGCTCCAAAAGCAGTCTTTTGCGGCGAAGCTTGGGGGTTTGCCTAGTGTGGGGGCCCACACCAGTATGCCATCATAATCTCGCCAACCTCCATTTTGAGTGAACGGTTGCATCCCGCCCACTTGCATGCTTTATCTCGCCTGCGCTTGTTGCAGAGGATTCTCGAAACAGGGATTTTTGTTGGCTTCGATTTTCGACTCCATATCCGGAATTAGGGCCTTCAGAAGGCTTGAAGGCGACAAAAACATTGAATTTGAGATTTTGGGTGGACGGTGCCTTAAGAGGGTCACGCGCATACTTCACGCGATCTCTTCGCCTTGCGATTCCTTCGTTAAGACAACTGTTACGAGTCCATAGCACGCCGTCATCTTGCATTTCATGATAATTACAAGATCAGCATGGAATGGATGCGTGACCGTTCTCATGTTGGGAGAATCGTGACCAATGTGGCGTAATGTATGCCCTGCCCTAACAAGTACGGTACTGGGCAGGAGTTCAGAGTCGTTTCTTGGCTATAAATGAAACAAAAGCTGTCGCTTGGGCAACGGCTTGTTTATGTTTTCTTTCAATCAGTAATCGCAGGAAACCACGATACTTATGGTTGCAATTGTCTGGACACTGCATAAAACGTTCCATAACATGGGAGCAATTCCTCGGCTTTTGTATCAGTAACATTCATAAAGAACCTGTGCAAGTTTTCAGGCGTAAAAATCAGAGAGCCGCTGCATGGGATGAGCACAGGAAGGATAATCCATTCTTGGTAAGTATGTATATCTGTTGTTTCCACTCGCTAAGCTTCTCTGCAGTGTGACATTGCAAATATGATGTTGATCTAGCTTATTCTAAAATGTAGCGCAGTCGCCTGAGTGATTTTTCGAGTTTACTCCATATTAACATACAACAGCATTTGATTGAAGAACAACAATTTTTTTTTCAGTGCTTCGAAACAAATGTGCTTTGCCTCACTGTAGAAAATCTATCTCCTACCAACACTAGCGTTACCTGCTCATCAAGCTCCCCAATATATGTCGTTTGGTCTCCGTTATTACATCGACTGATACATCACATGAGACAAGTAGTACTAAGGTATATTACTTCTGTTCAATTCTCCCCCCCCCCCCTACCCCTCTCCTATTAAAGGCAGTGTCCGGGCAAAAACTCGATCTTGAGATTTTGTGCTTATCTGGGCCTATTCGCCATGCTGAATCCGAAAATCCTCACCGGAAAGCGCGAAAACGGCGAAAAAGAGCCCTAACGCTGGACGGAAATCAGCAAGTGGGCGGGGTCTTCCCCAACGTGGATTCACGCTCCAAGCTTCCGGAGCGATCTCCTCTATTCCAATTTCAAGTCATGCATTCGCACCTGGCTTGTGGAGATTTTAGAATGCCAGCGGAATTGAGAAGATCGCTCCAGAAGCTGGGACCGCGAAAACAGTGGGGAAGACCCCGCCCACTTCTGATTTCCCTCCCACGTTGTAGCCCTTTTTCGCCGTTTTCGCGCTTTCCAATGTGGATTTTCGGATTCAGCATAGTGAATAGGCCCGGGTAAGCACAAAATCTCAAAATCGACTTTTTGCCCGGACACTGCCTTTAAAAAACAAGTTTTCACGATCTTAGTACCTTTCGCCGTCCCGAGACTGGTAATGGTTCTCCGCAAAAAAGCCAGAAACTGACACAGTATCGTGTGTTAACTACTCATACTGTGGAGCTAGTATTGGAGCTGCCTCGACATCATAGGTATTGGAATTTACTAATCATAGTGAAAGAAGTGATTTTTGTGTTATAGAATGGTTTGGCGGATACCCTCTCTTACATTCGATGCTTCACCATCTAGTTTGTCCGCAGTTTCACCGAAACTGGTTGTAAATATGGATAGTATGGATATCCTTACTGCTATCGTAAGTCCATCTTATTAATTGATTGTGATTGGGCGCAGTACCCTTTTTAGGACGTCTGCATCACTCGGCGACCATTTGATGCCCAGATGGACAGCTATCGTAGAGGTTTCAAGGAGTTTGCAGCTCCTTCTAATAAGGTCAGTTTTTTTTTGTCCTGTATAGTTTTTCCAAGCCTTCGCAATCGTAGGTATGGACATGGTCAGCAGCATCATTTCACTTCTTTTTGCCATTTGAATTTAATTTTGCACAAGTCTTCGATGAGGTAAGCTCAAAAGCCATTGCTCTTGATATTGTTCTCCTATGAATGTTTCAGTTTATAAATGCCATAAAATGGATCAAGGTTGTGCACGGTATGAAGAAGGATCCTTTTCCACCAAATGCACCTTTGCCTTCTGATATCCGAATCATTTTCAAGGTTGTCTCTGACCGTTTTTCAACTTCGATTATCACTGCGGTGTTTAGGAAGCTCGACTCACCCTAGAAGATGATCCTTTTGAAAGTTTGCTGAGAATGAGCTACGAATTGAAGGAGGATGAGGTATCACATTTTCTAGTCATAGTTTTCTTCTGATTAGCTTTCACCGTTAGGTTTACGAATGCGAACGGAGACGGCAGATGCTGGCTGAACGCCTCCTTGCATTGAAGAAGTCGAACCCACTCATGCCACGTCAGTTTTTCCACTTCCACTGCAGATTTACTTTTTCGAATATGTGCTCTTAGAGGCTAGAATTGATGAACTCTATGCAATGCTTCTGGAAAAGAACAGTGCGATTTATATAGAACGCTGGAATAAAGCAGATAATATCAAGAAGTAAGTTTTTTTTTGGAATGGATTCACTATCAGACACCGTAGCAAATTTGGACACATTAGTTGCTCAAGTGAATAAGAGGGCAGGAGGTTCCAAGTAATCAGTAAAGTACTATCTAAGCGTAAGCTCAACCTTTATTATAAGTTACATTCATGTAAATATATTATGTAAGTTATGTGCCTTTTTTATCTGTCTATTAACTTCACTTTTTTAATTCAGTATGAAATATCATGTTTTGCTTAAATAGGCCATTCTGATGGTTGAACACTTTCTTCCTGCTGTCTTGTTGGTTTGTAGAAACTCAGCGGGAGCATTCTTCTTGTTTTGAGTACACATTCACATTCTAGGCTATTGCTTAGTCCTCTTATTCCTTTCTGGTTTTTATGCAGTCCTTTATTAGGTTTGGAGCGGTCCATACTTCGCTGTTATCCTATTGTTCATTTGGTCCTTTCTGGCGGTAATAGCACTTTTAGGCCTTTGTTTGTCTCTAAATGGACAGACTTCGAGATACGTGCATTCGCAGACCCATACTTTCATGGAAGGGACAAGTGTATTCGACTTATGCAAGAATATGATCCATTGAGGTTTATTCCAACTTTTTTCTTTCATTTTATTTCTGAAGTAGACTTCTGCAGTTACTATCCCAATGGCGGTCTGTGCTTTTCTACGCTTTGGGGTCGTGGCATGGAATTCGATTTTATGGAATGGTCGGTGAACTTCAGAGATTATCCGATCCCTTATATACTGGCTAAGGATATGCATTTCTTTGGCTTGGTAGTTGGAGCCGAAGAGTTTGAAGGTTCTTGTTTCTTCACAAAGATTTGACATTTTTAACACTTTCCTCACATAGAAGGTGGTCGATCGTTGCGAGAATGTGAAGTATCTTTACCGTATCCATGGGAGACCCATACCATAGAGCGTAACATGGCGCCTTTGAAGTTCTACTATGACATGCAATGCGGTAAGAGTTTCAAAGACTTGTATACGTGTTAGAAGAATCCACCTTCCAGAAAGTGCTGAATACAGTGCCACATATGGCCCATGTTGGGAGCCATGCCTTTCCATGGTCAGTCTTATGTGGAACAATATCAGCGCTCCCTCGCGTGATCCGTCTGTACCTTTACCCTTCTGGGACAAGATGCGTTTTCTGCTGCATGGTCGATTTTCGTGGCTTTGTTCTAAAGTAGTAACCACCATGCTTGCATCACCCGATCCTTACAACACGACCGAAACGGTGGAAATGTGTTGGGATGAGTTTGGCTTGGATTGGGCATTGGGTAGGAGTTTTCCTCAGGATTTTCTTTTTTGCATGCTATTTGGATCTCCTGGGAGTGTTTGTTGATTTTCGTTTTTGCAACCTTTCGGTTCTTTTAGGGGAAATACGCATACGTTCTGGTCTGAGATGGTTCATGCGCACTGCATCACGGTATGACGACTCTCGAATACTCTTTTTACCAGATTTGAAGCTTCGGGTTGTGTTAGGTAAGTCATGTCGGTAAACTTAGGATGTGCTTGGTGATATCTCAATGATTTAGAATGGGTCTGCAGCGGAGATCCACATGACCATCATTCAGTAATATTATGTGCTCCAGACCGTCTTCCACATTATTCTACGGTAGGTAATCTTACGTTCTATTGACATAACTTTGCAGTTTTCTCTGGCACTGTAATTATAATAATGAGTCCAGGAGAGACAGCCTCTAAGTCAATGGATTCAAGTCTGCTAACTATCAAAACTATGTACCCTTTGCTTCAACTAGATCGGCTGCTGGAAGTCGGGGCTTCATGACCTAGGAGGCGACTGCTCGCGTCCGCGATGCAGACTGCTCCTCCCTCACCATGCTCTCTGATCATCTTCTAGCCTAAGGGACCCGTCATACTTCGCCGAAAAAAGCCCAAAGAAGCCCGAAAAAGCCCAAAAAAGCCCGAAAAAGCCCAAAAAAGCCCAAAAAAGCCCGAAAAAGCCCAAAAAAAGCCCGAAAAAGCCCAAAAAAGCCCAAAAAAGCCCAAAAGCGCCAGAAAGAGCCGGAACACTTCTCGCACGTTTTGGCGCTAAAGCATGTGTGTTGACTTCGCAATCGAGCCTTTTTGTCATTTTCTGTCGTCCGCATGATAAGATAATGTCAGAATTCTACCAAAAGTTCGTTTCTACATTCCGGCTCTTTCTGGCGCTTTCGGGCTTTTTTGGGCTTTTTCGGGCTTTTTTGGGCGCTTTTGGGCTTTTTTGGGCTTTTTCGGGCTTTTTTGGGCGCTTTTGGGCTTTTTTCGGCGAAGTATGACTGGTCCCTAATAGGTCAGGAGCCCCGCCTTCCAGCCGCCGATCTGGTTGAAGCAAAGTAATACTGGAACAATTAGACATAGCAGAGTCGCTAAAGTTTTTTAATGCACCGGCAACACAAAAACAAGATACAAAAGAAAGAAATCTTATATATAAAGCTGAATGTCTGTTTGTATGTCTGTCTGTATGTATGTCTGTATGTATGTATGTATGTACGTATGTTCCGAATAGAAAATTCCATTTCTGAACCGATCCGGACCAAACTTGGCACACATACGCTACGGGCCCCGGCGGGTGTCACAGGCTACTTTTCGTCATCGATCGATATCGATTTTATCGATTTTTATCGATTTTTTTGCTGAGTTCACCTACGGGGCTGGGAGTTGGCACAGGGGGGTAATCGAGCATGGGAATTCCGAATACAATATTGGTTTTCAGGATTATCGATTACTTTTATCGATTTTATCGATTTTTTTGCAAAGTTTGAGCTACGGGGCTGGGAGTTCGCACAGGGGGGTAATCGAGCATGGGGATTCCGAATACAATATTGGTTTTCGGGATTATCGATTACTTTTATCGATTTTATCGATTCCCAAGGGGGGTGATCAGCATGCTCGATTACACCCCTGTGCCAAATTCCAGCCCCCTAGCTCAAATTTTCAAAAAATCGATAAAATCGATAAAAGTAATGGACGATCTTGAAAACTAATATTGCATTCGTAATCTGCATGCTCGATTACCCCCCTGTGCAAACTCCCAGCCCCGCAGGTCAAACTTTACAAAAAAAAATCGATAAAATCGATAAAAGTAATGGACGATCCTGAAAACTAATATTGTGTTCGTAATCAGCATGCTCGATTACCCCCCTGTGCAAAATCCCAGCCTCGCATGTCAAAATTTACAAAAAAATCGATAAAATCAATAAAAGTAATCGATAATTCTGAAAACTAATATTGTATTCGGAATCCCCATGCTCACTTCCCCCCTGTGCCAACTCCTAGCCCTGTAGGTGAACTCTGCAAAAAAATGGATAAAAATCGGTAAAATCGACATCGATCGATAACGAAAAGTGGACTGTGACACCCGCCGGGGCCCGAAGTGTATGTGTGCCAAGTTTGGTCCGGATACGGCGGAGCCGGGTAAGCCAGCTAGTGTACGATATGCAAGAAATAAATTCGATAACAAAGTGAGCTCCGCCAATAATTACTTACCAAAACAGACAAACCGAACTTAGCTAACTGTAGCTCAAAGAATGTTGTTTATTTGATGACATGTTCAACTTGCAAGATGCAATATGCGGCGAGACACACATGATTTTATAATTTTTCATGACTCTACGCACCAACTAAAAACGTATGGGCTGAAATGGAAGAAACTCCTACAATGCAACTACTGAGGGTTATTTACCAAGGCACTGAGAAAATCACACATCCGAACTAGTTCTTAGCCTTGAAACTGATTAGGTGTAGAAAATAAGCAGTCACTCTTCATTCATGATGGACACATCACTATAATTTTCTTGATCTCACTAGTTTTCTTAATTGGTAGCTGCCCATTTGCAACTCCCTCAGATACTGTAAGCACGCTTGAGCCAGCGACTGAAAGATCGTTAGGCTCTGTATGCGGTGCAAACTTTTTCTTATTTCCCAAAAGTGCCCGTAAAATATCGTCCACTGGCACGTATGTATCGCAAACGGCTGGGTTGTGAGAGCGCAAAAGGGCCGATTACATGTATCACACAAAATGATTACTCACCCAGATAAACACGAAAAATATGTCAAATCTATACCTTTTTATGACCATGTAATTGTACATGAATTATGCATTTTTTTCAGGACCATGACTCTTATCGCGCATTCCGATCCTCTTCGCTTGATCTCTCTCTGTCGTTTGATGTTGCTGCTGGTGCTAATGGAGGTGAAACTGGTGATCGTTTACCTCATGTACTACTGTATGCCAATACCTTCCGTTGCTTGGAATTTCTCTTTGTATGTCGCGACTTGCTTTTGCTTCTGCATCTCGCTGAGTCTTTAAGAAATCTGTTTTCAGAATACGATAACTATGAAAAATCGAAATGTTCGTAAAGGTTGTCTTTTTGGCACGCCATCTCATCTCAAACCACAACTTGGAAAGCACTTCAGGTTGCTTTTCATCTCTAGCTTTTATTTATCATCTGTATCTCTGCTTTAAAGGGATGTTACCGTCTCGTTGAATTTCCCGAAATTTTATATAACATACTGGATGTCTCACTCATCTGACTACGGTTTTCGCGTTATATCTGATGGTCTAAACCTCATGGCCTCAATGAAGTTGTCCTTACAAGCAGCCAACGAAGAGGTCAGTTTTCTGCGCAGTTTGGGTTTGGTTAGGTGGCCTTTGATTGGATTATACTTCAGCTCTTTGACTTTCTCAGTTATTCTTAGTCATTCAAGGGTCTCACTCGTAGAAAAATTTACGCTTGGACTTCGGAACATGTAGCTGCGACGTTGTGGGGAACGAAGGTAAAAGACAACCTTAATTTTTGAATTTTATCAATCTAATTTAGTTTTAGGTACATGTTTATAGTCAAGGCCATGCCCCATCTGCTGATGGTCCATCGAACGATGAAGCAACGTTCCTGCTAGGTGTTAGTCGAGTTTCTTACGTTAGAGAGAATAGCCAAGGAAGAGACTCAAGCCAGCATCGTTTGACTGTTCATGATTTGAAGGTAAACCTACTCCAGTTCTCAACATCGTTGAAAACTAAAATTTTTAGATGTCTTGGACCGCACAAAGTCGTGACGCTTGCATCACTATAGCCGATGGGGTCCATCGCGCACATATGCTCCGTCGGATTCTAAGCAATGATGCTCTGAAAATCTTGAAGGCATAATATGCTCATTTCTCTATGCGTTCTCTCACTGCTTGTTTACAGTTACACATAGAAGAAGAAAACAAATCTCTTGAAAGATTGCCAAGCAACGAAGAAAGTAACTTTTTGCAAGAATCAAGTGTAGATGCGCGAGGTCATCGACGAGGTTACAGCATGTCTGATCAGAATCAGTCATTGCTTACCCAGCTTATAGGAGAAGCAAGCACGAAACTTGTAGCACACTGTGAGCAGGTGGGTGATTATGACTATAATTTTGGATAAAACTTTCATATCATGCTCGCACTCTGGAAGTGATTTCTTGATTTTTTTTTTGTTTTTTTTTTTGCTTGAGAAATGACATCTGCTGGGCATCTGCTTTACATATTGTGCCAAGACCTTATTGCTCTCCTTCAGGCAGCTGACCTTCCTACAGATTCGTTACTGGGAGCGCTACAATGTAGCTCCGATGATGTTCGCTTCATCAACTGGCAAAGTGAGTATAGTCAATTCTGATTTCCTACTTTTGAGCATACTTAATTCTGATTCCATACTCTATGTCATGGCAAATTTTTATTTAAGTTTTAAATTATTTTTCACAGACTTTCTCTATGTGGTGTCTGAATATCCTCAAATCATTTAGTCTGATTCTTTTGATTTATTTTCATGCCTTTTATATTGAACCAGTTTACTCCATTTACAACTTAACTTCTGATTTTTGCATGTGTTTCTAGTCGATCTCCTCAACAGCCAAGTTGTACTGAAAGGATGTGAAAAGACTGGCTTTATACTTATTACAGCCGCCAGAGCTAGCGTGACGCAGAAGGTGAATATTTGATTTATCTCATTTCCTACAAGTCGTATTAAGGAATTTTTTCAGGTACATCGTTGTGTGTGGAGGAACGGGCAGCTGTTGAGTAAGAAATCCTGGTCCGCAGTCATGTCTGGAATGCAATATTTCGCTCCTATAGCAAACCCAAAGGAAAAGGACGTTGCGCCGTTCAAGTGGCTTACCAAGGAGGTACAGTCCTCCATTTTTTTTTCGTTCTCGTTAAACTGTAAGAGGTGAGAAGTGCGCGATTTGGTGTGGGTTTTAAAGTGGATAGAGAAAGTGCAGGACTTTTATGTTTGTCTACATATACTGAGGTGCATCCCTGCTGCAGCAGGGGTGCACCTCAGTTGCTCTACATTAGCGGAGACAAAATAGTACCTAGGTGAAAGGGGAGTGTAAATTATAAACGAGAAATTTTTCCAGTGAATGATTTTTGAGGAAGTTCAAGGATTCTTGGGCTATGTTTTTACCAGTTTTGGTTCGATTATGCAGTCAACCATCAATTTGATCGAAGTATTAGGTTGTCCGGAAATTAATGCCCGTTTTGAGTTTCAACCGCAGTAAGTCATACACTTCTCACTTCTAAATAAGTTGCGAAGTACCAATGGATAGAGCAAATCAAGCTCTACAAGATGGCCATCTTGCTTTTGCAACAGCTCTCATCCACCTCGAGTTTCGAACCAAAAACTAAAAAGACTCAGCAGCCCGAAAAATCGAGAAAAATCGTAACTCAGTTCACAATCCTACAAAAATTCTTACTTACTCACGTAAACACTATCCACATTATCCTTTGTTAAAAATCAAGGAAACTGAAATTTTCGTGCTTTTGCCAAAGTGATGCTGTGCCGTCCCCACATAGGTAGTTAACTATACATACAATTGGTATACATTTGTATACCACAAGCCTGTAGAAGTACAGACTTAAATTTATAGCTCTCTACAAGCTTTAGTTCTCGAGGAATGCCGAATAAAGCTTTCCCTAGTTAGGTGATCCGAGCGAAAATTCAATTTTCTCGAGAACTAAAGCTTGTAGAGAGCTGAAAAGTTAAGTCTGTACTTCTACAGGCTTCTGGTATACAACTACCTATGTGAGGACGGCACAGCATTACTTTGGCAAATGCATGAAAATCTCCGTTTTCTTGGTTTCTAACAGAGAAAAAAACCGGTAAGGCGTATATAGATTTCTTATTCGGATAGTGTTTATGTGAGCAAGTAAGAATTTTTGTAGGACTCTTGTGAACCGAGTTACGATTTTTTCGATTTTTCGGGCTGCTGAGTCTTTGTAGTTTTTGGCTTGAAGCTTGAGGTGGATGAGAGCTGTTGCAAAATCAAGACGGCCATCTTGTAGAGCTTGATTTGCTCTATCCATTGGTACTTCGCAACCTATTTAGAAGTAAGCAGTGTATGACTTATTGCGGTTGAAATTCAAAACGGGCATTAATTTCCGGACAACCTAATAGAATGTGCTAGCATTTTTTTTTCAGGTCATCGAAGAGAAAACACCAGCTGGTGAGGTAGAAGATCCTTACCTGCATCCGTATATCGGCGCTGGAGACGCCGTAGGTGGTGTGGTAGATGCCAAAGTGACTTCGGAAAATCTCCAGCTCCAACGAATCGTTTCGCGATGTAGCTGTGAAATTTACTTCTGTTACTTCTCGGAAGAACTCAAGACTGACGACATCGAAGAGACAGGTGTTCCGAAGGTAAAAAAGTCTGATGGCTCAGTGCCAAGAGATCCTCCAGTAACAGTATGTTCAGGAGCAAGAACGAACTATTGGAGGTGAAGAAACTGCAGTCGATTGTGTGACCGTCAAGCATAATATGTTGGAAGCAATTAGCAACTCGGAACAGGTAGAATCAATTTTTCTTTATTCTTGAATCTTGATCTGGATATAGTCTTCACATTTTTTCGCAGTATTTCTTATTCTCAGCTGATCTTCAATGTGTAGTATTCACCGAGTTCTTTCGCGTTTGAGAGCTGTATCCAATCCTTTTTTCAGTATGAAATGGTCGTGGACATAGTCAACAACCTCGTGCTTTTCGTTGATCCTAAGAAGAAAGAACTTGCAGAACAAAGACGAAAACTACGATTCGCTTGTCAAATTATCGACATGAAAGAGATGCGACAGCGAATCGTGGAGCAGCAGGTATAACACGATTGAATCTTCCTCGTTTTCCATGAGAGGGCATTTTATTCAGTGCGAACTTCGAGAAATTGTATCAGTTGTACGATCTTTGGAGCGACAACTGTTTTATATGGATTCTCAATCCAACGGAGATGTTGATGACCAAAAACGTCGAGAAATTGTAGATGAAATGGAAGATGTAAAAGCAAAGCAATTAGAGGTGTCGGATAAGTTAGCGATATACATCAGGTTGGAACATTTCGCTTGCTTTTCTTGATTTTTTAGTCGCTACCGTATGTTATCGTAACCTCGCATGGCGCATATAGTTGTTGCGATATGCTTTTGCTGCAAGAATTGTTGTAAAGGAGTTTTTTCTCTCAATTGTTGGAGAAATAAAGTGCCACAGAGAATGAGCTTTGGAGGAGGTTATGGTAGCATACAATCAAATTTTGGAGTGCAACTATTTTTTTTCTACACAAATTCGGTTATTTCAGCTGCTATAAACAGCGTCAAGTAGAGGCAGCCCGTGCTACTGGTTTCAATAAATTAGAAGAAGAAGATGGCGTGGCTGCTATAGCAAGAAGATTCGAGGTGATTCTTTTTAGAGTCTGTTTTGATTTCAACTTCTTCACCGGGTTATAATTATTTTTTGGAGTTTTCAAAAAGTTCCCATTTGTTTGCTATCGTTCTTTTGAACATCCTTGGAAATCTATCTTCAGGTATGCTTCGAAGACTGCATTTGGAAACTGACTGAGAGCGATGGCCAGATTTCCATAGCTCAAATTCAAATTCGGAACTTCTTGTGAGTTATTCTAGGTTCATGCATAGAAGACATGAGAAGTGTTTAGGTACACAAGAACTATGCGAATAGATAATTCGGGTGAGCATCTGTTTGAGGTGAGATATTGTTTTTGGAGCCATATAGATTTGGAAAGTGTAGCTCTTCAAAATGGTAAATTGGTTATGCTTTAGGTCGGTACGATACGAGTTACAAACCTCATCCCGGACACAATTTATAAGGATACCTTGCACAGGTTTGTCTTAATTTAGGTTTCGGAAGTTTATTAGTTTGAAGAATTTTGATTGCAACAAATATAGGCTGTCCCAATGGAGTGTCATAGGTTCTAGCGGCTTGCGTTCTCGCGGCCGCCTTGCTCAGGCCTTGCTCCGCGTTCACGCACATATTCTCCGGGATTTTCTGACGCCTGAGCAGCGACTGAATGGCCGCGAACTGGGGAAATGCGTAGAGGATACGTGGGCACTACGGCGCAAGGCCTTAGCAAGGCGGCCGCGAATCCAAGGGGATCTATGACACAATCATTGAGACACCCTACAATTGTGGATTTGAAAGTGTGATACGTACTTGAATTTGATTTTTTGTGCTTAGTTGTAATCACTCTGAATTTTCGATTGTTACTTTGTTAACGCCGGTAGGGTGTGAACAATCTTGAGAAAGTAAAACTCCATCTCACTATATGATATAGTTGCATTTAATAAAATAGACTTTTTTTTTCATTTTCAGGGATGAGCGTGTGCAGACTCGACAGCCGTCATTGCGGTTGACTGTACGCGATATGGCACCTGGTTTGTAGACAATTCTATGTGATATGAGAATTTTTTAAAATTTATTTATGATTCAGTTCTTATTTGTAGTTGGCGGAATATGTGTCAAAGAGCTATTCGAAGTGAACATTGCTCCTATGGTGGCACAGATCACTTACCGATTTTTCGATAAAATGATGTTGTTCTTTTTCCCTGGGCGAAATATCCACAAAGAGGATAATTTGGATTCAGTTGACGAAAATACATCAGTGAGTAGGTTGAGGGAGGATTCATTGTTTGTTGCTTTATATGATGCGTGAATTTGTTCAGAAGTTCTCTTTCACCCGTCGTTTTGCTGGAACGCTTAGCATGAGAAGTAATAAGTCGACACAAATTGACAGAAAGCCAAGCACATCAAGTGGCAAAGTGAGTTTTCGGCATCTATCTTTGTTTGGTTTTTGAAGTATATTTTCATGGTAACATTATAATTCAGAATAGTTCTGGCAAGCAAGCATCGAATCCCGAACTAACGGATATCGACAAAATGCGGGAAAGAGCCGACAACAACAATTTCTTTCTTTACATAAAGATTCCAGAAGTTCCATTCGTGGTTTCTTATAAGGTGAGACCCAAGTTTTCTCCTTTGCGGTGCTAAATACATTCATGGATTCAGGGTAACAAAGAGAAAAATATAGAGGATGTTGATCGGTTCAGCTTCCTCTTTCCCCTTTGTGAATTTCATGAGAGGAACTGGACATGGCTCGATGTGGCCTTGGCAGTGAAACAAAGATGTAAACGGGTATTACTGCAGCAGGTATGTTCGAATATTCGTGTTTTTGGAGATTTAGGTGGCCATTTTATTCTAGTTCATGAGGCAAAAATTGCTGAGAAATCGCCTCGCAGGTGGACCAGAAACGGTTGAAGGCTTTAGCGAAGAAGATAAGAAGCGCATAGCACTTGGAACGGTACGCGTATTCATCTACCCTTTGCTTCAACCAGATTGGCTGCAGGAAGGCGGGCTTCGAGACCAGGAGGCGACTGCTCGCGTCTGCGACGCAGTCTGCGCCTCCCTCGCGAACATGCTCTCTGGCCATTTTCTAGCCTTAATTAGGTCACGAAGTCCCGATCTTCTAGCCGCCGATCTCGTTGAAGCAAAGGGTATTATATAGATACATTTATGAATTATCATTTTTATCATTTTCATTTTGTTTATTCTCGAATTTCAGACATCAAGTACAGAAAAGAAGAAGAAATAGATAGATATAAATTGGAGTACCCTGTCCTCAGACGTACATCTAGTTAGCAAGTAGTCGTAGTAGCAATGTTGATACTCTTCTAAGCTGTTGAACGATGTTATATGCATTTTCTCTTTTTGTAGATGCATTATTGAGCTACCAGTGCAGAAAATGCACAAATTGCGTTCACTGAGACGCGAGGCATCGACTTGATGCGCAATTTGGAGAAAACTTTTGCGAAAGAGACGATTTGAAACTACTACAGGTGAACTTTATGCATTGTTTGCGTGATAGCTCCACCAAATGAGACGCATGAGGTTGTTACCGTCCTTGAAGTCTCTTATGTTAACCCAAAAATGTCGCCACCGCCCCTTCCCGAAAACAAAATTTCTTTTCAACAGCTCTTATTTTTCTCCGATACCTACGATACATAAGCCTCTCATTTGCAAGTGACAGCAGATTGATAGCCCAAACTCTGTGTAAATTGATAAGTTTTGACAGGAACTTGACTATCAAAGTGGCGTTGTTAAACAATATTCTGATAGAATTTTTTCTATTTCAAAGCTCAGTCCGTTTTGGAATGTTACCACCTCTTGGAGTTATCCAAATTTCATTTTTTTTTACTCCTTCGGGCTCCCTTCTCCCTTCTTCCTTCCTTCACGTGTATACATTCATGTAGATATTCTTTTGTTCTTTGTGGTACGCGGTTTACTAGAGCAAAGCCACTTGACGGGACTTTTACAAGCGTGTCTCATGCGCCTCATTCTAGCTTATGTAATGTATATCTGTGATTTGCTTGTAAATAAAAATAACTGAACAAATAGTGTGGTTATCCTGTACTCCGGCTTCATTATTTTCATAGTAGCAAAAACTTTCCTTCTTCTCACACTGAATGTTTCGGCCGACATCTGGTACGCTTTATCAGTCTTCCGATTATGATGCGCTGTCCTACCTTTATGAATGAGCGCCCACCTTCTGATCGAGCGCTTGGTCATAACGATAACGCTCACGATCAGTGGCGGTATTTATCAATCTCCTATATGGGAAGGGATTCCTGTACAGGTCACAGCTTTTATAGGCGCGGGCAATAGCGCCTGCGATACACGAAACTAAGCTGACCCTGTCTGTTTGAAGAGGTGGTCCGATCTGGCAAGTTTGGCCACATCGGGCACGGCAAATGCCCAATCGTGCTTGATCTCGAAGGTCGGGCTCTGCTGCCCTTTGGGCCACGAGCCCCAAATTTCATAAATCGTGGGATGGCCCTCTCGCCTGTCCATTTATTATTAATAATAGCCCGAACAGCGAGTGGGAGATTGATAAATATCGCCCCTGGTTGAAACAGATTGTAACAATTGCCTAGAGAAAACATTTTGACCAAAGTCATTTTATTTCCGTTTTTGGATATGATACAAGATGATGATTGTTCTGATTACTCTGATTTACACAAAATTTATATATGAAGTTCTGAAAGTTGTGGAATCAATTGCTGCGTTTCATAAGCAGACGACCCTTCAGTTTGTAAATACACCCTCAGGAGCTCACGAACATCTGCATTGCTTGCTTCTCGACCGTCCCTTTGCAGGCTAACCTTAACAGCATAATCGTGCAGGACTTTGACCAGGGCATCACGTAGCCCAGGTACAAGCATGGTTGGCGGAATTTTTGCGACTACCTGAAGGGGGTCAACGCAGCTTCCAGCATTACTGAGTAGGTATTTTACGTGAACGGGTGTTTCGACAACTTTATCAATTAGCCGGACCCATAATTCAGCGTCATCTTGTTCTTGGCAGAAATCTATCGCTTTTTCTAGTTGTTTATAGTTCTTCATCAGTAGATCCAAAGCTTCGGTATATTTTCCACTCTTACCAAGTAAGAAAATTGTCTCTTCTGTTAAGTTCTTCTGTTGGCAGATGTTCAGAGCTTTGTGGATGTTGTAGTTTTCGTTTTTTCTCAGAAAGGGGAGAAGCTTCTCCTTGTCGTAAGCTGCAAATAGGCGAATGGCTAAGTCAGCATATTCAGCTCCTTCATTTTTGTCCAGAAGTTGAGTTAGGTAAGCCAACTGAAGTTTTGGTTGATCAGAAGTTGCAGCTAGGATCGAAGAAGCAGGGAAATTCTCCTCATTGTTTATAAGAAGTCGTATCGCTTGATCTTCGTGAATGCCCAAGAGTTCGGGTAGGTAGTCGTTAACCTGGTCGAAAAGTTGGTACTTTTCAATTATGGAAAATATTTTGGGGTCTTTCAAGGTGAAGTAGATCTTCAAGGCAGCGTTGTAGTTTCGCTCGTGTAGATAAAGATGTGCTAAGGCTTGATATAGAGAGATTTCGTCATTCTGAAGCGAACTACCCGCTCCAGGTTGAGATGAAACAATCTCCTGGACGCGTTTCAGTGTCATTCCAGTAATATACTCAGCTCGGTACAGCTCTGGGGACCATTGGAAAATTAGACGCTTAAAAAGACCAACGTCATTATAGAGAGCTGCCAAAAGCGCAGTTTCATAGCACTCCTTTTCCAGCTGTGGATTACTTATTGGTAAAAATTCGGCAATAAGAGTGCAAAAACGAGCTTGTTCAAATTTTCGAATAGCCCATTCCCACTCTGTCTTCATTGTTCCGCAAACTTCTGCCAGTCTAGCTGCTGCTCGTCGTGGTTTCCCAGACGCGATCGAATTTTCGACCATTGCTCGTCCTAGAGATTTTCTGTCCCATTCAGTGTCTTCCAAGTCTGCCAGCTTCTCACACATCAACTCCCAGGCTTCTTCCCAAAGGCCATTTTCTATCCTCCAACGAATCGTTTCCACAGTAGTGTAGGGCGTTCCGGTAATGAGGTCAGTGGGACAAGCAAGGAAGTAACACTCGCAGTTGGGTAAACCTGCCATAGCAAAATTGTTCAGCTGAGAGGAAAAATTATTTGTCGACAAGCTGAGTCGATCCTCTGCCAGAAGAGAGTATGAGGAAAAAGTTTGGGGTTCAAGGAGACAAAGCTGAACTTGTGGAGTCAATTTCTCCCTTTCTGATCTGGAAATTTTGACTGGTTGAACGTCAGCGTCTGGTTCGCAGTCATACCGTAATCCAAAAACTATCATATGTGGGATTTCTTCAGAATCTCTAGCAGCGTAAGATACTCCCGAACAGAGCATGTCCAGATGCCATTGAAAATGTATCTCCACTCTTTTCATCCCTTCAACCTCTCTCACCTTAGCTATGGTAAGAGTGTTCGCCCAAGCAATGGCCAACAATCCGTCGTCTATCCAACAATGTGACGCATGATACTGTAGGAAATTATTGGCGGGACCAATGTCGCTGTGAGGTGGAGGTATAAGCGAGATTAATTTTCCAACTCCTCTATCATAAATTCTAGTTCCACTATCATTAGTGAAAGCAATGAGTGATTGTTGCCATGAACATTCCGTAACATCACCATCTGTCTCCTCACCACAATAGATCACACTCTCCTTGTACTTGAGAAATTTCCTCTCGTAAATTGCCACTTTCGTCTCGGCAACGGCGAACATCGGCACCGTACCCGATTTGGAGAAAAGAGGACTTATCGCTATGCAACGGGGCATAGTCGACAGATTCAGAACATAGTTCAAGTTGTCGCATCCTATGCCTGAGATGACAACTTGTCCATCATTCCCACAACTCATTGCATAGTTTCCTTCGCTATCCATTGATAACTTCATCACAGCACTTCTATGTGGACGAGTTATTGGCACGTGTTCGTGATCCACATGACCAAAGTGATCCGTTATCCACAGATAACCTTGTTGTGTTCCAATCGCAATGAGTTTCAGATGAGCAGTGACAGCAGTTATCACCTGAGTGGCCAGCAATTGCTTCACATCGGGACCTTCGATTCTCTGATATTTGAAGTGTGGTTCTAGAAGCTCTTCCTCTTCTTCATTCTCATCTGATTGATCGTTGTCCTTTTCAGTAATGACATCTTCTTCTTCAGAAGCCATGCTTCATTTCATCAGTGACTGATTTTGAGCAAATCTGTAAGGGTTTGTTGACCGTTAAAAATCAATATATTGATTGATACACTGATGGGCTGCGTCTATATCCGCTGCAACCGTGGGGGGAGGGGGGGGGGGGGAGACGACATACGCGCAGAACGCAACTAGAAGCTCCGCCCCTGCGGTGCCGCGTCATTATTCTCCATTAGCCAAGCCGCTGAATACAGTCGAGACTATTTCGAGCGCGAAATTTGAGATTGTCACCTTTCGCACCCCACCTCACTCCACGATTATCCACAGTCCCATTGCGGATTAGTGCCAAACCGCGCCGCAACCGCGTGTGCTTTGCACTGTTCCGCGATTTCCATTCCCTTTTAATTCTTTTTTCCTATTTTTTTAGGCGCAGACTGGCATACATAGACGACAACGACGTTTTCCGTCTTCTGTCGATAGCTGGGAGACGCGCGCAAGATGGCTTATTAGGCCAAATCTTAACCCCAGCTACTGCGGAATAGGGACGCAACCGATCAGTAAATTAACAGAATCGATATATCAGATGAAGTATAACATCAACGGATGATCAATGGAGAAATCGATATATCGATTTATAACTGCGGATGCGCTCGCTGTAGTCGTTCCCACTGCTGCGGAACGGCGTGGATGCATAGATCGCTAGATTTCATTTTAAGCAAATGATAGGGTGAGTTTATGGATTTTTGCTAAGAAAATCAAAGAATCGAAAATCGGATTTTTTAAAATGTATAACAACAAACGTGATGCAAAAGAATCATATATTTCATATATTCAAAACCCGAGCAAAAAGATCAGTGTAACGCAAATTATATGTTGTTATAGTCTCTTCGTCTACTCGTCATCGGAATCTACTGGCTCCTCCTTTTTCACGTAACCTGGCCTTGCCTGACGACGTTCTTCAAGCGCCAAATTTAACGCAGCCCAATCCTCCGTTCTTGCCTAGATAAGGGGGAAGTTGATAAAATATGTCTGAGTGGCATTTTGGAGATTACCTGGATAGAAGCATGTTCTTCTTGTGTCAACGGTTTTGCGCCACGATTCACGACATCGATGATATCATTGAGTCTAGAAGAATGTAAGAAGTGAATACAACGGTTACGGGGTAAGGCAACCTACCGAATTGTAAGCTTCTCTATGGTATGTAACGCATCTCCATGCATTCCTTTCCAGTCGTCCTCTACTCCCATAAGTTTCTGGAGGAACTCGGCAAGGACATCGGGAGACTTGTCTGGAATTCGATTCGGCTGCTTACAAAATATCCAGCGAATAATGGCTTACCTAAAGCATCCAGACCATATTTCAATGCTGCTAAAGCTATTTGTGAAGGTGGGTACATCAGCATAACGTCGGATAGTAGGGCTTTCTCAAATGATGAAGTAAAATTTGCTTTCAACTGTGAAAAATACGAAAGCCGACCCTGAAGAACTGATCTGCAGGTTCTCGAATCGTTTCCACATTGAAGTTTAACAATAACATTCGCGTTTTCATTTCGACGAGATGTCCTTCAAATGGCCTAGAAGAAGAAAAGAGAAAAAAGTGTAACACAAGAAACCTAGATATTGTGATTTTTCAAACCTGAAAGGACTATGAATAGTGATCTGATATCGCAACGCTCGCATGATTTCTGGTTCCAAACCTAGTATACGCGTAGTATTTTGCTCTGGGCTTCCAGTTCCGAAACATAAAAATATGACTGATGGCAAAGAAGATTGATATGATGATTACCTTAGATTAGAAACAAATTCATCAATCGTTACATAGAATTCCTCGACTTTCATAGCTAAATAGGAACATGCCATCATCACAATCTGCAATATGGAGCCACATAAATCATGTTTCTATTCAAGTGCAGCGTATTTTCTACGACTTCAGTGCTGGCGCGGGGCTGTTCAGAGTTGTCCATGCTAGCGGTGTGCCGGAACGTCGACCGATTGATACGGGACGCGTTCACGTGGGAGCTGACACGGCGCTGGCACGCTAATAACTCTAAACGCAGCCCGCGCACGTCATGGCTATACCTTCGGACTAGCTTCCATGACCGACCAATTCAGAAAAAGCCGCTTGAAATATGCATAAGCGGTCCATCGTACAGACGGCCACATATTCGGCCGAAAGCCATCAGAAAAACTGTAAGAGTATTCAAATTCTCCGATATTCATCATCGAGTACAGACTGTTTTAACTGACCGTATTGCTGCGGCTTCAACCACTCCTATCATTTGTGCCTCTTCTTCTACGGTCAGAAATATGGATTCCTCACCAGGTTGAATGAGCTCAGCTTGCTTATTTCGGAAGTTCTCATTAGCCTGCAATACTATGCTAGACGAGTTCGTGAGGCAAAAAAATAGAGTGGGATCAGCAGATCAGTGGGATTGCGCGTAATTCTCAAACAAAACAAACACAGCGAAGTTCAGAAAAGGTCACTTGCCCCTGTCATTAACAGAAAAAGGAATGGTATGGCAAAGACCTTTTTGGAAGATATGCCAGCGTCTGTACTCTTCAGGTCATAAGTAAAACTTTGCGCAATTCCACTCAAATGAAGATAAATTGAGAACATCCCTCAATGGAAGAAAGATGGAACAGCCACAATAGACTGTTTGAGTCCAATACTAAATCGATTTGAAAAACAAGATATGATCCTGAGATCAACAAAAACTGTAACCTACTAATCTGCGTTTTTCTGCAAGTTCATCTTTTGTAAAAGTCCATTCTCTTTTCTGCGTGCTTGTAGAATACATGCAGTTTGCTAAAATCAAATAAAGAGCGTTACCATTAACGGCTGTAACGCAGGAAAAAATGAACGTAAATAGACGATTTCTTACACATAAAGGTCCATGCAGGAATAAAAGGTCATGAAGTATGTGAAAGATTCATTGTAACAAGTATATCAACAGTAACAACAATAACAATTTTAATCCCTATATGGGGTGTTGCGAATAGCATACATCAAATGTGCACATTGTAATATGTCGATTCATAGCTCATTTAGAGTTCTTCCCATTCTCCGACTAATAGATGTCTGATATTGAGTCCAATTAGCGCAGCGAGAGCTGCTACCTTGAATAAGACAAACGTTAATGAGCAAATCTTCTTCTGATGTATATATACCTGCTCAGCCATTTTTATGTTTGGTTGACCTTTTCTTGACCTGAATTTCCTTCCCATTACTTCTACACTTCCCTCATAACGCTTGTCTTCATCTCGACGATGCTGAAAAATTCTTGAATTTGAAAAAGCAAGTAGAAAAGTGGGTACAGGCTCGTGCCCATAGTATGCTATCATAAGCTCGCGCAATCGTTAACAAACAAAAATGACATCAAGAAGATGCCCACAGGACCGTTAGTGGTGTAGCATACGGTAATGGAGAAAAGACCATAACTGGACAATTAACGAACCGAGGCGTAGATCGGGTTTTCTGCTTTCATATCCTTACAGTACTTGAACAAAACACACTTCGGTGTCGTGCTTGCATTCTGAGCGTCTTTCAACTTCTTTCTATAAAGACGTCAATGAAACGTACAAAAACAAAATATGACACCAATAAGAACTAGAATGATTTAACTTCAAAACTCACAGAGGAAATGACACATCATGATACTCGTATTCAGAGATCAGTTCTGAGTTCGAACGTTTGCATTGCTTTCGCAATCGTGTTCTCCGGCATTCTTCGTACTTATCTTCTCTTCCCCAAGCTCGGCAAATCTCCAAGTTACTGCCAGCTAATACTGTTTGTCGACCTCTCTCATCAGATTCCTAAAGCGCTGACAACTCTAAATTGCTCCATTAAGCAGATTATCTCACCTGTTTACCGCCAAGTATCCGTTGCACGACATATTTTGTCATTGTATAATTTTCATCAAACTCGCAAGCCTAAACAATCACAACATGTAAGGAATACGAATGAAAGATACTCAAAATACTCACCAAGTCCAAGAAATTTTCTATGTCTCTATCAAAGGGCAGAGTTCCATCGCGTCGAAATACAGATGGACATGAGAGTGCCTGACGAGCAACCATAACCGATGACGTTCCGGTCTCTTTCCGAAAGTCGAGTATGTCTTCATATGACTTTATTTCGCCAGAACCACCGCTGCAAATGTCAACAAACTGTACATGTGAAGATAAAATTCTGATATGGACATGAATTCGCTATCAACGATGTTGAAAAAAAAACCAGATTCGAGTGTAATGACTGGTTAAAAAATAAGAAACGTCAAGAGTATCCAATAAATGACTATAGAAGCTTCCTTACTTCGCTATCACCGGTATGCTAACAGTCCTAGCCACTTCACGAATCTCATCGATGCGACATGGATGTGGATCTCGCTCATCTCGTCGCCTACCATGCACACCAAGAGCAGCTACACCGCATTTCTCGATTTCTCGTACGAGATTGAGAGTTTCTGTCGGCTATAATCAATATAAAGTTGGTGCGGTTTTTGGAATATGCCAAAAAATAATAAGAGACCGGCTACCCACGTCATCTAATACTCTTATTTTGCATGAGACGGGAACTTGGGCTACGGATGTAAGCGACGTCAAGATCTGAAAAATTGTGCGTTGTTTCTACACAGAATATTGAATATCACAAAAAGAAAGCCAATTTATTATTGAAGAAGAAAAAACCAAAAGCAAGAAAACTAAACGAGAATCGATGCTTGGGACTGACGCACCTTTTCTAGGCTTCTTTAGATGTTATCTTGACAAGTAAAATGCATTGCCTTCTGAATGATATCTCGCTTACCTCCCTGATCTTGTCCACTTTAGTCAAAAGGGCAGATCCCATACCGCAATGTATCGAGAATGGTTTTGGACAACCCATATTAACATCTATAGCCGCCACATCTGTACCTCTGCATGAGACCATAGTAAACTATGGAAGTTTGGTAAAAATAACAAGAACAATGCTAACACCATTTTTGCCACTTCAGCCGCATTGTTTCCGCTATTTGTTCCAATCTGGAGAACACAGGACTTTTGCTCTCGAGCTCTCGATATTCGGAGAACAACATCATCAACCATACAGTAATCTATCGTGTCCAGAACGTCTGGAAACAAAAGGATTATGTACTTTCATTCCAGTCATTGCACATTTATAGAAATTTTTTTCCCATCGGCTTTGAAAACCCAAAATAAGGCATCTAGACAATAAAAAACTTCAATTACTCACTATTAACTGTTCGTTTGCTAGACAGAAGCTTTTGGTCAATAATTTCTTCGGTATAAACTAGATCTGCTCCATACTCCAAAGCAAGAACCCTAAAAACTTGATGAATCGTGGAGCTACATACATAATTTAGATATTCACGCCCCACATCTTCGTTTCTGTGGTGAAGATTATCTGTGGCGAGATGCAAGCCCAATCATATTCAATCGTATGGTTCTAACGTTTCTTCCTTTATACATAGATGAGTGAAAAAAATAAGTGAAAATTAGAGCTGCTAGTCACCACAAGGTCATTAAACTTCTCAAAGATTGCCGTTTTCATGAGATGTCAAGGCTACACACATCATCGCGAACCGCGGAAAAGAGCATTTCTTCACAAAAAAGAGCTATCTAAAAAACAAAGCTCACCTCAATGGCGTGCGACCTGCGCGTACCATAGGTGCCAAACATATCTTATTTGTGTAGAAAGATGTGTCACCCGTAATGCTCATTCACAACTTATTTTCTAAAATAGTTGCTTCCTTCAATCTCAACCCAGTAGTATGAAAAAATCAAGTAAAGCGCGTAAATTCGCTGCTAACACAAAACACTGGAATACAAGTAAATCATTTATGATAAATGAAACTAGCTGGTATGGTCTTGAAGTAGCTTCAAAAGTTTGAAAAATAAAAACAGCAAAAGATATCTAGTCAGTATTTGAAACATATTTGAAACATATACAAAATCGACTGAAAAATCGAGGCAATGTACATTGAGTTTATGGTGCGCAATTTTCTTCTAAAGATATAACACACGTCGTTGAAGAAAGAAAGAAGGGCATATTGATCTAGAAGGTATTAGTGCAGCATGAAATTAAAATGTCTAGCGAAACATGAGAAATAACTGAAAAATGCTTTTGTACAATATCAACACCAAATAACATGCACTAGAGCATTGATACACAGAAAATTAGAAAACTGAACAATTTCTAATGTGACTTCGTCAAGATATTTGTTAGAAAAACATTGGTAAACTTTGTCCAAATGATGTCTATGCTCAATAATACTGAGATAAATCGATCAAAGCAAGGACACTACTGATTGAACAAGTTGCCAGATTCTCCTTGCAAGAGCTAACACACAACTTCTCGGGAAATCAACCAACAACCATGTTATTATCGTCCGCAAGTGGCGGTACCGCACTTGATGATGGAAATGTAGAAGGGGGTGGAGATGCACCAAAAACCTAGAAGGATCAAACATCACGTAAATGTGAAAATGCAATCTTCAGGGTGAGCCCATCAATGAATTAATCAGCTAAGATTTAATGCCGCTCAAATAGAACTCGAAAAGCAAAGACGCAAGCAATCGCTAGGGTAAAGGTGCGAATTAACTCATAATCTGTAACCGAAGAAAAGCTTCGCGAAGGGCAATCCGATTGCTAAAAGAGGTTACAAAGTATCACTGGAAACGGAGCTTTCTACCAGATAAGAGGAACAGCCCACTAAGCCTAATTTATATTAATTCACCGGCACTCAAAAATGGCATTCAGATAAAACCATCGGAAAAGACAAGGAAAACGATAATGGATTATGAGCGGCAACAGGGAAAGAACGACATACGAACCAAAAAAACTAGTAGACTAACGAAAAACACAATAGTTAAGCACTCACTAGCTGTGTAACGTCAGTAAATGCACAGTGCGGTATCTTTGCGGACGCTAGTTCAGACTGCATTTTTGCCCATAGATGGAAATATCGAGATAGTTGTGATTGTGGGCTGCGTCCGCCAAATTCTATAAACAAAAGAAGGAAGTGCTACGAAGTTCAATACAAAGTATATATTCGTTATAAAGAAAGAAATCAAACGCGCCTAGTATAGCTGCTGCCGTCTGCTTCGCTAGATCTTGTAAATGTTCTTCACTCAAAAGCTGATGTGATTCAAACTGTGCATGATCCAAAAGACATATGGTAGCCAATGAATCCTGCAAAAACACAAAAACCTTCCATGAAATGAGGAAGCAAAAACGCAAAAAAATCTTACGTTCAATAGTGCTTTTGTCTCTCCACTGAGGTTAGGAATTTGAAGAGATAATGCATAGATAGAACGTCCAAATTCGATCACTTCGTTGTACTTTTGGTACCTAGTTGGAATTATTCAAGAAATCTAAATGATTTTAGATATTCCCACTCACTCAACAGCACAAGCGGCTGCTTCTTCGGCACGGCGGATACCATCTTCAACTTCAGCATCTGTATAAACAAACCTTTACAGTTTGTCTAAAACTTTCGGAACTTGTAGGACTAACCCTCTTCGTCTTCAGTATTCTCCTCTTCAACTATTGTGGGATCCCCATCACCACCAAGAATCACACCATCGTCGATGGATCCACCGTCAGCAGAGCCTGCTCCATTCTTAACATCTTCTGAGGATTGACCATTACGGGCCGCTGGCACAACCTCAGAAGAGCTGCATGGTTCTTGTTCCATTTGCATATCAGCTGGCCTATAATTGGCAACTAGCTGACTGCATAAATCCTCATGTCGGCTATCAATGAAGACACTGCTTATAGTACTTCTGCTCTGGTAGCACGAAGCCTACTTTGTGATACAAGAGCAGGCGATACTATATCTTTTGCAACCCTCTGCCACTTCTCTGTCTACACATGATGGCATCATGCTTACAAAGGCAGCAATGCAGATACTCAGAAAGAACTATGCTTTTTCACACATTCGCTAAAAACTGAGAGTCGCATACGGTTGCGTCGCGACTTAGCGTGATCTAATAGTAACTCATCGCAAAAAAGGACAAAGTCCTTCCTAGATTATAAAACCGCAGAACAGCCATAAGCTTACAAAACTAAACAGATAATCGAAAAAAGACAAAGGTCATCAACAAAACAAGGACTTTACAAAACCTGCTTCATCACGTAAGAAAAAGCTAAAAATGAGAACTTACACTGGCATATCTTCGTCAGCAAACGGTGGGGTTCGTCTAGCAGGTGGAGCTTCGATGTCTTCAGCTTGAGAATCTGCTAAAGTTATGTTTTTGCTTGTATCGTTACTTTAACTTTCCGTCCAAACGGTTCCTCCACTTACCGTACTTACCGTATGTGCGTTTATGAGGATTCGTTGGATAATTGAGCGCAGCTAAACAATTTTGACGTGAGCACTGCCATAACGAAAAAATCAAAAGTCTTACATCTGGGGCTAACAATCGAAGATGGTAAAGATTGACCATTTGAACTGGAGATTGTCACCGGTTTCGATAAAGCATCCTAAGTGAGTAATTTTCCGGAAACCGATAATCATCGCGAAAGAACTTACTTGTTTCGCGATTTCCGCAGCCATTTCCACAAACTGTTGGCACTTGAGAACAAGAGCAATATTCTTATTCAATACAAATATATCAGGATAAGCATCTTCCATACGCGATATGGCCTCAGCACTGCGTCTTGATAGTACAAGAGCAACTATCTCTACAAAAATAACGATGAAAAATAAAGGCGTGAACTTATAGGATTATTAATATTGAAACAACAATGAAAACATAAAAATGCAAAAGCCTCACCTTTTCTAGTCTCAATGCTCTGCTCGCCTTCCTCAGGCACCAGTTTTGCGGCATTACAAAACGAAGCCATCGATTTGCTGTGGCCTTCGCAAGCCATCCATGACGACACGAGCCTGAAAAAAAAACATTGTTTTGTCAAAACCTTGAACTCAATCTAGAACTAATGTTTTGTCAAAACCTTGAACTCAATCTAGAACTAACTTATTCATCCAATCAGTCTTCTCTGATGGTAGCTGCACGGCAAGAATTTCACCGCAAACCTTAACGCGAGCTGCCTAAAGTTGAATTCGCTTGCAAAAAAAAAACAGTAGACTTAAAAAACATTCCTACCTCCATTTCTGGTCGTATATCAAACCGAAAAGGTCTTTGGCCAAAGTTCGCATCCACAACTTCGCCAGTGGTTTGCAGGCCAATGGTGGGGTAGAGATCATCGATGTGTTCCACTTCCCGCGAGGCTATGCCTAAAATGGTGCCAATAAACTCACAATGTTCATCAGCCGCAGAAGAAAAGGCAAACGCATAACGCATCAGCGCACATTTCACATGGAAAATATATTAATATTTAGTTTTGAAGACTCACCCAGATGCACACCATTCTTGGTGAAGAAAATCGTTTTGTTTACCAAATTCACACCACATCCGACCACATCACCAGTGGTGAATTTCGGGCCATAAGCCACTCCGTTACCAGAAAACGAAAAGAAATTGCCATCATCGCCGTGGTAACCATATGAATATCGATCCCATCCTATCACATCAGTATTTTGTTTAACAAAATGGAGATAATTGAGCAGAGGCAAACCTGGCAATCGATTCAAATTCACGGACTTTCCGCAGATTCCAACACCCATGCATCCTTTCAAACCGCGAACGATGGTAATCTAGACAGCATCTCAGTGGATTATCGATTCTCTCTATAGGAAAAAACTAAAAAATCCACCTCAAAGTAGTAAACACCACATTGTGGAGGGATTGGGTAATCCGCACGTGTCGATGCCGCATCTTTTTGTTGCTGTTTACCATTACCTGTGCGAAAGAGACCTAATCAGACATACGTAATGTACGGCGGTATCGCAAAAAACATATGTCATCAAGAACGTTTCTCGATCTTTCATAAAGGCAATCTTTGTTTGGAAAAAAAACAGAAAAAATGATTCACCTCACCATTCGAAATCCCCAAAAAAAAACTGAATTACGCAAACAAGTGGTTCAGACACCAACCTTTGTAGCTTACTCGAAGTGAACTGTGTGAGATATCCAAAAAGTGGTACTTGTCATTTTTATTCCAAGCTCGTGGCAAGCGCTGAATGAAATCGTGGACAGATCAAAACATAAAATATGGTGTAACTTGAAAAAAAAATGAGCTTCAAACTTATTACTTCTGAAATTAGTGAACATCATGATGTGAAACACCATGAAAAAGTAAGAAACTTTGAGAAGGTCTCAACCTACCTTGTATTCTGCACGTGGATAAAGGTTTATGAGTCTTTCCCTAGCTAGACGATCATTTTCCTAAAATAAATTGAGTAATCACAGAAATGAGCTAAGATACACAGAAAATAAAGTAAAATAAACTTACCTCAAACGTTGTAGCCGGCTTCATTCCATCACTACCCCAACTATCTTCCGATAATCCGCGACTTGAGGAAACCTGAAACAAAAAGTACAACACACAGGTCTTCAAGATGAAGACAAAATACCTCTTCTCCCATTTCGTCATCATTGGAGTTGCTGGAATCATCGCCGATAGGAAGGCCGCGGTTCATCAGCATCACAGTAAAAAGGCTTGAAGTCATACGATATCAGCAGAATAAGGTAAATGGTTGAGTCACCGACGCAGACTAACGAAAATCTGAATCACTACAGCGAAGCGGTTAAAGCCGGCTACTATATTCTGCCCACCTCTTTAAATGGTGAATGTCGACTTAACCGCGCCGCGGCAGTGGACGTAGTTCACGGACTATCTGCGTCGTTAACTCATCTATCAAAGTCAAAATTCGACAATTTCAGATATTCGCGGCCATGACCACATCAAGGTGGGGAACTCATTTCTTTAATGGTTTATTCGTTATTTATACACTAGATCTACCCCAATCTATCATTTTTAGGCTAGTATTTCCAAGGATCTGCATTCTTCGGCATCATTCGAATCCTATCGGCGTACATTTTTGAGTGTCCCTAAAAAACAAGTGATCAGAAGCAAAACTCAAACACAAGGGGACTTACCTTCATCATTTCAACTTTTGCATATCCAGCATTCTCCCAGCATCGGCCAAAATAAATTACAGGAATTGCAGCTAACCAGTACCCTTTCTTATCCCAGATGGCTGTTCGCACAAAATATGACAACGTGAAGGTTCCCATTTTCGAAGTTTTCTAGAAAAAACAGAGTACAAAAGCATGAATATAGAACACGCAGAGCACGTAGCATAAGAACAAACACAGCTCAAATTTGTTTACGGGTGTACCAGCATTCCTTTATCTGCAGCCTTGTTTATGGAACAAAGCAGCCAAAACAAAGCGCGTCAGCTTAACCAGGATCAAATTTGTAAGAATCGTGATGCAAAACAGATATATTCACAAAAGTCGCACGAAAATGCATTTTTTTACACATATTCTTGAGATCTTAGTGTTTACAAAGGATGATGTGCTACCGAACGCACAATGTGCTCAGAATCCACTCCTATAAATCGACTTCAGTTTGAAAATCCACAACTGTGATCTAGAAGTGGTAGACGGCAGAGATTCACTTCTAATGAGAAGAGCTAATGCAATTGAGTAGATTTTCCGCGCGATACAGAATGGTTGCAGTGGTCAAATTGGGCGATCAAAGTTACGCGTGAACAAATAGCGACGCCGGTATTGCTGTCCATTTGCGCGCGCAAAATGCCGGCATGACTAGCGTGGCTATTTGTCACGCGCAAATTTAGTCGGCCAATTGCGGCATCGCAAGCACACTATATTGAGCGGAATATCTACCATACTTATGATGTTTGCTTATCCAAGAGATCGTGAAAACTGCATAAACTCAAAACATCAAATCGGAAAGCACAACGGGATGCTCCAGCATACCTTCCACACGCGCAACCGATGTGCAGTAATAATCATGGGATGACAGGTTGGGAAAAACATTTTTCTCATAAGCTGATCTCACTTGTGAGGATCGCGCTCACTTCTCGAACGCAGGCAAGTACAGGAAGTGCCAGTTGCGGTACAACTCACGGGATTCAAAAAGAAATTGCGCACCTCAGGATGCGAAACCTTAACTTGTTTTTACACTTGTAATGGTGTTTCCGAAGGTTCTCAAACTTTTTACGCACCTAAGAACTGATTACACCAGGAAAAAAGGACCGGTTGAGCGCTGAGCGCCTGGACACCCGAACCGCGCCGCATGTCTACGCATTACCGTTGACGAACCTGCCTTTGCAACAGACAGTGTATGGCTGCCACGTTTCTGACGGTTCTCTGCCTCATAATGCGCGCAAAGTGCAATAAAAGAAGATTCAGATGCAATTACTATCAACTTCAATATCAGAGAGGATGGAAAACGTACAATATCCACCCTCAAAATAGAAAAGTCATGTGAAACCGCAGATTTGAAATACTGATATTTCTCCAACATGTTGGCATTACGTGGAGGCAAAAGTCTATCTGCACTTGATGAGCACTCACGGGCAGTGCAGTGCAGTCGCCCAGTGACCACATATTGTATGGGTATCGATCGAAATTGGGTGCTGGCACCACTAACACGATTTCAGAAGGAAATGAACTGAGGGTTGAGTAGAAAGGAATTTTTAGTTGTGAGTTATTATAATTTGATGTAATTTACCACTTAGAAAAAACCAAAATCTATTCTTTCACTTGAAATATTTTAAAATACATTTCGATGCTCTCGGTATTACTTTAACCTCATAAAAAACAAACTAAGGCAATTACTCGTTTTCTGGAATGTTTAGAGGCAAAAACTGATGCTTTGGTTTTGACAAACCTTGAAACTCTTGAAATTTGATAAAGAATTGATCTACTGTGCAACACAAAATCGATATTTCCCAACTAACATAGCGAAAGTGAAAGAAATACTGTTGACGAGTTCGTGCATTGATGAAACGACAAGGAACGAACCGCATTCGATTGAGTGCGCTGCAGCACTTTGTGTTAGGGCGCACTACTTCGTACACAAGACCACTAGTGCTTTTCAAATGGGAAGTTGCTATCATCAAACATTCAGCTTTGGAAAGGTTTATCGTGAGGTTTAGTTTTTTTGTGCGCTAAAACTTTGTCTACGTTGGTTTCCCAGCATTAATTACTCAGAAGTCTGATATTTTGAAGTTTACCTTTGAATAATTCAGTTATATTTTCCAAGTTCGAGCGAAAACGACTGTTTCGCGAGTTTAGCAGTCATTCATAGGTTCTGGGAATTGGAAAATCCCATGTTAACACGTCTGTTCTTGTGCTTTACTTTTGATGGCAGTGTCCGGACAAGGTGGGAGTTTTGGGAATTCGGTGCCATGCAAAAGTGCCCCCCCCCCCCCTTCCCCCTCCCCCAGACAGAGCATTTCGACCGGGTAGGGGAACGAACTCCGCCACTTTGAACCGCTTCCACGGACTACTAGTCCTGCAACGACATGCAACAATATTTTAAAAGGACTAGTTGCCAGTGAAGGCGGGGTCAAACTGACGGAGTTCGTTCCCTTACCCCGTTCGACCTAAAGAAAGAAAAACAATTGAAAAGTGAGGAAACTTACACCTTGGAGCGGAGTCCTCCGACCTGCTTGAATTCCTGCTATGCGGCAGAGTACGCAAGCCGCCACAGTGAAAATCGTAGGGTTCCGCAGCAACTGTGCGTCTCAGCCTTGGCAGGGACAGTCAGTTTCAAATCATGAGGCTTCGAAAAACACATGCCCTCGCCGTTTTTGAGCTTTCTAACGTGGGCTTTCGGATTCAGTGTTACGATAACCCCAGGTAAACAAATATGCTAGAAAGGAGTTTTTACCCGGACACTGCCTTCAACTTGTGACGACAAAGAAGAACAAGTATGAGCTTGTTAGACATGCTTCGCCAAAGTCTTCCATCTCCTCGAAGCCATAGTTATAGTCGCTTTCATTCGAAGGTCGCTTTGTGCGATTGCACAATTTTTCAAATTGCAATGGAAAACTTACATCACAAACAATCTCCCTTCCGCTTACCTATCTGTAAATGCTTTTGCGCTCACTTTTTGGTGTTTTTTTTTTAAATTATTATGGTGGCAAACTGCGGTCATGGCCACGCTGAACTGCGATTTTCAGAGTGGTACAGTTATACAAAGACGCTGAAATAGGACTGCAAGAACTGGAGGGAAGGAGCAGAGATGGGGGATCATAGCTGCAGAAGGCGAGCCGGCATAGTCATCTGTTCTATTCTACCTCATCTTTTATGCAACAATTTAACTCTACACCCCCTCCTTTCCCCCTGTACATACATATCAGATGTGAAGCATTGGCAACAATCCAAACCGCCCGCACATGTTCCTATAGTTTGCATAGTGCAGCTCAGTCATGGTCACATAAAAACCATAGCTTGCTATACCGCCAACATTTTCGGCAAACTTCAGCTTGCTTAATGCCCCGATGTTGCCCTATTTTCACAACAATTCGTTCAAGAAAATAATTTATTGCACATCTCTTGATAATTTATCACATATCATTATTAGATCACAGTAAATTACAAAAGCATATAAAAGGCAGTACTTAATTTAAATCTCAACATCTAAATAGCATCCCCCTTTTCAACAGAGAATAGCGCTTCAACGACTTCATGACCGGCTGCGACAATAATGACGTCTTCCAAAGGCTTATCGTTCGGACCCTTCGGTACTGTTTCTATGGCGCGGACAACATCCATGCCAGTCAACACCTAAAAAATTGTTTTGTCCGCAGAAACTTTTGCAGCAATATCTTGAGCAGCACCTTTCCAAAAACAACGTGTCGACCATCCAGCCATGGTGTTTTTTTACAAGTGATGAAAAATTGACTTCCATTGGTGTCTTTACCAGCATTTGCCATTGATACCCAACCAGCTCCGTAGTGTTTGAGCTTGAAGTTTTCATCGGGGAATTTCTCGCCATAAATGGACCTGTGATGATTTTGTTGTGATAAACAGTTCAGGAGTGCTTATGACAAATTCCTGATGTGCGCGACTTAAAACAATAACCAACACGCACTGCCTATGAAATCAAGAACCTAGTTAAAGCAATTCATCCCACGCAGAGATTAGGCGCCGCGTCCGGTCAGGACAGGCTTAATTCAGGAGAGACATCAGACGGCTAGACGACCGAGAGTGCGTTCAACTCTGAGACACGATGGTAACGTCCGCACTGGCGTCCTGTCTTTACGTGCGACAAATCACCTATACTTTCTTCTGGATGGGCTAGATAAGGCGTAAGGAGCACAAGTTTCTCAAAAACGACGGAAAGCAAAAATTTCAACTTTTTTCTCCTTCGAAAATTGGACCTGAACGTCTAGGCTGATCTAAGAAAACTTTTGTAGCTGGAAACGAAAACTACCATCACTATATCATTGAGTTCAGAGAAAGTTGTACGAACGGTGTCCAGATTCGTGTGGAGGGTTGCGGACTTTCCCTGATTATAAGGCTAGGTTAAAGGCAGTACATCGGCAGAGTGAGACCCATGGCAAAACCATGGGATGGGCGGGGCCAGAGAATACAGGAGATGAGCGCTGCTTCCGCGATTAAATTTCGGGGGTTAGAAGTGGCAGTGAAAGATCGGACTTTGGCCGATAGGTTCCATACGGAGGCTCCTACCCTGTGACCTTGTTTTGTCACGGGTCTCATTCTGCCGATGTACTGCCTTTAACGAGCGAGTCAAAGAACGATGCGAAAGTCCGGAATCCGCCTTTTCACAAATCTGGGAACCGATGATACATATCAATGAAGCTGACTTCATAAAGTAAAAATGATTAAAACGACGCGTAATGGACGCGAAACATGTGAAAGAGTCTTTTGAAGCGGAAGAGATTCTAAACTGAATGTAATGCTGTTCTTGATATAATAGCATGATGAATATAGAAGAGCGTCAACGGTAAAGAAGTTGTAAAAATTATACCGTCCACCAGTTCCATCTCCTTTGGTAAAATCTCCACCTTGTATCATGAATTCCGAAATTACCCGGTGGAATTTGCTGCCAACGTAGCCTTCTCCCTAAAATAGTTTTAAAAGCGAAAAGTTCATAAATTATGGCAAGTTTACCTTACCTTAGGTTTTTTAGCAAGCTGAATGAAATTCTCGGCTGTTTTCGGAACTGTCTTGCCAAATAGACCGATAACAATTCGTCCTAATTGCTTGCCATTTTGTTCGATGTCGAACCAAACCTGACGGTATAACTAGTGAGACAATCTCAACAAACATTGAAAAAAATCAAACCTTATCGGTGACTTTGGGTCCTTTCGCTTTGCTGGGGGTGTCGGCTGCGAAAGCAGCGGTAAACCCAATGATTAATAATAGAATCTGGTTCATTACTGCAATATTTTTTTGATTAGCAAGATCTAACATTTCAATTCAGATAAAACGCAGAATTAAATACACTACGAAGGCTTTAAAAAGCAAGGACCACGAAAATGAAAGAGCTATACTAAATCAGTTATTGAGGACTCCACAGTGTGCTAATAAACAGCTCTTCGAAAAGATAAACAATAACAGAGATCGTATATTGCTGGAGCGGTGCCAGAACAAGATGCATGAGTACGAAAGATGTGCAGATGCAGACGCAGCAGGCTAATTTTCTTGCAGAGAGTGTTGTTTACTCAACAAAAAATATTTATTGTTTTCTGATAACGTTGGTTGTTGTATCTACTACTATTTTTTTATCTTCAAGAAACTCGCAAAAAATCGTTTGTTTTGCTTCTTTTATGAGCACGTTCTTCGCAAATTAAAAACCTTGAACTTAGTTTTCATGTCTGTCCATTACGGCTCATTAGCGCCGCTCTAAGTTCCTCCTGAGGCCGTATTCATCATTGCTACCCGAGTTAAAATGAACCTTGAGGTAAAATATACCTCAAGGTACATTCTACCTTAAGGCCGTTTCGTATTCATCAAAGTACCTCAAGGTTAATTCTACCTCAGTTTGCATGATGTGCGGTGATGCTCATTCAAGGCATGCCATAACTCTCAGCGGTGTGTAAAGTCCATTATTGTGAATCCCTCTTCTCTATCGTTCATGTGGGTATGATGTTGCGTATGATGTTATGTTGGTATGATGTTTTTGTTATGTATGTTGCGAAGGCAACACTTTGTCCGGGGGAGGTGGAGAGAAAAAGTATTTGTTGGTTCAATGTAAGTGGGGCTAGCCATGCACTCCGAAAAAATATCTGGAATGTTTCCCTAAAATTTTTGCGGTCTCTTTGCTGTTTTCCGCCGAAAACATTCTTTCACCAGGCTAACTTGAAATGTGCAAAAAAAAAATTCGAAAAATACTGGAATTACTTACAAGCTCAAAGGCATCGTTCACCCTAAGTTGAGGGTGTTGGGCTTTTGGCAGCATATAATAGTAGGGCCCCCTATCAATCCAATGCCCAAGTTGCGGCGCAAAGTGCCGCTTCGGAAGCGAGAAAATAGCGAAGATGCACGAGGACTCCCATCCATGCCCGCCCTCCCCCATCCATGCCCGCCCGCTTGTGCACGCCTATCCAATCACCGTTCCGGAAAGCCGGCCTGTGGGTTCTCCGAAACGGGGATTGTCGGGGTTTTCGCGCATTCTCGACCATATATTCGGAATCAGGGACATGAGAAGGCTCTGAAACGAAAAAACGTGGAAGTCGAAAATCTGGGTGGACAGTGCCTTTAAACAACTCACTTGCACATCCTCACAACTCATGTAAGTGACTTTTAAGAATTTCAGACTATCCCCTCCCTCCATTGGGCCACTGCACTGTCTATTGCACGGTATCAAAATCACAGAATAGACGACTGTACTGCCCCAGGGGTTAATGCTATGCCACGAAAAGAATGTCATTCTCATACAGTTGAAATTTTCGAAACGTGAGATAAGTCAAAATTCCAAAGTTGCTTAAAAATTTGTTGAGGGGCTTTTTCCAGTTTGCTGATCACAAATGTGATTCCAGTAGCTTTCCAATCTCGTAAACCCCGCTGGAAAGTTTTATCGAAACAATATTCCGGATTCCTAGATGGTGTTCCGACGTAGTAGAGCTGTATCTTGGCTAAAAGAAAAGCATGAATAAGAGTAACAACATATTTGGAGAAACATAGGGAATTGTTACAAATTGAGCGCGAAGCTACGTGGATGCCATGATCTTTCTCCTTCAGCAAAAGTAAAATTCTGAGAATTATCTACCACCAGCTAACCAAATCCAAACTAACGATTGTCGTAATGGCACAAACGTGCCAGCTCAGACGCTGGAAGCGGACACGCTGTGGCCCTTAATTATTACTGCGGTTTACAAAATGTGAGCTGACAGATAAAGGAAAATTATAGTAAACTTATGATCCGGGGTCAGCCGCCCTACGGAGGATCTCGGATGGAGTGTATTTTGGTGCAATTGCACCCAAAGGCCGCAGGTGGGCTGCACCATAGCGGCTGAGCAGATTTGGCACATTACTGCGTGATTTTCCGCGGCTCATACGTTTTCAGAGCCTGAGATATGAAGAATGAAAAAATTTATGGCACGTACTTTTGTAGCTGCTTCGGCTGCAGTGGTAAGATTAGAATGAACCCTACTTCAATATAAGATACCTTGAGAAACTACCTCAAGGTAGAATCTACCCCAAGGTACAATTTCGTATTCATCAAAATTTATCTCTCAAGGTTAAAATAACCTGTGCCAGCATGATAAACACTAACGTTTTCTCAGAGAACGGCATAGCGTACTTACGGTGAGTTGCTTTTTTTCATATCTGCATGGGATTTACGCAAGAATACTTATGTCTTCAGGGTGTGAGAGGCTATAACTGGTGAATTGGAGAGGATAGGGTCCATATATTCAACAATTCTAGGTTTTAAGACTCTATCCGGGAGAATGTCCGCTTCTAAGTGCAATTTGCAAAATTATCTGCTGCGATGCCTACCTGATGCCTACTTCAGTTGAATTTGAGTTGAGAAGCTGAACAAGACTAAAGAAATGCGTCACACGAAGGTCAACACTGGATTTTCTTGAATACAGAGCTTGCAAAGCGATTTGTTTTTGAGTTATGCAAATTTAAGCTTGTGGTTTCAGTGTGCTATGCTCAAAATACTGTTTGATAGGGTCTATGATGCTCAAAATGCTGTTGGAGCAAATAAGGGATCTGTTTGATTTTCTCTGGTTCAGTACATCAGTTTCACAGGAGTTTTAAGACACTCACAACATATCCATAGGATTTAAGAGAAGTGTAATACTAATTTTTTTACATGTCTATAACTCTAGCTAATCTCAACGAAATTAGACAAAATTGCTGCAATGGTTTCAGTTTTGTCACTGCAGTGTTCATGTGAAAAATCAGCCTTAAAACCTTATAGATTTCTGAAGGTATCACTCCTAACCTTGCCTTTTGCTAGGGTAAAAGTTTCTATTGTAAATGTACCTCAAGGTAAAGGCATCAAGTTTGATGAATACGGATTTATCGCTGATAAGGCTACCTTGTGGTAGAATTCACCTCAAGGTGTCATTCATTCCACATGAAATCATTTTCAAGGTTGATCTAACCTTGAGCATTTACCTCAAGGTACATTGATGAATACGGGTTTTGAGTGATAATCCTACCTCAAGGTTCATTTTACCTCAAGGTAGCAATGATGAATACGGCCTCTGGTGGAGAACTCTCCATTTCTATGGTTTGTCCTACCTCCATTTCATACTTCCGCTGTCATTGCTCTCAAACGACAATTTCCACTCTTAGAAAACAATGGCACACGCTTTTTTTTTCGAGACCCATCGCAAAAAATATAATCACTCTTTGTCCCCACTGTCAGTGGGGTCAGTGGACGAAAGAAATCAATTACTTATTCAGCGATATTTTTTCGCAATATATCCGACATACTGTGCGGACCCGTCATACTTCGCCGAAAAAAGCTCAAAAGCGCTCAAAAAAGCCCAAAAGCGCCATAAAGAGTCGGAACGCCCCTTCCGCGCGCACCTGTTGGCGCTAAGGCATGTGTGTCGATTCCGCAACCGAGCCTTTTTGGTTCATTTTCTGTCGTCTGCACATCAAAAAAATGTCAGAATTCTACCAAAAGTTCGTTTCTGCGTTCCGGCTCTTTCTGGCGCCTTCGCACTTTTCCGGGCTTTGTTAGGCTTTTTTGAACGCTTTTGGGCTTTCCTTGCGAAGTATGACGGGTCCCTAACTTGGGTTCCTTATAGCTGGCTGTAAGTCAAAAAAAGAACGATGAATTTGACAACGCATCTAACATTTATAAGACTTGTAGACAAGTTTTGCACGCGTAGACAAGGCGCCGTTGCGGACATGTGGCGCCTCTCCAATCAAGCGCGCGCGCTTTCATTTCTTTGATCGCCTGCTGTCTCTTTCGAGGACGGACTATTTTTCCCTAGGGCGCCAAGGCGTTCAGTCTCTGCATGCAATGATGACTCGCCTAATACAACTGCGCAACCAGCATGTTAACTTCAATCCACCGACTCGCTCCATCGTAAAGCTGTAAAAATCAATAAAATCAATGATCCTTCATTTTATCAGTTGTGGGCGTCCTCACTCAATCTGCCTAGATTGACTGAAGTTAATAAAAGCATTCAATGTTTCCGCAAAAGGTTCTTTTTTGTAATCAAAATGCATACTCAATACATCCTGCACCAAGTCATTTTCTAGCTTTGAGTTTGAAAATAAAGAAATCGATAGAATAAATAAAATTGACATCGCCGGTGACAGAAGCACCTTACCTCCCACCCCGCCTAGAAAACAATTTTCTACTTGGAACATGCAGGCTCTTTGAAATTTTGCTCATGCTATTTATACCTTGTAGCATAAATATTGTTAAGGGGGCGTGGCGGCAGCCATCCCCGAAAAAATTTGTTTTATTAGAAAAACCGCGCTCAATGTAGTCCCTAAAATTTTTCACACAAATAATTTAATAGAATCTAAATGAGCGCACCTTAGAAGAGTTGCACATTTTCTGTGACTTACTCTGCTACATCATATCTGGGTAGTTGATGAGTTCTAGTAGAGGACTACTCAAAGGCGAATATGTTAGAATACCATTTTGACATGCTGTGCGACGTGTGCAGTCTTGTATGTCAGAATTAAAAGTGAATCACTTTTCAATATTGGTTGAACAAGACAAAAAAAGGAGAGAACAATAAAGCTTCAAAGTATATGGGATGGTGGGATGGACATGAATTGTAATGCGACTATCAAGACCGCTATTTATTTTTTTACGGTGGAAAGCAACGCCGCGATTGGGGAAATATTAAGGCTTATGATAAGGTCTTACCAGTGGCATACCGAGGGTGTAAAAATGTGCAAATGACTTGCCTATACTTGTTAATAACTAGAATAATTTTCGAAATTTTCTAAAAATTCAATTTCGCTTTATAGAATTTTTTTTTCGGAGGCGTGGCTGACTCCATGCTCCCTTTTTCGATAATCTCGAAGTTATGGGCCCGCGAAAATTTTCAGAAGCAAACCAAAAAATTTTTCTGAGTACGCCATTGGGTCTTACCCCTAACACATCAACTCCTGACTCCCGCTAAGAAATACTGTTTACAATTATATATCAGGTTGTCCCAAAAGTTCTTGCGCTGGATATTCAAAAAACCATAAATTCCTTGCCACTCAATGGATTTTCTTGAATTTAATTTCTTTCAAAAGAGGAAACCTTTCTCTTTACAATAGTACCTTTGCTATGAATTGGCGTTGGAAAGTTCTAGAGCTAGAGGCAATTGAAGGAAATCAGTCAAGACTGGCATTTTTTAAGCTGGATCACGAAAAATATTGGAAGTATTTTTATTTGGTAGAGAAAATTCTGCACATTGCAGCGGCACCATTCCCGTGATTTGAAACGAAAAAGATCAAGAGCTAGGAGCAAATAAAAAGAATTCCATCAGATTGTGTCAGTACAGTGTAGCCAGCACGAGGTTTGGGTGAAGCTTTTTATTACATCAGTGGCCTAACGCGTTTCGACTACTCGTCGTCTTCGGAGGCCTAAAGTGGTGCGGGATTAGTGATCTTATGTCTGCCCCACCAAGTGCTTCATCAACCCTCGGTTAGCTTCTCGATCCCCTCTCGAGTTTTACAAGCAAAAGTCGCTAGATGGGAGAAGACGAACACACCTTTGCTCCACCGCCGGCCACTTGATGGTATAGTGCGACCGCTTCCTTGGTGACAGTAGTGCCAGTGATTCAAATTGAGCGGCTCATTGTAGATGTAATCATTGCACTACTCTATCATAGCTCACATAGTGATAAAAAGGCATGAAGTCATTCGTAACGGCTAAGCACTCGTTTCTGTTGTTCATAAGCGGTTTTCTGCGTGTGATCCAAAACGCTTCGAGAGCTTTCCGCGCAGACGTATCTTTCTCGTAAGCCAAAATTGCACATTTAATTTCGTAGTCTTTATCGCGGTGGTATTCATGTTTATGTTTACCGAGCGGCGAAACTAGACTACCTTTTCGTTTATTGGCAAGATGTTCTTTAACTTTTATGCCAAGTGCTCTTCCGGTTTCTCCTATATAGCTAGCACCACAAACTAAACACTCTATCTGATATATAACCCCTGTTTTCGCGCAATCACCAATGCTGCTATGTGGACAAACTACGCACTCTTTCGAGATGCAGTATTTGTCATAGAGCCTGTTTCGTACAAGTCGTCGTTTGAGATTGTCGCTCGGAATGTTCACTAAAATGACATCGTCGCTCAGTTGTGCTCGTTTAATGCTGTGCCGTATTGCAACACTAATTTCATCCGAAACGAAAGGAAGACAGAGCGCTATTTTGTTGTTATGTTGAGCAGTATTACTTGAAGGGAATGGTCTACCACGAGCAGAATGCATGGGATAGCCATTTTTCTTAGCGATGCTCAGTGCAACATTTCGCGACTCTTTCTGTTCTTTCTCTCCCGTACATACTTGTGTTGCTGTTCTAAACATATTCCGGACAACGGCATTTTTGACGGCTGATGGATGTGCCGAACGAGCATGTAATAAGATATTTTTAGAGCTACTTTTGCGATACCATTTTACATGAGTGTCGCAGACAGTTTGATTTGAACGTTTAAGTACGGAAGCCAACCATCAACCGGATGTTCACGCGTAAATCTTATGTACTGCGACTGCTGATTGAGTAATCGGAAACACTCATCCATTTCGGACTGAGTGGATGTTACTATGCAGCAGTCGTCCACGTAACGACAATACATAAGTGGAAGTCTTGACAGCACCGGTTTTTCGATCCTGCTCATAAAGCATATTGCAAGAACTGGAGCAAGCCGTTGTCCCATTGCGAGTCCCCTTTGTTGAGCAAAGTACATGCTTGACCATCTGAAGATGTTACAGGTTAAGCATTCTCTGATCAGGACCATGACTTGATGTTTGCTCAATCCAAAGGTACGAATGCTTGCACTAAACTCATCCATCATTTCGGATACCGCTTGTAAAGCGTCTTCATTTTGAACGTTGGTATATAGAGACACAACGTCAAATGATTCAGCTACACATCCATTTTCGAATCTGGAGGATTTCAAGCGGTCGAGGAATTGCTTAGTGTTTGCTAAATGGGAAGGTATTTTGTCCAGTAATTGCCCTATAATTTTGCTCAGAAACCAAGATATTCTGTCGGTTGGGCCTCCAACACAACTTATTATAGGTCTTATCTGAAACTGTCTGGCTGCCATCGAGCGAATGTCATCACTTTCTGTAAACTTGTGAGTCTTTACAAGGCTATAGAAAACCGGACATATTGGCGTGTCTAACTTAAGTCTGGCAAGAAAGCTCTCGCTGAGGCCAGCTGATTTTCCTATGCTCATCCAAACGTGATTTAAACGCTTGTACTGCGAATGATATTCCTTTTCGGAAACGCGCTTGTACACACTCTTGTCATTGAGATGGAGTTCGGTGATTTCTCGATCCAATTCCTGTGGCATGATCACGAACTCTCCACCTTTGTCACTGACAGAGATGCGCACTTTTTCAGATCTTATCAAATCACGAACTTCCTTATATCCAAGCATTTCCGAATAAGTCAAGTTAGTACGGCAGCAAGGTTTTGGCTGTGTGTAAGCAGTCAAAACGTTTGAGGATAAAATTCTGAACTTGACGTCTGCCTCAGGTACTGGTTGAGGCTCTCTATAAAAAGTGCTTGGAAAGGGAACACAAGGAAGTGGATGCTCAGCTCGTACTTCTTGTGCGTTTGAATTTCGTTTTTCGCTATTTTTGGCCCTTATTCTCAATTGATCTCGTACTCTGTAAAGACCAGTGATGACTTTACGAAATACGCTTTCATTGACGTTCTGAGTAATGGAAAATGAAGGACCCAAGCTTAAAAATTTACGCGCATTGTCGGAAATCTGAGTGTTGCCGATTACTGTGACTCTTGCCGTGCAATCCAGACATTCGTTTTGAGCTATGTCACTTACATTGCGGTTTTGTTCGGGTACGTTGCTCTCACCAGTCCTTTGATTTTTGCGAGTAGCGCTCAGGAGTTTGTCGTACTTTGCGCAAAGGGAAGACTTGGCGCTAGATCGAACAGAATCACAAATCAATCTCGATCCTTTCTCAATCCTCTTCCAAGTCGGAGTAGCTAGAAGCCGTTGACAGGCTTGTTCTTTAGTGTTACATTTCAAAATGCAGGAGAACAATGTATGTTGTTTTTCTTTTATCGCAGTTCCCAGGATGATGCGGTAGATCTTCTTGATTTTCGGATGTTCTTCGGGAAGGTTGCATACTGTTCCCAGCTTCTTATTTGAAATGAACCGTGGCACCATGTCGGCGGCCTTACATCGCTTCAGAAATCTCAAGGATTGACGAGTCGCAACTATTTTCTGGCGGAGCGATAATGCTTCCCGCACGAGAGGGACTAATTGTGGCGGCACATTGATCAGTAAGTTTTTCGTCCTCTCTTGTTGAAACCTCGGCATAATTCAGATTGCGTCAGTATAGTGTAGCCAGCACGAGGTTTGGGTGAAGCTTTTTATTACATCAGTGGCCTAACGCGTTTCGACTACTCGTCGTCTTCGGAGGCCTAAAGTGGTGCGGGATTAGTGACCTTATGTCTGCCCCACCAAGTGCTTCATCAACCCTCGGTTAGCTTCTCGATCCCCTCTCGAGTTTTACAAGCAAAAGTCGCTAGACGGGAGAAGACGAACACACCTTTGCTCCACCGCCGGCCACTTGATGGTATAGTGCGACCGCTTCCTTGGTGACAGTAGTGCCAGTGATTCAAATTGAGCGGCTCATTGTAGATGTAATCATTGCACTACTCTATCATAGCTCACATAGTGATAAAAAGGCATGAAGTCATTCGTAACGGCTAAGCACTCGTTTCTGTTGTTCATAAGCGGTTTTCTGCGTGTGATCCAAAACGCTTCGAGAGCTTTCCGCGCAGACGTATCTTTCTCGTAAGCCAAAATTGCACATTTGATTTCGTAGTCTTTATCGCGGTGGTATTCATGTTTATGTTTACCGAGCGGCGAAACTAGAACCTTTTCGTTTATTGGCAAGATGTTCTTTAACTTTTATGCCAAGTGCTCTTCCGGTTTCTCCTATATAGCTAGCACCACAAACTAAACACTCTATCTGATATATAACCCCTGTTTTCGCGCAATCACCAATGCTGCTATGTGGACAAACTACGCACTCTTTCGAGATGCAGTATTTGTCATAGAGCCTGTTTCGTACAAGTCGTCGTTTGAGATTGTCGCTCGGAATGTTCACTAAAATGACATCGTCGCTCAGTTGTGCTCGTTTAATGCTGTGCCGTATTGCAACACTAATTTCATCCGAAACGAAAGGAAGACAGAGCGCTATTTTGTTGTTATGTTGAGCAGTATTACTTGAAGGGAATGGTCTACCACGAGCAGAATGCATGGGATAGCCATTTTTCTTAGCGATGCTCAGTGCAACATTTCGCGACTCTTTCTGTTCTTTCTCTCCCGTACATACTTGTGTTGCTGTTCTAAACATATTCCGGACAACGGCATTTTTGACGGCTGATGGATGTGCCGAACGAGCATGTAATAAGATATTTTTAGAGCTACTTTTGCGATACCATTTTACATGAGTGTCGCAGACAGTTTGATTTGAACGTTTAAGTACGGAAGCCAACCATCAACCGGCTGTTCACGCGTAAATCTTATGTACTGCGACTGCTGATTGAGTAATCGGAAACACTCATCCATTTCGGACTGAGTGGATGTTACTATGCAGCAGTCGTCCACGTAACGACAATACATAAGTGGAAGTCTTGACAGCACCGGTTTTTCGATCCTGCTCATAAAGCATATTGCAAGAACTGGAGCAAGCCGTTGTCCCATTGCGAGTCCCCTTTGTTGAGCAAAGTACATGCTTGACCATCTGAAGATGTTACAGGCTAAGCATTCTCTGATCAGGACCATGACTTGATGTTTGCTCAATCCAAAGGTACGAATGCTTGCACTAAACTCATCCATCATTTCGGATACCGCTTGTAAAGCGTCTTCATTTTGAACGTTGGTATATAGAGACACAACGTCAAATGACTCTGCTACACATCCATTTTCGAATCTGGAGGATTTCAAGCGGTCGAGGAATTGCTTAGTGTTTGCTAAATGGGAAGGTATTTTGTCCAGTAATTGCCCTATAATTTTGCTCAGAAACCAAGATATTCTGTCGGTTGGGCCTCCAACACAACTTATTATAGGTCTTATCTGAAACTGTCTGGCTGCCATCGAGCGAATGTCATCACTTTCTGTAAACTTGTGAGTCTTTACAAGGCTATAGAAAACCGGACATATTGGCGTGTCTAACTTAAGTCTGGCAAGAAAGCTCTCGCTGAGGCCAGCTGATTTTCCTATGCTCATCCAAACGTGATTTAAACGCTTGTACTGCGAATGATATTCCTTTTCGGAAACGCGCTTGTACACACTCTTGTCATTGAGATGGAGTTCGGTGATTTCTCGATCCAATTCCTGTGGCATGATCACGAACTCTCCACCTTTGTCACTGACAGAGATGCGCACTTTTTCAGATCTTATCAAATCACGAACTTCCTTATATCCAAGCATTTCCGAATAAGTCAAGTTAGTACGGCAGCAAGGTTTTGGCTGTGTGTAAGCAGTCAAAACGTTTGAGGATAAAATTCTGAACTTGACGTCTGCCTCAGGTACTGGTTGAGGCTCTCTATAAAAAGTGCTTGGAAAGGGAACACAAGGAAGTGGATGCTCAGCTCGTACTTCTTGTGCGTTTGAATTTCGTTTTTCGCTATTTTTGGCCCTTATTCTCAACTGATCTCGTACTCTGTAAAGACCAGTGATGACTTTACGAAATACGCTTTCATTGACGTTCTGAGTAATGGAAAATGAAGGACCCAAGCTTAAAAATTTACGCGCATTGTCGGAAATCTGAGTGTTGCCGATTACTGTGACTCTTGCCGTGCAATCCAGACATTCGTTTTGAGCTATGTCACTTACATTGCGGTTTTGCTCGGGTACGTTGCTCTCACCAGTCCTTTGATTTTTGCGAGTAGCGCTCAGGAGTTTGTCGTACTTTGCGCAAAGGGAAGACTTGGCGCTAGATCGAACAGAATCACAAATCAATCTCGATCCTTTCTCAATCCTCTTCCAAGTCGGAGTAGCTAGAAGCCGTTGACAGGCCTGTTCTTTAGTGTTACATTTCAAAATGCAGGAGAACAATGTATGTTGTTTTTCTTTTATCGCAGTTCCCAGGATGATGCGGTAGATCTTCTTGATTTTCGGATGTTCTTCGGGAAGGTTGCATACTGTTCCCAGCTTCTTATTTGAAATGAACCGTGGCACCATGTCGGCGGCCTTACATCGCTTCAGAAATCTCAAGGATTGACGAGTCGCAACTATTTTCTGGCGGAGCGATAATGCTTCCCGCACGAGAGGGACTAATTGTGGCGGCACATTGATCAGTAAGTTTTTCGTCCTCTCTTGTTGAAACCTCGGCATAATTCAGATTGCGTCAGTATAGTGTAGCCAGCACGAGGTTTGGGTGAAGCTTTTTATTACATCAGTGGCCTAACGCGTTTCGACTACTCGTCGTCTTCGGAGGCCTAAAGTGGTGCGGGATTAATGATCTTTGTCTGCCCCACCAAGTGCTTCATCAACTCTCGGTTAGCTTCTCGATCCCCTCTCGAGTTTTACAAGCAAAAGTCGCTAGATGGGAGAAGACGAACACACCTTTGCTCCACCGCCGGTCACTTGATGGTATAGTGCGACCGCTTCCTTGGTGACAGTAGTGCCAGTGAGTCACATTAAGCGGCTCATTGTAGATGTAATCATTGCACTACTCTATCATAGCTCACATAGTGATAAAAATGGCATGAAGTCATTCGTAACGGCTAAGCACTCGTTTCTGTTGTTCATAAGCGGTTTCCTGCGTGTGATCCAAAACGCTTCGAGAGCTTTCCGCGCAGACGTATCTTTCTCGTAAGCCAAAATTGTACATTTGATTTCGTAGTCTTGATCGCGGTGGTATTCATGTTTATGTTTACCGAGCGGCGAAACTAGACTACCTTTTCGTTTATTGGCAAGATGTTCTTTAACTCTTATGCCAAGTGCTCTTCCGGTTTCTCCTATATAGCTAGCACCACAAACTAAACACTCTATCTGATGTATAACCCCTGTTTTCGCGCAATCACCAATGCTGCTATGTGGACAAACTACGTACTCTTTCGAGATGCAGTATTTGTCATAGAGCCTGTTTCGTACAAGTCGTCGTTTGAGATTGTCGCTCGGAATGTTCACTAAAATGACATCGTCGCTCAGTTGTGCTCGAATGACTTCATGCCATTTTTATCACTATGTGAGCTATGATAGAGTAGTGCAATGATTACATCTACAATGAGCCGCTTAATGTGACTCATTGGCACTACTGTCACCAAGGAAGCGGTCGCACTATACCATCAAGTGACCGGCGGTGGAGCAAAGGTGTGTTCGTCTTCTCCCATCTAGCGACTTTTGCTTGTAAAACTCGAGAGGGGATCGAGAAGCTAACCGAGGGTTGATGAAGCACTTGGTGGGGCAGACATAAGATCACTAATCCCGCACCACTTTAGGCCTCCGAAGACGACGAGTAGTCGAAACGCGTTAGGCCACTGATGTAATAAAAAGCTTCACCCAAACCTCGTGCTGGCTACACTATACTGACACAATCTGAATTATGCCGAGGTTTCAACAAGAGAGGACGAAAAACTTACTGAATTCCATCAGTTTTGCAATTTTTGAGCATGCTCAAAAATCTTAGAAACGTCACAGAACATGCGAGAAAGCCACAAACATGGGTTTTGTGATTTCGTTTTTCTAGCTGACAAGGGAATGGTCAGAAGTCGAAGTGGCCAATCTATACAAGCTGCATACCATTCGATGCAGCATAAAATGCTGATTTCAAATCTGTCTTCCGTATCTGCAGAGCGCCTTTGTGAGCGAAGTTATGATCAGCTTTAGTGCGAAAAAATCGTACACAAAAATTGCGAGATTGGGCACATTATTGCCCTTTTCGCTCACCTTTAGGTACTGGCCATATGAATTGACCTAGCTGCATGTTTTGATCTAGCACTGAGCCGGGTATGGCTCTGTACGGCCGAGTTTGCCTTTTACATACACAATTTCTTAGCAAAATAATGGCCTTTAACGGGTTATAATTTCGTCCACAAAAGCGCTCTGCAGATAAGGAAGACAGATTTAGAGTCAGCGTTTTATGCTGCATCTAATGGTAGCAGCTTGTATGGATTGGCCACTTCGATTTCTGACCATTCCCTTGTGAGCAAGTTTCGAGCTAATCGAGAGCATTTTTTGTTTTCGTGATTTATTCGGATTTTGTCTGCGTTTCTCACGAAAATCAAAATTGCTCTCGATCAGCTCGAAACTTGCTCAGCTAGAAAAACGAAATCACAAAACCTATGTTTGTGGCTTTCTCGCATTTTCTGTGACGTTTCTAAGATTTTTTGAGCATGCTCAAAAATTGCAAAACTGATGGAATTCTTTTTATTCGCTCTAACTCTCGATCTTTTTCGTTTCAAATCACGGAAATGGTGCCGCTGTAATGTGCAGAATTTTATCTATCAAATAAAAATACTTCCAGAATTTTTCGTGATCCAGCTTGAAAAATGCCAATCTTGACTGATTTCCTTCGATTGCCTCTAGCTCTAAAACTTTCCAACGCCAATTCATAGCAAAGGTACTGTTGTAAAGACAAAGGTTTCCTCTTTCAAAGGAAATCAAAATCGAGAAATCCATTGAGTGGCAAGGAATTTATGATTTTTTGAAAATCCAGCGCAAGAACTTTTGGGACAACCTAATACATTAGTCGTAAAATTGCGCGAGTGACTTGGTTTTGCTTGCTAATAATCAAAATGGTTTTTGAATTTATCAAGAATTTATTTATTTATTTATTTATTTATTTATTTATTCATTTATTTATTAATACACTTAAAGTGTGCCGAAAAAAAATTACCTAATCCTTGTAAAAATTCTTCGAAGCATGACTGCCGCAATGCTCCTTTTTCTAAAATTTTGGGATTTTAAGCCCGGAAAGTTCCGGAAGCAACTTGAAAAAAAAAACCCGGAGTGAGGGCGTGTCGTTCGCAAAAGAATGGAGAATTTTCTTTCTGTTCTGTACCACAATCATGTTTGCTCTAATTCAACTCTGCGGTCAATGTAGCATCACCACTGAACTCGAAATTTTACAATAGTCATTTTCATGCACTGAACTCTTTCTCTAGATATGTCCTATAGATTGCCAATTCTGCTGAGGATTACGCGAAATGCCCAAAGACTCACTGTTCAGTTGGTGAGCTTTATTCCAGTTTGTTACCAATAGTGGCAAAAATTTTTGGAGACGGTCTGCACGAATCAAAAAATCATGCAGGGACTTGCTATCGTTGCTAAAAATTTCACAAATTTTGTAAAAAAAAAAACAAATGCTAAAAAATGCCACTACAAACCGTAGTTGACTTTTGAGAGTTTTTTTTGGGACGGGGCTAACTGTTTGAAAACAAACATAAAAATAAGAAACTGGGAAAGTGGCTTAATTTTTGAAGTTTTTAGAGACACGAAATTGGCGCAGTAATGCTGAGTAAGAATTAAAGGTTTATACAATTTCAACAATGCCTTAACAACTTTCTATATTTCGAGAGTCAATTATGGATTTAGAATACGAAATTTACGAGAAGATTGCTAGCGACCGGTTTCTCCTCTTCTTTGGCGTTGTCCTTCTTCACATCAGCGGCACAGCAACCAGTAATAACAACAGACACCAGTAAACCAAAAAACTTTGATCTCATTGTCCAAGAAGCAGATGCGCTTTATGATAACTATTTGATAGACAATGCTTATAGCATTTTGAGAAAGTGAGTTTTCTTCTACTTGTATAGAGATAGATGTATCAGATAAATGTTTTAGGTTTGCCAAAAGCGATTGTTCTGAACTGTTATGGCGACTGGCACGAGTTGTATGTGAACAAGCAAAATTGAGGTGATTAGAAACCATACTAATCAAAATTGATCCCGAAAGCACCTTAGAAACTTTAAATAAAAAAGATTCTGAGTTGAAAAAAACATCCAAATTGGAGGCGGTGTGCCAGCACCGTTCCGGTGTAGCATAGGCGCTGTGCTAGCGCCATGTGGAAACACCCGTGGATCGCCGTGTATCGATCGATCAATTCCCATCGGCACAGTTCCGGCACGGCGATAGCACGGTGCTGGAACGGCGCTGGCACGGATAACTCTGGATGCGGTCTGATTTCCATACGTACTTCTTACTTTATTAATTCTGTGTAGTCGGTTGGGACCACCGCCACACTAAACGCATCTTTGCGTCCCTAAGTGCATTCATCAACTTGGCTATCCATATTTAGCAAGAGCGATTGTTGATGTTTTAGTGATGACAAAAGCAGGAGGAAGACACTGATGTATGAAGCTCTAGCACTTGTCGAAAAAGCCATTGAGAAAGAACCGAAAGAAGGATGTTTTGGTGCGCATAAATGGTAAGGCACTTAGTCTTATCTCCTGTTTGTAATCATCATGTGGCAAACTTACACTCACCTTAAATTCTAGGTACGCTATACTACTCGATTACGTGGGAGAAATTGAAGGAAACAAGTCGCGGATTCAAAAATCCTACAAAGTAATGTGCTTCTTAGTTTTTTTCTAATTCGCTCGGTGAATGAGAGCTTTCTAGGTGAAGGAACACTTGGAACGTGCATTGCAAATCTGCGAGAATGATCCGACAACATGGCATATTCTTGGCTAGTTCTTTCTTACCACGCGAATACATACTCGACGTTAAATCTGAACAATAGTGCAGCTGCACACAAGTTGACCGTTTTGTAGACCAAAGATCCTACGAAACTAGAATTTCAATTGGCTCGTCTTATCGAATTCTTGCATCGTATTTGTATCTGGGCTTTGATTTGATCGTAGAACTATCTGACTAATAGTGACTGTCCCAGGAATTTTTCAAATGAAGGGGCCCGCATTACTTTCCGGAAAATGTTTTAAAATGCTTGCCGAAATTTTTGCAGCCACATGACTTCCAAATTTCTACAGTGCTAAGATTAATTATTACAAGGTCCATAAAAATTGCTCCAATTACTCAATAGTGAATGTAACTCATTTGCGCAATACTACTCGTGTAGTCTTCAAAAATTTCTTAGGGTCCCTTTCCCCCTGGGAGTAATGCTCAAGCAAACCAACTTTAGGTGTGTGGCATTTCTCTTTCGCTGATATGGGCTATGCCACACGAGTCATTGCAAAAACTATTTTTGGGACACCGCCCAGCTCTACTTATGACAAAGCTCTCCATTATTTCTTGAAGGCAGAAGAAATCTCGGTGAGTGTCTTGTTGGTAGTTTGAATGGTTTGTGATCTAAGCCACATTCAGCTTACGCTGATTTTCAGCCGCATTTCTACAGTACCAACACCTATTATATCGCCGAAGCTCATGAAAGAATGGGCAACAAGGATGAAGCCTTGAAGTATTATCTGGATGCATTCAAAATGCCAGTCATAACTGCTGACGATAAACAGATTCATGAGAAGGTTAGTACTACATTTTCATCATTGTCAGAATTGCTGCAAATTCTTATCCTATTAAGTATATAAAAATTTTCCTCAGGCTCATGAAAAATTGCGAAGGTCCGGACTGAAGAATACTGAGCTGCTAAAAGGATAGATTACAAATTTCGACGTTTCTAGTGTATATAGTTTGACTTACCTCGTTGATATCAGAGTTCGATTTTCATGATAGGTTTTTATGGTAGAATTGGTAATTACTATGCAACTGATATTTTGTCATATTTATAAACTTTTATAAACACTTCGGCATTTCAAAATTTATTATATCACAAAATGCTTTTCAGAGGGGAGGAGAACGATAGGCGGGTTTTAAGAAAAGGTTGTCACAGAAGAACATTACTCCATGCTAAATGTTTGCTCCGTCAGCAGTTTGAGGCATTTGTAAGTCAATATGTGAGCCTGCACACTGCGCGCGGCAACTGACGACAACCCATTTAGTAACTCATCAGTAAAAGCTTTTCTAGAAGAATGACTAGAAATTTGTACTACTACTTAATACCACTGGAGATCCTAGAATTTCGTCGGCGGAGATGAAGAGGGGGGGGGGAGTGCGCCGATGAATTTTTTGCGAATGGTAGATGGCGTCAGCTACGCGCCCCGGAAAATTGAAACGATTCCCAAAATTTTCGCAAGTGTCCCGAAAATTCTAGGAAAATGGTTTTTTACGTAATATGAATTTGTTTAAAACTTCGATAATTATCTTGATTAAAAACAAAGAGCCATTATAGCTACTTCAACTATTCATGCCGTGATTTGGTTCGGATGTGAATTCGATCAGGCTTGTTGTAGTACAAAGGTGCAGTTGTGCCTATAAATTAGATTCTCAGAAGGGACTTCACTTTATTTACGACCAGTTTAGGACACATCTACAAGAGCTATCATTTATGGTAGAACGTAAAAGAAATATATGAGCATCTGCCAGTGTTTACATCTACGGCACGGATATCACACCAATTTTTCAGCCTTAAAAACGACGAGTTATGATTGCCCGGCATGTAAGGTGTTACAAACCTTAACAGTTCTAGAATTGCTTCTTTCCCTCTGGTATCTGCGCTGCTCCTTCCAAACTCTAAACGACTATATTGCATTACTGTCTGAGACATAATATCAAACCTTGACGGGTTCTCCAAAATCACTCTCCTTTTTCTTATAAATCTTCAGCTGTTTTTCCATACTCTAAACAAATACGGAACGGTACTGTTTGGGACGCGGAGGCAACTTTTAGCAAAATAGGGGCTGTGGAATATTGTTTTTAGAGCAAAATAAGGAAGTCAAAAGGCGCTCTCTGGCTGTCACAGGTTGAGACTGGTTAAGACTGCAATTTAACAAAGAATTGCTAGTCTGGACAAATGCTTTGGCTTACTAATGTCTGCTCCATGACGAAGGCGGTCGCGGGTTGAAAGCATGCAAGGCTGGCGCAGCGCCATCTATTCCTACCGGGCTGGCTGCGCGAGCGTTCGCGTGCGGTAGCCGAGACTGGCGCAGGGGGGCGCATTCCCTCTTGTTCTTACTTGCTTTCCATGGCATCCAACTTGCCCCTGAAGGATTTTCGCGTTCGTATTTATTCATGAAGGAGAAACTGATGAAGGCATTGGGTTTTTTTCGCTAATGTACGCCAATTGGCTTGGCTCTAGGACCACATGGTATTGCACTAGTCCAAGACCTAATTGCAAGTGAAGAGCTTGTTCGTTTTCTAAATTGAAGAAGTAGTGCCTTTGCATAGATAGAGACCTTACAAGGGAATGGTCAGAAATCGAAGTGGCCAATTTGAGCAAACACCGTTAGATGCAGCATAAAACGCTGACTCTAAATCTGCTTTCCTTATCTGCAGAGCGCTTTTGCGGATGAAATTATAAGCCCATTATTTTGCTTAGAATTCGTGCGTGTAAAGGTCAGACTTAGCCGTACAGAGCTCTCTTGACTTAGTGTTGGACCAAAACATGCAACTAGGTCTCTTCACATGGTCCGCACTCAAAGATGAGCTAAAAGGGCAATAGTGTGCTTAATCTCGCAATTTTGTGTGCGATTTTTCCGCAGTAAAGCTGCTCATAAGTTCGCCTACAAAGGCGCTCTACAGATAAGGAACGCAGATTTGAAATCAGTGTTCTATGCTGCATCGCATGGTATGCAGCTTGTTTGGGTTGGCCACTTCGACTTCTGACCATTCCCTTGTTAAGTTCTGAACATCCTGTCCTATCTTTATCTGAACTTCTAAAGGTAAATTGACCTTCTCCCCTAACGTGTCTGTCGGCAACGATCGAAGGGGTTTCCTAATCATAGACGATCTCATCGTGACAGGAGCGGTAAGACGAATAAAATGAGGAGCAGACTATGAAGATATTACTACTTATTCAATTTTCCAACAGCCACCTAACTAAATGTCAAGCAAAGTTCGGGCGACATAACACCAAAGCACCTTAATCTGTCCATAGAGTGCTTTAAGCCAATAAGGTTTGCGCTGCCTGAACGCTTGATCGTAAGGCATTCTTTCTGCTGCATCCGCAGTATACATGCCAACATTCGTATATCTTTGGCGTTCTCCTCTCGCTAAATTCTCAGTTGGATTAACGACTGTTCGAAGCAATGGGACTTCCTCATAGACCGTTATGTGACTTCTCATGAGCGCGCTGATATCTCCACAAGCTGTCTGATATTAAACAGTTGAGCAAGTTGCTTACCGGAATATTCTAGGTGTGCTAACATTGCTGCAAAAATGCTTAATCAGCATCAAACATCTCACACACAGTAAAACTCCTCAGCAAGTTTCTTTTTATGTGAAGATACCACACTTTTTTTGATCTGAACTTCAAATTACCACAACTAGTGAAGTGTTCGCATACGCGCATCGCAACATAGATATATTTGTTGCTAGTGGTATATGTTATGTTGACAAACATTCCCGTCTTCAAAACTTTTGGCTAGTGTTGTCATCAAATCATAAACTAGTGAATACTGACGTTTTCTACTGCGACTGACGATATTCGCCAATTTCAGCATTTCTGCAGCAGTTTGTGTTTTGATATCAGAGACAGAGCTACAAGAAAGCCTTTGCAACGAATCCTACTTATGTAAGCTAAGAAACAAGTTTTAGCTGAAAACATTCAAATTGCGAGTTCTCAAAAGAGAATGAACAAATGGTACCAGACTTGACAAGCTCATGTAATGGTTAAAGAGAGAAGATTCTCTTCAACAAACTCAATAAAAGCAAAAAGAAAGAAGACGCCGACATACTATGCAGTTTTACAATTGGTCATAGCATCGCACGGCGAATAAGTACTTATAAATCCACCTATATGCCCTTACAAGCTGCACTCCCTATTGAGTTCATTACTTCTTACCGGCAGTCGTGGTTCGATGAACATCAAAGCCAGCTTCGCACACATGCAAGAATGCGCGCGCTCTCGCTAATCGGCTGTCGCGCGCGAACCGCTCGCGCAGCCAGCCCGGTAGGCACCCGCCATACTTACCCCTCTTGATCCGCTTGATCCGCTTAATCCGCTTGATCCGCTTGATCTGCTTGCTCCGCTTCTTGCAGGACGCGTGCAAAACGCGCGCACACAGCAGTCTGTCATTTGGCGTCACGTACAGCGAATTTGCTCAACTATACGAGATTGCTTTTTACCTACGCGGCGCCAAATGACAGACTGCTGAGTGCGCGCGTTTTACACGCGTCCTGCAAGAAGCGGAGCAAGCGGATCAAGCGGATCAAGCAGATCAAGCGGATTAAGCGGATCAAGCGGATCAAGAGTGGCAAGTATGGCGGGTGCCGTAGGAATAGATGGCTCCGGCGGGCGCGCACGCGGGGCGCGGGCAATTGTCAACCATGGGGCACGCGCCAGACTTCGAGACGCATAGTTTGGATGTGGCATTGTTGCACATGACGAGGTTTCCTGCTGCATACTACGTGACTAGCCCCGGGGATTTCGTCCACGTCTGCCAAATTAGGGATGCAGAAAGGAGCAATTTTGGAGTTTTCCGGTAATTCGAACCCCGTATCCGAAATCAGCGCCATGGAACGGCCCGACGACAGTTAAGGCATGAGAGAGGAAATTTTGGGTGGACGCTGCCTCTAGCACTCTTAGGCCTAAGGCATACCTCGCGCGATTTCTGTGGCTGCGCGATTTGGCACAACAGTGACTCTCTGCAATTCGTCTTTAATGCGTTTCCTTCGGTCACAACTTAACCCATTTGCGACAACTTACACAAGCTACCCGCCTATGCGTTCGAAAAGCGCGCACGATAAATTTGTAGAAATCTGGCAAATCGCCAAGTCGCGTGAAAGTGGCGATTTGGCCAATTCACGTGAGGTATGCCTTAGGCCTTATGCTCCTCTCATCGTCTGCTGCCTCTTCCATGCACGAACTGTTTTGGTTGGACCCAACGGCGAGAAGAAAACCCGCCTGATTCTTGCGCTCCGCCCCTTTTTTGCGGTCCGCTCACCCACGGATTGCCCCATAACGTGTTCGAGCATAACAAGCAAGGTCGAGACGCATAATTTGTGATGTGGCACTGTTGCACACGACGAGGTTTTGTTGCATACTACGTGACTAGCCCCGGGGATTTCGTCCACGTCTGCCAAATTAGGGATGCAGAAAGGAGCAATTTTGGAGTTTTCCGGTAATTCGAACCCCGTATCCGAAATCAGCGCCATGGAACGGCCCGACGACAGTTAAGACATGGGAGAGGAAATTTTGGGTGGACGCTGCCTCTAAGCACTCTTTCGCTCCTCTCATCGTCTGCTGCCTCTTCCATGCACGAATTATCTTGGTTGGACCCAACGGCTTCCAATCTCTGCGAGTAATGAATCTCTATAGACTTTTGGGCAGCGCTTACTTCTTGGTTAAGGAATCCTTGGTATAAGAACAAAATCCCACAACCCTCTTTTGGCCAGACATTGCCTTTAGCATGCTTCAAACCTTAACAAGTTTTTCCAAATTGTTTTCCTTCTTCATTGAGACTCTAGTTTGTTCTTCCATACTCTGAAAAAAAAAAAGGCATCAATGCATAAAACGCAAGTTGTTATAAACCTTGATCTGTGCTTCAAAATCGCTCTTCTTTTTCCTAAGTTCCGTCAGTTGTTTCCGCTCTTCATGTAATTTTGCTTTGAGCTTTTTTTGTAAATTCTTTGCTTCGTCCAGCTGCCTACAACTGCACTGCCTTAGCTCTTTGTCAATGCAAGGTGTGCTGGATTAACTTAATTTGGATGTCATTCTGACTACGCAACAGAACAACTCTCTCCAGAAGCTGAGATTTTTCGACGAGTTCCAGTGCGAGCTACAAAAATTGAAATGGAAAGTTCGAAAAGAAGTTGACCTACCTTGTTTTCTAGGTTTTTATAATCGTTTTTGAGTCCCCGTAATTCCGCCTGAGCACGTGAGAAAGCATTCTTTTTCTCACTGAGAGTTTTCTTGAGTCCCCGTAATTCCGCTTGAGCACGTGAGAAAGCATACTTTTTCTCGCTGAGAGTTTTCATCAGTTCATCAACGAGTGTTGTATCATCGGAAGCACTGAAGAAAAGGCGACGCACTACTTGGTTTGTGGCAGTGTGAGCTCTACAGTTGGGACAAGTGGGGGTTTCCGTATGCTGAAAAAAATTCAATTGAAAGAAAGAGAACGGAAAAATCACTTATTATCAGGGACGGTCCCACGATTTACCCTACTTTAACGAACATAGGACGCGGGGGATTTTTTTCTGAAATCAAACAGCACAGACACGCCGAAGGACTTCGTGGTCAAAAAACTACATACTGTGCTGCATATTGCCTGAAAGTATCCTGCGGCATAAGTCTCGTTTTCCGACATGATCCAGAGCGGCTCGCTCAAAAATCGAGGTGCGTCTTATACTCGTGAAACTAGAGTACGCTTGGTGGGGGCGGGAGGGGGGGGGGGGGGAGGGGGAGGGGAAGGAAGTGACGGAAATGTTTAGTGAATAGAGATGTGTGGTATTAGCCGCACTCCAGAAAATTTTTCGGGATGTTTCCCAAAATTTTTGCAAGCTAAGGGCCCGGACGTGGTGGCATTCATAAGAAAATTCTCAAAGCTAATTTATTTTCTAAAATTTTTTTAGAATTGTTCAATAAATTACGACTATAAACCGCCCTTCACATTCTTATATTTTATGTCAATAACTTTTATAGAAATTCGCGTCCTCCCGCCCCCGTTCTCTGCCCGCTACTGCTTTTTGCTTACCTTGAACCACTCTTCGATACAATCACCATGGAAAATGTGTCCACAGAGCAGAGCTGCTAAATTGTTCGTAATGAATATCTCCCCGCAGATCGCGCACATGCCATGGACTATCATGCTATCTTTTCTTAAAGGCATTGTTCAAGTCAACTGGAGGGTGGTAAGATCTCAGTGCGATACGACAATCTGGCTAAAGACTAACACAGCAGTGCAAGTTCGATTGAAAAAGGTGGAAGGCGAAAAAACCGCTTCGGAAAAAAAGGGCGGTATTCCGATCCCGCCTCCTTGACAAGGTTCAACTTGGGTACAGTAGATCTATTCTACAAAGTCACGTACAAATGTCAAGGAGGCGGTTCGTAGTACCGCCCCTTTTAAGCTATTTTCTCGCTTCAGATACACCTTTTTTGATCGAACTTAACTGTTGCGTTAGTCAAGACCACATGTCGTACTGCGTGAAGCCACCACCCTCCTTTGACCTGAACAATGCCTTTAACAGCAGAATGCGCGATACGACGGTAGAATCTCAACTTTCTTCTTTTTAATCCAATTTTTTTCGTAGCGCTGACTTCAGACATGAAATGAGCGCAATTTCGTAGAAAAGAAACTTTTTTGATACCATTCATTTAAGAAATCTGACCAAGTGTCAAGACCCTAGCACAGTCGAAAGCAAGCATGAGCACAGTACACAAAAGCACAGCACAGAACAGAACACGCGTTCAATCGTGTTTATCATGTGAAAACACGTTTGTGGTTTGAGGTATGCCGTCTAATGGGAAAGAGAAGGAGGACCGGATTGAGGGTTCCCACCCTGCTCGGATTTGCACAAATGCTGTCTTTAAGTTTTGAAAAGAGAACAGATTCAACTTATCCTATAGGCTGGCGAAAGAATAAAAAAACAAAGTGGCTACACATAAATACAACTGGCGTAACACGCTGTAGTGATTTCGTAACAATACAGGCAGTGCGAAGCTAAAGCCGTCACGGAGCGTTGAAGGCGAGTCCCGAAGGGCTTATAAACTCTTACGGGAATGAGTGATCGGGCGCTTGTCCAGACGTTCTCTTCTCATCACGGTCTCGCAATGATTTACGCAACAGTACGAAAAAAGCTTTGGGTGGACACCAAGACTTATACCAGGGAAAAGCGCTACCACTACCAATGTCGATGATGGATTCCGGCAGGTTAAGCATCGACTTTTTCGCGGAGCTTTTGAGACACGCGTACCTCTTTGAAAAGTGTTCGAAGGAGATATAATACTTCACTGATGGCGCATCCCTTCACCCTTCGCCCTTATTGTCGAAAGGTTGAAGAGTGCAAACGCACACAGTAGATAAAGAGTGCTAAAAACACTTTGCTGTGGTAAATGCTATCCCTATGAATTTCAGAAAATTCACTTCAGATTATACATCCTTGGAGATGAGTGGGTTCACACTTAGCTTGTTGATGCTGGCGAAGAGCGACGCAGTGGAGCACATTCGAATAGATAATATGTGAGAGCTGAGAAACAAAAACCTCAAGGAAGACAAAGGATGAAGATGAGAAAGGCATAAGAGTAGATGATTGCCATAATAATCGATACTAGGATGGAGATGACGCAACCGCTAGTTAGCGTGTGAGTAAGTTGTACTGGGTATAGTTTACGATATGGTAGAGCTGTGAACCCTTTGTCCCCAATGTAATGATCATCAACTTTCGAAAAGCGCAGGTTCCGAAACGAAAAAGAGATGATAACCATAATAAGCGTAAATTAGAATTGTCGCCAACGACAAGAAAAATAAGCATTAATGCTACGGTTTGGCAGTTACAGCATTCACTTTCTTGAAATTTTACTTTGGCACAAATCACTGTGCGAGCAAGTGATTCAGACGCAGCTGCGCCAGATGGTTGGAATGCATTGAGGAGGAATTATCTAACTGGTGAGCTGCGAATCAGATGGCCTGTGGACGACTCGCAATCACTCTATCTTTTCTCGCCATCTTTTGTTTCCTTACAAGTATTTGACAATAAGCGATATCCACTTTTACAACCATTTATTCTTATATCATTTACTGTTCACTCACTGATTAAACTAGTTGTTTTTTTGAATGTTGTTATATCAACTCTTCGATCGTCATTTCATCATTTACCTTAAAGGAGCGTCCAGGCAAGTTCGGACACATGGAGACCTCACGTGGCTAGTAATTTTGGGACCTTAACTAGCCACTGCCCAACCGGCAGCTCAGTTAGTGCCCCGCGCTGCCGCTTGAACCTTAGTTAGGGCCCCAAAAGTACTTTCTACGTAAAATCCTCATAGGTGCAGATCTGCCTGGACGCTGCCTTTAAGTAAAGTAAAGACTTCATCACCCAAGTTTGAGGTGCTGGTGTGTTGATCTCGAGATACAATCCCGCATGGCAATTGTGCGTGTCGACAATTAGTGGTATTCGAAGCCTTATCGTCTAAATATTCTCGGCCACTGATCATTGGAACCCCTCTAAGGTCTCGGACAGAGTTCACGCGATGTGATCGTCGCGATTTAATCGCCGCGATTTTCATTCTTTTCCATTTAGCTGGCTTATCCGGCTCCGCCCGGCCCTGCCCTATATGATGAAGATCCCATCCCTATCCCTGTACAACCATTCCCTGTGTCCTTTTCTACATGCCAATTCCCTATTCCCGCTGTGTTAGTAATCAGCATGCTTACCTACCCCCCTCCCCCGCCCTGTGCCAACGCCCAGTCCGATAGCTCAAACTTTGCAGAGAATCAATAAAATCGATAAAATAATGGACGATTTCAAAAACTAATACTGTATTCGTAATCAGCATGCTCGATTACTCCCCCCCCCCTCCCGTGGCAACTCCAGCTCCCTGGCTCAAACTTTGCAAAAAATCGATAAATTCGATAAAACCAATGGGTAATTTCACAAACTAATATTGTATTCGTAATCAGCATGCTCGATTACTCCCTTGTGCCAACTCCCAGCCCCGTAGCTCAAACTTTGCAGAAAATCGATAGAATCAATAAAATCGCTATCGATCGATGACGATAAATAGCCTATGACGCCTGCCCGGCCCCGAAATGTATGTGTGCCAAGTATGGTCCGGATCGGTTGAGAAATGGAATTTTCTTTTCTGACGGAACATACATACAGATAGACATACATACAGACACACATTCAGCTTTATAAGATGTAATAAAGACACAGATTCCCTAAGAGTCATGGCAAGTGATAAGCGACTATAATAGAAGGGGTATGTGATTGCCAAGAACAGTAAAAGCATCAACAAAACGAGATCGCTACATCACTAGACATCCATACTTACCACAATCAGTTTGTTTTAGACGAGAAAAGTACCCTAAATCTTTCACATTTGCAACTGAGTTTGGAACCCCAGAACAAATTTGACTTGGTACTCTAGAAAAGACCTACAACAAGGTACTTACTCTAATATGGTGTTGTAGAAGTCTTTACTGGGAAAAACCTAAGAGCAACAAATAACATTTTTATACCAGTGAAAAATGTTGATTATTGTTTCATTTGAGAGGAATTCGCATGACTCAGGCGCTAAACATAACAAAATGCGCTTCGAAATAACATGAGTCACATCTTGGTATGTCGATAATTTTATCGATAAAGAATTCGAAAATATTGTATAGATAAGCTCCACGGAAAACTATTGATATCTTGTACTCGAATGATTTTTGAAATAAAGCGGTGGCTAAATAGATCATAAGAGAAATCATGATAATCAAGCGATAAATAATTACCAAAAAAGTGAGTTTTGCTAAGAAAACATCCAGCTTCTTGTTGTTTCGTCATAGCTTAAAACATTGATCTGTTTTATCCGTTTCTCATCTTCTGCATCCTTTTCCGTTTGTAGTTGTTGATCATGATGTAGTCGAGGACCACTTGTAATGAGAATGTGGAATTTTCTCCCGAGCAGACAACTGTTCATTCGATGAAAACCTTGGTTTGGCCGCGAGAGTTTTCCTTGTCTGGAGCGGGGTGCTATTTGAAGTTGTCCAGCACACAAGAAATCCGCTTTGTGTCTGTCTTACTGCTATGGCACAAATCTATCCTGGCTCCAAGCATGCCCGATTAGTATCCTTGAATTGTAAATGATGTGAATCTGCACTTGCTCATTGTGCTGGTAGTTGTGAGTTCGAGATGGTTCATAGTTATTTGAACTTGAATAAAAAAACCAATGTGGGTATGTGCCTGGAGAGTCTTGCTGACTTATTTTGATTGTGACGAGTTTTGTAACAAGAGGATGCTGTGCTCCTGGTGCGTGTATGATGTTATACTCCCTTCGGCTTACGAGGGAAGGATACTTGGTGACCGTGGCCTTTTGCAATGAGATGTATATCAATAGGTGCGCCTTGGAACGCGGATTCTAAATCTATGTTTATTATCTGCTGTACGACTCACTGAAAGAAGTTATGAACTTTTTTCCATACTGATTTTGCGACATTTAGGCAGTCGAAATCGTCAGTATTCAGGTTTTTTAGACTCTGACGTATCGGTGACGGTTTTCCTGAGCTCAACATGAAGCTTTACTTTATTTGTACGCTCTTCTGTAGTATGTAAGCGAACATTCTAACGATATTGGTGAATCCTGCATCAAAAATAGTGCAAATTCTGGTAACAAGAAATGCTCATAACTTCTTTCGTAAGAGCGCACAACAGATAATGAAAACAGATTTGGAATCAGCGCTTCAAGATGCATTTAATGGTTTACGTTTCATTTCAAAAGGCCACGGTCACCAAGTATCCTTTCCTTGTTAGGCGCGGCCGGTTTGATGTTCCAGTGGAATATGTGGTGTCTGGTGCAAAACGGCATTTAAATCTCTTGGCATCATTTACGTTCAACTATTTTTTGAAATTTTCGCTTTGGATTTTGGAAAAGGCTGTGAAGTTAAATAGAGTAAACAAAATGCTGCAAAATACAATTTCTTGGCATCGATAGCTGGCTTTTCAGCATTTTTAAAAACAAGTTCAAAAGCCTTCACATTGGCGAAGTCGTAAATATGCAAACACTATGAAACCTTCTCATTAGAACTTCCTAAAATCGATTATGATTAAATACTACAATTAGCAAACAAGTAGTTCTGAATGATTTTATTGAAGCCGCGCATTTGGATTTTTGCTTCAAAAAATTTCCCTAACTCCCTTCCCAAAAGCGCTTTGGATTTACTGAAAGCAGATTTGGAATCAGCGTTCCATGCTCTATAAGATCGTATACATATCATATGGAAACGCCACTTCGACCAAGTATCCTTCCTTTGTTAGTAACCACAAAAGCAAACGGTAGCCGAGCACAACTGCAGGAAAGAGGAAGAAAAGCTACATTGAATAGTCCTTGAAATGCTTGCTCATCTTTATCCCCCGCGTTTCTATGATTGATCGAAGAAACTTTCGGAACGAAAGAACTTTCGGAACGACCTAATATATACAGGGTGTAAAAAGTGTGTCTACTGTGTGATTGTTAATAACTCTCTTGTAATGAAGTCTTTCGAAAAGTTTTAAGTACCATTGCAGAGAGGGCTTCAACTTAGTTTTACGGTATAAAGCGAATCATCGAACGCTCTTTATCACTGTCAAATTACGGCAGGAATTCGGCATATGGCGTACCGTGAAATGCCTGCCATAATGATTTTTCAAAAAGTATTTCAGACCCATACCCAAACTACTTAGCGTAAATATAGACAAAAAACCTTTTTTGATGCAAAATTTCTTCCCATTTCTAACGGTTATGTCCTCTGTTTAAATTTTTTGATGACCGCTCAAATAATCGGCAAGATCTCCAACCCATCGTTTACACCCATCTTGAGTTTGGCTACTTTTCAAAATTTTCATTTTAAACTTTTGGACTAGCTTTGATAACAAATGGATAGAATACATGCAACGTTTTTTTTTTCGGCCCTTCTAGCTAGCTTCTTAAAATTTTTGAGAATATTTTTCCGATGCTATCGATTTCTATACTTTATCGTCCCAGTTCTCACAGAACAATAAACGGCGAGCAACCAGAGTGTCATTTGATGCAACTTTTTCTCCTCTTTCTGGAAGACTTCTTTCCATTCCTACTTGTGCAGTATTTGGGGATAAAATCATTATAATTCTTGCTTCCAGCTTCGTCCAGGCTGACACCCAGAATTCGGAATCCAACATTTCGAACCGCTATAAACGCACAGTGCATGTCAACATTAGCACTTGATGATAAGCTGATCTTGGGAGCTTCAAATTCCGGAAATTAATCAGTGTTTGAAGCGGTTGTGTATTTCACAGTTCGGAAAAGTAAAGGCTCTTGAATTAGTTATGTAATTTGAACAAAGTCCAATAACTTTTCACAGGGTAGACCTAAATTAATGTTTTAACAAACAAAGAAAACAAAACATAGAGGAACACCTGCGCTCGATGATAGATGTTTAAGCTAAACATTCTGCAATTTAGTCACCGAAAACGAAGTTTTCAAAAATGACGATTTGAACTTTGCAATTTTAAGTTGGTGCTAGAAAGTCACGGAGGGGCTAGCTAGTCCAAAAAAATCTGCAAAAATTCTCTACACATCAAAAGTCCATATGTTACTTTATCAGACTTCAATCTGCACAGAAATGTAAAAACAAAAAATTTATGAAAAATGCCATTTTACAGGAAAAATCCCCTTGTTGCTGGAGTTTTTTCACAGAAACACTGTTTGGCGCTCCAAAACGTCACAGTGTTCTGAATAGGCACTACCCTTATTTCTTGCTCCAAACTGTGTTTCTGTAAAAACTACTCCGATGAGGGGATTTTTTTTCTGTAAAACGGCACCTTTCAAAAATTTTTTGTTTTTGCATCTCTGTACGAGATTAAAGTTTGCCAAGGTAATATATGAACTTTTGATGGGTAGAGAATTTTACAGATTTTTTTGGACTAGCTAGCGGCTCTCTGCGATGTTTCATCACCAAACTCAAAATCGCAAAATTTGACTCGTCATTTTCGAAAGCTTCGTTTTTAGTGACTAACTTGCACAATGTCAGCTCAAACATCCATTATGGAGCTTAAACCTTCTCCACTTTTGAAAAAGTGAACAATTGAATTAGGTTTTCAAAAAGTTATGGAATTTTGTTTAAATTACGAAAGAACTTTTGCACCAACCTAATACAGCCAAAAATGTGAACACTGTTTGATCGTTAATAACTCTCTTGCTTTCAAGTTTTCGCCGAGCTTGAGGAGCCATTCTGTAGAGCGAGGTTCAACTTAGATTTACAGCAATGAAAGAATTACCGACCTTTATTCGTTACTGTAGGATTACGATACGACCTTTGAGAAGGATTTTAGGAAAGTGAAAGCGATTTCTGCCTCAGGGGAAGAAGCCAAACAAGCCAGACTCTTGTTCCGGAACTAATCGAATTTGCCGATTCTATACATGAAATTTGCAATTTACTGTGATGCTTCATTCATAAGTTATTATATTTTCTTTTAGGGTAACATTTGTTTTGCCAGTATACATCAGAAGTCCGATTACACCATCAAAAGAGCTCAGAAAACTGGTAAAAAGTTGTGTACTAGAATCAGCCCGCCTAAAAACTTTACTACACAAATTTTCCAGATTTTTGAAATTTTTCTCAATAAAAGGCCTATTCCACAGTGGCGCAATATGCTGAAAGTTTGTGCCGTAATCCTACAGTAATGAGGAAAGATCGGAAATTCTTTTCATGCTGAAAATCTAAGTTGAACCTCGCTCCACAGAATGGCGCTTCAAGCTCGGCGAAAGACATGAAAGCAAGGAAGTTATTGACGATCAAACAGTGTTCACATTTTTTGGGACACCCTGTATATTAGGTTGTTCCGAAAGTTCTTTCCGTTTTTTCGATCAATCATACAAACGTGTGGGATAAAGATGAGCAAGCACTTCAAGAATTGTTCAATGCAGCATCTCTTCCTTTTTCCTCTTTCCTTTTTCTTTAGCAAGCTGGTTGACATTCTCGGCTGCTTTCGGCCCTGTCTTGCCAAATAGACCGATAACACCTCGTCCTAATTACTTGCCGTCTGATGTCAAACCAAAGCTGAGGGTATAATCAGGCATAACTAGCAGTTTTTACAAACAATGAGAAACAAATTTAATCGGTAACTTTGAGTCCTTTCGCTTTATTTGAGAATCGGCTGCGAAAGCAGCAGTAAACCCAGTAAATAATAAAATCTGCAAAGTATAAGTCCCTCTTAATGGAGAATATCTGAATCATTTGAAATGTAGTAAAAAATCAAAAGTACTGCGAAGGCCCAAAAAAACGAAAATGAAAGAGCTATACGAAATCAGGTTCTGAGTGTGCTAATAAACAGCTCTTCGAAAAGATAAACGATACCAGAGATTGTGCTAGCGCGGTGCCGAAACAAGATGCAAGAGTAGGAAAAATGTGCTGCAGATGCAGCAAGCTAATTTTAGTTTGCTAGAAAAAAATTTTTTTACTTGTCTCTTTCCCTAATTGTGTGGGTTGTACTTTGTGCTATAGAGGTACTCATTTCTTTTCGCAGAAACCAGTCTTGAGCCTTCTTCCTCAAACGCTGTTCGTCTTTCACTGCTCATTAGCGCCGCTGTCTAATTGTTCCCCATAATATATTCACAATAACTTTTCATCTCTAAGATTTCCGCCTCGCATTCATACTTTCATCACTCCGATATGACACTTCCTTTTGCACCCGACAAGATCACTTCTCTGAAGTATGACATTGTATATATAACTTCTCTGATAAAAGTGGTGATTGCACCACTTTGCAAAGTGCCGCTGCGAGCATTGCTCATGCAGGATGCCACAAAACCCGAAATGAACAAAATCAACCAGCTTCTTCCAGAATTGCTTTGGGTGATTGAAAGCTAACGTCTGACAGGAGAAAGGAAACTGAGAAAGTACCGTTTAATCGTCGCACAGATTGGCCGTAAATTGCGGAGCACGCGCGGCGCGGCTGAGATGTGACCAAAGTCCACGGCATACCTCCCGCAATTCCAGTCGCGGCGCGATTTCCAACTCGGACATAAGCTCCGAGTCCGCCGCGCCGGCGCGCTTAACTGTGTGGCCGCGCCGCGTGTGTTAGACTGACGCTGCGACGAATCGCGGGCTATTTTTGGACGGGCATACCTTCGCCAAAAATATCTTCGCTCGCTGGAATGGAGCGATGTCGCGTCGCTGGTGTTGCATTAGCGATTAGGCTGTAATTGCGCGATGCCTTCCTCTTTGTGGGGATTTCGCAGCTTTGTTCTGCCTTTTGGTCGTGATCATCCGCAGATAGCCCCTTTTCTTTTTTCATAGTGCTTCTTCTTCATCTGTTTTCTTCAAACTCTCTCATGCGAAAGAAAGTGACGTTGTAGTTTTGTTATACTCAACTTAATCATGAAATGATCAAGTTGAGTATAACAAAACAGTCCTAACTTTAACTCTTATCACTCAATAATGTTAGTTCCTATTGAAACAAAGCATAGATCGGTTAGCGTTTCCATCTCAGACATTCGCCGTTGTCACCCGCAGGTGGACCGCCCACAAAATGGCTGATCGCACCAAAACCCGGTGCACCGTCGGGAGACATGAATTTAGTTTTGACCGGATTTTACTGCGATTTTGCCCCAATGCACGCCGCATGCGTTATGATAGTGATGTTGTGAAATACTCGTCTTCTCTTGGTGATTGCTTTTTGTTGATTGGTGCCTTTTTCTTCAATGTTTTTGCTTTCATTCTTTCTTATACATCGCTTATAATCGCTCCTTGGGATAGGAAAAGCGTGAAATATCAGCGCTATTGGTCCATCTCCCTCGCCCCGCCTCAGGGCGCCTCGGGGCTATATAAAGTAATATGCCCCGCCCACAAGAGATTCGAACTTGAGGCAGCTTCGCAGCTGCCTCTTCAACAAGATCGTCTCCGAATCTCCGCCCCCCCCCTCATTTTAATCACCCGCCCTCCATATTTATTTAATCTCTAAACATATGTTTCCCATATTATTCTACTTGTATAATTGCTTCGTATTTATTTGTTCCCGTTATATTGCTATATTTATGTAAGCTTAAGCCGAAGCCCTAGCTCCTGCATGGCTACCCTCTGTTTTAAACTCATCTATCTGTCTCTTATCTATCCGCTACCCCATTTCCTCATCTAATTATTCTTATATTTTATCCCGCCCTGTTTTGCTGTCTGCCGCTATACCTCCATATCCTATACTTTGTTTATATATGCCTGATAAATGCTTAGTAAGAACATAAACTTGTCATTATACCAAACCTACTCTATCTTAATCATACTTAATGGTGCCTTTTAAACCAATTTCGCTTACTATTCTTCCTTAATCTTACCAGCACATCAATAAAAGTGAGGTCACCGTTTCCGTAGGACATCGATTTGACGGTTTGTCAGTTCAGATGAAATCGCGCGTCCAAAGTGGCAACCTCACTTGCAATCTCTGCGCTGGCGTTGTAGATCGAAGGTAAGCATTTTCTTCTCAATTCAGTAGGTTACTTCAGGACTCCTTCCAACTCAGCAAATTTGCGGAGTGTAATTTTGTGAGCTTAGACTCTAATTGTTAACCACAAGCCTGATTTGACTAAGTTTCAAGCCAACTACAAGCTTAAACAAACTTGAAATATCGTAATCTTGTGTCGGGTTCAACAAACCGTTGAGGCGTCGCTAGCTAGCTAAAATCTGTCAAAACATGTAACTTATACTATCCATTACTTATTGTGGGCAGCTTCAAGCTGACACGTGCAGAACAAAAATTTGCGAAAACGTAATTTTACGAGAAAATCCTTATGACACAATACTTTTCCAGCAAAAAAAAACAGTTTAGCGCCCGAAGTATTGTCATAACTCGAAAAATGTGTTTAAGAAAATTTCTCCTGCAGAATGGGCTTTTCCATAGCTTGTTTTCGCAGTTTCACAGAAGTAAGACCGGCTGCAGCCGTATATGGACTGCTGCTATGTAAAAAAATTTACTCAAATTTATTTTCATGCAGGAAACAAAGAGCTAAATCTGGGTGTAAAATGCACGTCTGGTACTCGTACCCCATCAGATCTTTGAATTTCCGTCTGCAAAGCCATAGCTAGTCAAATGACCAGCTATGGCTCTGGCTTCCGGCCTTGATAAGAGAATTTATTCTCTTCAAAGAAATTTCCACAATGCATGCAATGGTTTTTTGCGGATTTTCGTCCACGGCTCTCGTTGGGCCACTTTTTGGCAAGTCTGTGGTCCGTATTTGAAAGAGGGGTCTTTTTTCTCGCAGATAGACCAGAAAGAGAATTCATGGGATCAAGAATGGGCGAGTTAGAAGGCGAAATCCTGCTTGTTCAAATATGGCTCACATGAAGTTTGATGGGCTGCCAAAAATCCATTCTTTGCTCTATTTTATACATGTTTCGATGGTAGTCGTCTTCTCCACATTCTTTTGTTCCATTGTGGTCCTTTCTGACTTCGTTCCTTACTTAAAAGTGATCTAGCTCAAATTTTAATTAACCAGCCGCCGTAACCCGAAAATCGCAATTTTTCGAAATTAACGAGTATCAGAAGCTGTTTGAATTTCGGCATGATGAAGCAACAATCCACACCGAAAAGAAGAAATCGCAGTTGTCAAAACCCATCTTTCAAACACGGAAAAAAATGATATTCAGCTTTCTAACTCGCAATCATAGTCCCACAATTGCTCTTGTCTGTATAACCGAAAAAAGAAAGTCTGCTTTTCAAAACCCAGCCCGATTGAGGTTTCTGAATATGAAATGAATTAACGAAAGGCATCGTGTTTTTAGGAGCTGAATTTGGCTGAATCAAAACGGAAAAGATCGCTTGCGCACATAAACATGATCATTTTCTGCAATTTCATCATGTTTTTGATTTTCTTAGGCACTATTTCGTCAATGCAAGGGATCACTGCTGAACGAATTCTTGCCTTACACATAATTTTTTGGACTTGTGAACCGGCAGAGGAACTCAAAAGTATGCATGTAGGCAAACTGGCGAAAAAGGAAAAAAATGACCATTCAAGGATCTCCCGGAGAGCACTGTGGATTTCCTAATAAGTAGGTTGTTCCGTCATTTTGTACATCAATTCGAATAATTTATTCAGGGTTTGTATTGTCCGCTTTTGGCCTACCGGACAAAGAACTTCTACAATTTGCACAAGAATGCGACAAAAGCGTCAAAGGTAAAACTTTAGTCTCAAAAAGTTTACGCATCTGATACTGATGTTTTTCAGAAGAACCGGCCCAGGACATCTAACGTGAGCACTGACTTGAACATCATCGAAAAAACGGACGCCCACATTGCAGTAACTGATGCGAACGACACACATTAGTCCAATTCCAGTTGTTTTTTGACAAGTGTTCTCTCGATGTAGTTTATTTGATTTTGCGCTGATGTAGATTTTTCTGTACCATGAAGTTTTTAATAAATTACTATGGCTTGATTTGTTAGGGACAGTGAAAGATGACAGCGCGGTAGACGTGAAACACATCAGTATAGAGTATGTACTCTATACTTGTGTGTTCCACTATATACTTAATATTAATATATAAATACCACTATAGATGTACCCATCAGGGTGAACCGCTGCTTTAAGGATCGGGGCATTATGGTGTCTCCCGCAGGTCACTCTGGTAATGACCGGAGAATGCCCTGTCGGGGCATTATGGTGTCTCCCGCAGGTCACCCCGCTGCAAACACAGGTGACCTGATTTTGCCCCGACACCGATTTCGTGTGACGCGCCGTTGGTCAATGAGATCACACCATTTTAACCTGCGGGTGACAACCGCGAATGTCTGAGCACTGTCGCATCCATTTCCTTCCTTCTATGTGCAGGGAAGTCATGTGTCCACGTTCGTCTCCATCACATCGTTTGCGGAACTCAAGGGATTACGACGAAGGGTCTGGCACTTTTGCGGCTTGATGTTTCCCATAATCTTCACAAGGACGATGCGGACTAAGGTTTGCAAACAATGCAGGTCTTTGTATTCACAGCTCTCTGAAGACCATTTTCAGGCGGAAGTTCTCCCCACACATACTATCCATTGCTCCTCTGCTCGCGCATGAATTGGACAAGAGCCCGCGAAGTGTGTATATGAACAAAACCCATGCTGCTCACGTGCAAATGCGCTTCATTGCATTCGACGGATATATGAAGGATCGTGATGGATGACCCATGAGTACACGAGTTTGAAGTTCAGAGAGTTTGAAGAGCTTCACAGTCGTCTGAAAGAACGACTTTCACATTTGCAGTCGCGGAGATTCCCAATAGATAGGTCCACCGCCTGGCTATAAGTACACTTCAAGAGACATCTTTCTAATCTCAATTAAACTTACAGTTCTTTTGACATTCTTTTGACTTCATGCACTTTCGCGTTGCCAATGCGCCAAGTGATTTTAGACGAAGATCGACTCGCGGGTGCCTAAAGTAAGTTGGACGATGAAAAGAAATTGTGCAAACTGATACTTCAACTCGCAACGGAACAACATTTTCGTCGTTTACAACACTCAAATCCTCAACATCGATGATGTCCTCTTCCTCCATATCTTCTTCATACTCCAGCTTCACGTTATCGTCAACGACGGTACAAAATCGCTCACTAAGAAGGAGAAGTTATGAAATAAGATAAAATATGTGATTGTACCCACCCAGTGTCGGTCGCATTGTCAAGAAATAGTAGGAAATTGTAGAATGGCCATGATGCTATATGACCAAATTGTAGAATGGCCATGACGCTCAATCACTCCGGCGGGTGCGCCACTTTTTTTCTTTAGCATAACCTGAACTTCCCTTCTTTTTCTTGTAAACACATCTCTGAGATTCTTAAACTCTTTTGTACAACTTCATCTGAAAGAAAAAAGATTTTTGAGTGTAAAAAAAACTTATCAATAACAAACTGACGATCGTAATCCTTTTTGTACTGGGCCTTCAATTCTTGTGACACGCTTCTCCAGGCCGCTGTGCGAGCACGCAGATTTTTATAGTTGACGTTTTGGTCGTCCCAAAGACAACCTCGTTTTGAAACCGCCTCTATCAGAAAACGTTTTTCCGCGTCGCTTAGATGATCCTTCATCTAAATGGAAATCAGCAATGTTGATGAAGTTATCAACTTAGAAAAAGTGCTTACTAGCAGGGTCAAGCGTGTGATGCGACTTCGCAACGGGGGGTCGCAAAGGGGGCCTACGGTGAGGGGGGTCGTAAGAGGGGGTAGTTTGGATAAAAAACCGTACGATTGAAAGCAAATCAAATAGCAAGTAATTATTACATGTTCTTAAAGGCAGTAGGTCGGCAGAATGAGACCCGTGGCAAAACAAGGTCACAGGGTAGGAGCCCCCATAATGGAACTATGGGCCAAAGTTCGATCTTTCTCTGCCACTTCTAACCCAAAGCGAAAGCAGCGCTCATCTCCTGTCCTCTTCGAACCTGCCCACCCCATGGACGAGTGAACGCGAAGCCCGTCATGGCGAAGACGCAGAGTCGTTGCGGGACCTCATGCTTATAGCATTGCGGATGGCGCTCTAACCGCGGAAGTCACTCGTCCATGGGGTGGACGGGTTCGGAGAGGACAGGAGATGAGCGCTGCTTTCGCTTTGAAATTTCGGGGTTAGAAGTGGCAGAGAAAGATCGAACTTTGGCCCATAGGTTTCATTATGGAGCTCCTACCCTGTGACCTTGTTTTGCCACGGGTCTCATTCTGCCGACCCACTGCCTTTAACAATGAATAATTCATGGAATGCCGTGTACTAATGTATCAAAAAAACCGAGTGAACAATGATTTGAAAAATTTGCAAGCGTAGAAATTAGCTTCATTTGCTGTACTTTTGAAAGATTATGACTTGGTTCTTTTTTTATGGGAAACGGTATTTATCCCGCAAAATATTGTCTCAAACGGGGATAGAACCCTGCTGGCATGACTAAAATTCAAAAATAAACACTTTCAGAAGCTCAAATGCTACTAAAGGAATGTATGTGTGATAAAGATGTTGGATGTACCGATTGGTGTAGACATCCTGCTTCCGAAGGCTCACTGAAGACTCGCACACTCGACAAGAGCGCACATGTAGTTCAACGATGACAATCAATAATTCGTAAATCTTTTTGTAATGCCATTTATGCGGCCCTTACAATTTATATGTTTATATGTACTTTAGATAAGCCCTGCTACTGCTGTGCGAAATTGGTGTTATTTTATAAACTGCGGATTTTCTTATGTTTTTATGTATGGTAGCAAAAAATGAGAAAAGGGGGGGGGGTCGTATCTGCGCCTAATCCAAATTTCTCCGGAGCTATTGAAGCTTGTTAGCTGCAAATTTGCTGTAATACGAGACCATCCCTCTAGTTTTTATCGTAAGAATTCCAGGCTGTTTTACAACTTCTCTGGTAAGTTACAAAATTCGGAGCTCAAAAATCCCAGTTTTTGCTTTTTAGGATCGCCTCTAAATTTGCGAGAGCCTGATCCAAATTTTTTCGAGCTCACTGTCCCTCAAGAGCTGAAACTATTTCTATGAATAGTCTGGGCACTATGCTAAAGAACCTGTACTTTGCAGAGCCTCTCAGTCTTTTCCTGGCCTTAGTTAAGAATTTTCAAACTACCGTGCTCATGCACGTTTTTGACGTCGTTGTGGACGGCGCTAAAGCGGTTTTTTTTCGCAGGAAGAACTGTGGAAGTGGTAAGAACTGAGCTTCTTAGTCGAAAACAGCATTGAAGTTCTCACGCAGGTGTTTTTTGAGATTGACATTCTTTTATGCAGGTTACCGCGAGAAATGTGGGCAGGGGAGGTAAGGGGGATAGATGGGGGACGGGCAGGGAGGGGAGGAGGGGGGGGGGGGTTGGTCGTACGGATGGGTACCTTAGGGGGGGGGGGGGTCGTAAATGAGGGTCCAGGATCGCATCAACACGCTTGACCCTGCTTACTAGTTTCTTTTCCATTGTGAGCTTTGACTCGATGCAACTGCCGACGGCTCTGTGCCAAGGCGCTTCTGAAAGTGGAAAAGCTGACAAGGGAGTGGTCAGAAGTCGAAGTGGCCAAACCAAAGAAGCTGTATATTATTCTATGCAGTATAAAACGCTGACTTCGAATCTGTCTTCCTTCTGTGGACGAAGCTACAAGCAATTTTATTGTGAAAAAATCATACATAAATACAGCGAAATTGAGCACATTGTTGCACTTTTAGCTCAGCTTTTGGCTCCAAAAATTTTAAGTAAGCTAGCTGCATGTTTTGGCCCAGCATTGAGGCAAACGTGGCTCTGTACGGTAAAATTTTCAATTTTACACATAATTTCTAAGCAAAATAATGCTCTTTGATGGCTTATAGCTTCGTCCGAAAAGCGATAAGCAGGTAAGGAAGACAGATTTAAAGTCAGCGCTTCATGCTGCATCTATCGGTACGCATCTGAAATGGTCACTTCGATTTCTGACCATTCCTTCGATTTCTGACCATTCCCTTGTGAGTATGATTCCAAAAAGAGGCAAGGATACAAGCTGGCAGATGTCGAATACAAAAATCGGTATTGGGCAGTGACGGAAAAACGTGACATTTGCGCATAATTCAGGATGTGACGTGTGAGCGTTCACACAATCGCAAGACGGTCCTGAGCGAGCGGCCTGTGAGCGAGCTATAAGCGATTTCTACGCAAAGATCAGTCGCCCAGCTCAGACAGTCGAAGGGATACCTCCGGCGGGCAAATGGCGCGAGTCTGCCACTTCGAGCTCTGGAGCGCTCCGGAGCGCGAAGTGGCAGACTCGCCCCATTTGCCCGCCGGAGGTGTCCCTTTCTGAGAGGCAGCCGATTCGCAGCGACCAAAAATCGTGACGACGGTGCCACGGCGAGGTATGACTTAGGTCTAAAGCACAACTTACTAGCGATTTGTACTGGTACAGGCGTTAAACGGGCGCGTGCACCGCGATTTACATTCGTTCTTGCGGTCGACGACTCGACGATACTATTGAAACACTACGTGAGTGATGACCGCAAACTCATCGAAGTGAATAGGCACAACCCTACAATATTCCTACTCTGTCCTCAATGGCAAATTTTAATAAATTGGTGCAATCGTTTATGTATCCGCATTACATACCCACAGTTTTTGCTAGTTATGGCTGGGTCTAATTTTGGCTTCTTGTGACTGAAAGTTCAACCCATAAACTCGACGAAAGCATCCGATAATCACGAACGTTTTTCTACTTTGGTAACCAGCATGTCAATTTACCCGTGCACCAGCTGTGCAAAAATCGATGAAGAAAAAATCGATAAGCCATCACCTAATCCGCCAACACCAACACCACAATTATCCACTCTTCATGAACTCCAAGCGCCTCAAAATTGCGAAAAACCGATATCAAAACTGCGAAAAATCGACAAATCAGTAGTAGATGCTCTTTTAACGGTCTCTTATTCAAATGCTTACTCAGTACTCCTTGTACTAACAATAAGTCCCTATTTTGGAAGGCCAGTTAACAGACACCATTTGTATGTAGAACATCAACTCAAAAGCCCACTTCAATGTCACGCAATCTTCAAGAAATCCAACAAGTTGCTTACTAGATGTTCGAAGTTGCCACTTGCCGAGTTTGACGGATTTTAATGAAATTAGTCGCATTTTTCAAAGTTCCGACCTGTAACATTTATGGTTGAATTCATTATAATTTGGTAATGAAATTAAACGACCTGTGTGACTGTATGGTATCCTTACAAATTTCGAATGCATCTAGAGCATCATCACCGCGACCAGCACAGCGAGCCGCTAGCGTGTACGCGCTATTATAGTCGCGGCCGCATCTCTCACGCATGGTACGCTGCCACGCGCAGGGCTCTGTAATAGCCGTACCTACAGATTACCCTCTGTTTCACTACCAGCGGCAGGTGGAAGGGTCGAAGAGATTGAAGCCGCGCCTCCCACGCGCCACTCTCAGTGAAACAAAGGGGACAACGCAGCTGAAGCGCTAGCCTATCGCTATTCACACCAACTTCATGGGCGCACTGGACCAGTCGCTTCATTGCGCCAAGAGGATACAGAAAATAAAGTTCGTGAGGTGTTGGATGTTCTTGATTTGGAGTGTCAGCCTGTTAAAATCTTCCGAATGGGGAGGAGAACGACTGGTATGCCGCGCTTGGTAAAAGTAGAGTTGCCATCGAAGCATCACTGGGCGTCCGCTCTTTCCCGAGCCCAGCTGCTCAAAGATTCCCCCTGTCATAAGGGGGTTTACATCCGTTGGAGCATGACGGCCCGGGAAAGAGAAAAGGAGCGGGAGTTGAGGGACCAGGCCAAACAACTGAATACGAATCGGAGCTTCGAAGAACGATTTGTCGTCTACAAGGGTGAACTGGTGCTTGCCAGTTCATTGACTAGCAACAATTGTGTTCCTTCTCAATCCGCAGTTCGCTCATACTGCGTTTCCTCTGCAATGCAGGGAAACTGAATTGTAGGCAAGGAGATTCTTTACGATGTGTACTTTTCAATGCTAGGTTTTTAGCAAACAAGTTACAATTATTATATTATTTTTTGACTACTAAACTCCCCGATATTATTTTCATTACGGAAACATGGTTATCTTCTAAAATAAGTAATGCTGAAATAGTTCCTGATCTACCTTACATGGTTTTTCGGTCTGACAGATTACGTAAGAAGGGGGGAGGAGTCCGCATATTGATCAAATCAACGCTATTATGTGAGAGCATTGCAATTGAGAATAACTGCAGTTGTGAAATAAAGTTGGTTGATCTATACCAACCTGGCACTCTCTCCGAAAACCCGTGTCATATGTATTTACCGACCTCCCAGCTCCACCTCTGATTTGGATGATGTGCTTGTTGACCTCCTCTTAGCTTCTACCCATTGTACCCCAATATCTGGATTGTTGATGATTTCAATCTTCCTATGAGATGCTCTGGAGACACACCACTCTACATTTTTCCACAAGTTCAAAGATTTCTTAAGTTCTTTCGTGATTTAGACCTTTTGCAGTTCGTTACTGTACCTAATCGCGATGGTACCATTTTGGATTGGGTACTATCAACTAGTACACAAGCTATTAGTCGAGGCGCCGTTTGGTACATCCGATCTCAATATCATTGAGTTCCTATATAAATTCTATAATCCGAAAATTAAACTTATTCCATTTCCCATGTTCAGTATTGAATTCGAAGCAATGAAAAATGACCTCCACACTCTCATTTGGGAAGAATTTTCAACCAGTATATTGGCCCCTCTGACGTATACTTCAGATTCTGCCGTGTTATGTATAATCTACTGGCTAAATATACTCCATTGGGTGTACAAAAATTGGCTATTTACGATATCCGCGTCACATACAGTCGCTCCTGTTCCAGAAAGAAAGACTTTTCAGAACTGCTCAATATAATTGCCCATTGTACAGTAAGGTCTGCTCCGACGTAACATTCCACATCAAAAAATTCCTTAAAAATCACGAAAGACACCTGGCTTCGTCTAAGCACTCAAAAAATCTCTTTTCTTATATCCATCATATACAGCGCGCACAATATCATGGAGCCTTGAAGGATACGTTGGGAAATACCTGTCTAACAAATCAGTCCAAGGCTTCAGCATTAGCCGAGTTTTTTGCGAATATGTTTTTCACAAGTACTCCTCGCACTAAAGGATTGGGTGCACTTCTGAACCATACCTGCTCAACACCTATGGTCATGCCTTCTGCTGTCAAAAAAGAGAGCTTTCGGTTCCCTTGTCACATATTTTTGATATTAGTTTTATTTGTGGGAAATACCTGACATCTGGAAAGAAGCAATAGTCACTGCAGTTCCAAAAGTTCCCAAACCTCAATCTGTGACAGAATTCAGGCCCATAAGTATAAATTCAGTACCGTGTAAAGTTTTCGAAAAGATAATTCGTGACAAAACTTCTTTCTTGACTGGAAAGGTTTAATCTCATTCCCGCTGAACAACATGGGTTTGTCAGCGGTGCATCCACTGTAACCCAACTGACAGATTGCAGTCATGACCGGATTAAGGCATACCTCAATAAGAAGGAAGTGGACGTTATATGCTTCGATTTGTCTATAGCTTTTGACCGTATAAGTCACGATAAATTGTTAAATAAGCTTGAGCACTATGGAATCAGGGGGCCCTTGCTTGAATGGCTAAAATCATATCTGCACTCCAGATATATGACGGTTCGGGCGGGAAGAGATCATTCTGGACGTTTTCCTTGTACAAGCGGACTTCCGCAGGACGGGGCTCTTTCACCATTGCTATTTCTAGTCTATACCGCTGAATTACACCAAATTTCAAAGACTCTTCCTGACATACATGTGCTCATTTATGCCGATGATATAAAATTTACGGCATATACGATAGGGATAATCAGAAAACAATTAAAGATGCCTTGCAGCGTGCTATCAATAACATGGTTGAATGGTGCACAGGCTGGGACATTTCAGTGAATATGAATAAAAGCTCTGTATTCCATGTTGGTTATGCTGCAAGTGACGAACACTACGAGCATGCAGGAATTTCTCTAGCTCAAAACATCTATCAAAGACTTAAGTGTTGCGAAAGCACCTTGAGACCAGACTTGCAAATTTCAAACATCACCTCTCGCGCATTCTTAATTTTGTACGCCATTATTTCGCAATATAAAAGCAGCCGATCCCAAAATATTACTGAAACTTTATAAGGCATTTGTCATCCCTACTGTAGAGTATGCAAGTCAGGTTTGGAGCCCTTTTCTGAGGAAGCATAAGCTGGAACTGGAGAACGTCCAGAAGGTTTTCACTCGTTTGCTTTTCTATAGATGCTATCCCAGTCGTGGTTACCCACGATCGCTTCCAAGCTATGATGAACGAATGAGAGTCCTAAGCTTCAAAAGTCTTCTACATCGATAGGGTCGTGCATGATATAATACTTGCTTTCAGGATTTTTAAAGGCAAGAGTAAACTAAGGCCTTCTAAATACTGGGTGTTCAGGCCTAGTCGCGGAAGGACTACTGGGTTTTCTGTTTATTTACATCTAAATGTAGGCATAAACAACCAAACTCTTTAACAAAAAACAGTTTTTTTGCACGCACTTCAAAGTATCTCCAGTGTTTACCTAAAAAAATTCTGTCTTCTCCACATATTTGAGAGCTGGACTTGGCTGTTGGTGGTTTTTTTTCTGTTGTTGGTTGTTTATTACTTTAAGGTTCTGACTATTTTTGTTTTACTTGTTGCAATTGTGGCAGGCCTTGTGCGTATTGAATAAATAAATAAATAAATAAATAAATAAATAAATAAATAATTAAATAAATAAATAAATAAATAAATAAATAAATAAATAACGTAAAGTACATATGTTTGAAGCACACAGTGTTAGATAAAATCATGGCTACGGCTCCTGATGATTCTTGTCGAACTCACCCAAATGTGTTTACTTTTTCATTTTGATATCGAGGAAGCTTGAAGCTGTACATTCATTCAAGCACTCTGCAATGAATGTCGGATAGTATGGTGTTAACCATCACAATGCAGCAGGGTCTACAGAGTTTGTCCCACGGCTGTCGGAGAAATCACCGAAGGCCAGTAAGACTTTCTAGAAGAATGATTTTAGAAATTTGTACTACCACTTAATAATAGAGGTCCCAGAAATCCGTCAGCAGGGATGAACAGGGGGAAGGGGAAGGTGCATCAATTTTTTTTCGAATGAGGGTGGATGGCGTTAGCTATGCACTCCAGCAATTGGTACAATTCCCAAAATTTCGCGAGCGCTCCAAAATCTTAGGAAAAAGGGTTTCTTACGCTAATATGATTTTTTATAAAATTTCAATAATTATCTCAATTAAACACGACTTGCGCATTCTTATAACATGTGTGAGCAACTTTCGAATATCGCGACATCCCCCCCCCCTCGCCTCGCTCCGCCACTGGCTTCGGATGTGGATCCGAGTGCGTTTATTGCAAGGAGAGAGCGACTATGCAGACGAAATATGTAAACATTAAAAGGCGAGTTCACCTCATTCACGCATACCAAACATGGCAAACCTGTATGTTATAATCTTCACATAGCAAACAAATAAAAGATACATGTGGAGCGTTTTTTCAGTAATTACATTTACGACACAAAAATCAGGCAGCATTATTTCAGTCTCAAAAAATATGGTATCATTGTCCTGCAGTTGCTGCAAAGCTCAGCTGATTCCGGAGTCGGTCCTTTTGTCTTCAGAATTTCAGCTGTTCTTCGACACTCCGTAGCTTGGTACATGCGGTGTTACAAACCTCAGTGAGCATTTTCAGATCGGCCTCCCTTTTATCGAGTACCTTCAGCACTTCCCCCACACTCTGAACAGATGCGGAACAGTCTAACTCGGATATTGGATCCTACAAACCTTAACACATGCTTCCAAATCCTCTTCCATTTTCTTTGAAGTCCTCAATTGTTCCTCACCGCTCTGAAAAAAAAAACGAAAATTACTACTCCGAATATGTGGTTCCCCCACAATGGTCGGTCGCCTCATCGCGGCGTGGTAGTGACACTGGGTGTCGAATTGCGACGCACAGCCGAGTGTATACTCTGGCAGGGTCTCCCAAGCTGTGAAGGAGTTCGACGTTTCCGGACTCGGCCGGATGCCTAGCTAAGAACTGGCCACGTCAGGTCCTCCGCCGTCTAGCTTCTTCTGGTCGCTAGGCGGTCCCTCGCCGCTCCACATTCGAGATCAGCGATCGCCTCGTGGAAATCAAGAGTTGGCCTAGTAGGTCTGCTCTTGTAGGAAACATTTTCAGTACTCGTTCAGCAAAAAGGAGAGAAATAGACCCTGCACATCGGATCCGCCTACGGCGCCGAGTGGTAGCAAGAACGATGTCAGGGTACTCAGGGCGCCTTATGGATTGCACAAAAACGACACGTCTGCCCGGACAGGACGCTATGGAGACTGCCTCATGCTCTGCACCTACAACGCCAAGACAGTCTCCACAAACGCCGACCTCCACGCTCTTCTCGAGGCTGCAGAGCACATCAATTACCACATCATCCCTCTGTAGGAAACAAAGTCCAGGAAGAAAGACGTGCGACAGATGAGTGATGGGACCCTCATCATTCGTGGTGAAAAGGTTCCATCACGAAACGTTGGAGGAGTTGGTTTTGTCGTCCACCCATCTATCGTCCATCTTGTCGATTCGCATGGGATCCTGTCACCTCGACTGGCCATCCTGCGACTACGACCTCTACGTCAGAAGACCATCAGCATCATCATCTGCCACTCACCAACATCAGCAGCTAACAAATTAGAACTAGATGCTCTTTACGAAAACGTGGGGCAGGTTGTCCGCCACGAGAGTCCTTCTACAACTTCATTGTGGGCGACTTCAACGCGAAGATCGGGATGCCACTAGAAAGGGAATACAGGATCGGGAAGTTTGGATATGAACTTCGAAACGAAAACGACAACCGTCTCGTTGCGCTTCTCTCCGCCGCACTTTTCCATGGAAATTCCATATTCATGAAAAAGGAACATCGCCGGTGGACTTGGGAATCGCCCAACGGAATGACTCACGCGGAGATCGACCACATTCTCACCAACCGAAGGTGGAACTTGCTTGATGTCTCAGTAGTTCCATCCTTCTGCAGTGGCTCCGATCACCGACTCCTTCGAGAGAAGATACGATTCAGTCGCAGGCTGGAAAAGAAAGCCCGTCACATTATCGCAGAAAGAAGAATGTCGTTTATGACGGTAAGAGGCTGGAAGAGCTCATATCAAGTTGTGACTGGCCCATCGAGGAAGACCCAACGTAGGAATGTGACCGGCTTCTGAAAAGATTGCGAGCCTGCGGCCCATCTCGAGCGACTGATAGCCAATGCCAGTTGCAGAACAGCTTTGCAGGAGGATCTCAGGAAGTACAGGCAGCCAAGATACTGGAAGCATTCGAAGGAAGTTTCAAGAAGTGCCGAAGGGACCTCTGTGAATATCACGTACCGCTGGCTGCACTATTGAACAAGACGGGACTCCGACTTTTTCCCGATACAAGATGGAATCTATCGCGAAGAAAACTTCTACACCAATCTCTTCCGCTCATCAACACCCGTGCCGATGCCCGTTGTTCCCACTGGAGAAGTACCACCACGAATTCTACATGCTGAAGTGCGCAGGGCGATTCAGACCATGAAGACATCCACGGCACGACCAGACCATCTTTCCGTCGAATTTCTGCGAGCCGGAGAATAACGTCTACACGAGATTCTCGCGTCGCACCTGACATCTTACCTTCGGAAGGAGAGGATTCCCGACCAGTGGAGAACGTCAAGAACCGTCCTTCTTTTCAAGAACGGTGAACGGAAGGATCTTTGAAATTACCGTCCAATATGCCTGCTGAGTGTGCTGTACAAGCTTTTCACGAAGATTATCCTCGCAGGCATATCTAGGACACTGGATGAAGCCCCACCCCCATACGAGTTGATGGGAGATTTCTGTCTAACCTTCGTTTTGAGGACGACATCGTTCTTTTCTCGAGCAGTATCACCGAAGCAGAGACGATGCTGAAGGAACTAAACAAAGTAGGGAAGAAGATCGGATTAGGAATAAATCGGAAGAAGACGCAGTTCATGAAGAACGCCCTTTGCGAGGATGCAAAAATGAAACTGGAAGGCACCTCTCTTACGGGACGTCTTCTTACGTATATCTCGGACGTTCGATGAACACGGAGAACGATTCGAGGGAAGAACTTAACAGGAGAAGAAGAGCAGCCTGGGCCGTCTTTGAGCCTCTGAAGGAAGCCACCGACCAACTGACGGACTCGGAGCTTCGTGCCCACCTGTTGGACTCAACCGTTCTCCCAACGCTCTGTTACGCATCTGAGACCTCGGCTGACACACTAGCCACGTTGAAAGCCTAACGGACCACCCACAGGCGCTCGAGCGCAGTCTTCTGAAGATGACCCGACACAAGCAACATCTAGTCGGATTTTGCAGTACGGATATGAGAAGAATGTCCCGTCTTTGTGACCCAATGCGATACGTTGCGAAAGCAAAACACCGATGGGCCGACCACATTATGAGAAGAACAGACGACAGATGGACACTAAGAACAACTGAGTGGATTCCTCGCGAGGCCAAACGTCCCCAAAGAAGACCACCAAGGAGATGGGTAGACGTGTTCGTGGAACGGATGGACCAGCTGAGAAATCAGCTGGGTACGATTATCGCACCTGGAACTCGTGGACGCAGCCACCGACGGCAACCAAGAAGATCGTGGATGTCTAAGCGAGGGAGAGGGACAAATGGCAAGAAGACGGGCCATCTAAGTATCTAAGTAAGTAATATGTGGTTCTACAAGCCTGAACGGTAGTTTAAGATTAAAAGCTGATGCCTGACGAAGGAGGTCACTTTATTGTGCGAAGCTTTTGCAAACTTAGAGCTGGTGCGCCGCACGCCTCGCCTACGTAAGCAGCCGCCTTCGTCTCGGATTAGCCTATACCCCCCTTCTCCTCAAGAACCCTCAGTAGTTCCCGTCCTGCACTTAGTTCCTTTGTGAGCTTTTTCTGTAGATTCCTTGCTTCATCCAGCTGTCTGAATATATGGTTAGCTCTGGGTCAGCGTCAACTAGGTGAAGCCAACCTCTTTTCGTTGTTCTCAGCTTCCAAGTTATCAACTTTTTCCTGGAGCGATATCGTTTATTTTGTCCTTTAATGTTTTCGTCATCGTTTTCAGCTTTTGTTATTGTTTCTAAGTTTTAGTACTTGCTCAGAGACACTCCAAACTATACAGCTCAAAAACTGAAAATCACGGATTTTGCTGTAAGTTTGCATAGGGATAATTCGACCCTGCGGATCACGAAACTGATTTCATTCTGCATGGTAAACTTTTTTGAAGGGTTCACAGCAGGCATGCGATAAAGTGTCAAAATCTCAGAATTTGATGAAATATTGCACAAGGGATTATTTAACATTCTGATCAAGTACCATAGCGATTCCCCTATATAAATCATGGAGGCGGGTGGCTATTCGACTGGGAGGTGCCATCAACTTTAGATGAGCTAGCACTCCCCGGGTGCTCGGTGGTGGTCCCCTCTCCAGCTATGTTTCCCCACATTTATGATGATATAATGATAAAGATCTAGTCAGAAACTGTTATGCTGGTCAAGGCAAGAAACTTAGGATAGAGGGATAAAGTCCCGAGACTAACTAATTCGTAGACTAGAGAAGTATAACCCCAACCTAGCAAATTTCCAGCGAATTCTGGTCGTGACCCCATAATATGATCCTACCGTATTCCTACCAGAAGGCATTTTCGTGGAGAATATATACGTCGTGATCAGCATGCCCAAAAACTTACCCCCGCCTATGCAAAATTCCAGCGAGTTCCAAGATACTGACCCCAAACGGTATACGTATCGTAACCTCTCAAAAAAGACCATGAGTGAAGTTAGGCAGCGTCCAGGTAAATCTGGACATACGGGTTTTCGACGTGGATAGTAATATTCTGAGGCCCTAACTAAGACGCTGCCCAAGCGGCAGCTCAAATGGTAAACTCACAGTTGAGATATTGGCCTTCAAACTGGACTCCGAGATCGTATTCGCATGGATTAATGGGGCGACACGCGTGGGTCCTCGCGCGAAACTGCTGTGTCGCGCCATGAATCCATGCGAATAAAATCGCGGGGTCCAGTTTGTAGGCGAATATCTCAACTGTGAGCTCACCATTTGAGCTGCCGCTTGAGCAATGTTTTAGTTAGGGCTCCGAGATTACCCTCCAAGTGAGATCCCCATAGGGCCAGATTCGCCTGGAAGCTGCCTTTAAGAACAAAAAACATCGAAATACGATAATACGTAGTTTGGTGTCAAACTTTAGCCGTGTGCACTTAATGTAAGCACCGCACGGGCAGGGCCTCATCCGGGATTTCAAATTTGTGTGCACTACATGCATCGCAACGAAGTGACTAGACGGATGACTTCTACTATATGATGGCAGAAAATATCACAAGCTCCGATCGTTCGCTTGTGTTTCCCTTTGCCGTCAATTGTGGCTTTGCCTTCCTTACATTGTGGAAATCACGACACCTTTTGGCAGCTGCGTAGTGTTCACACGGACTAGTGGTGTAGTGGTATAAGACGCCGCTACGATTAGATTGAACCTAATGTGACCGTCAAAAAGTTGCGGACAAGCCGCCCTCTTTTCTTCGTCGCTATTTTCAGATGGAAACGGATCAAAAAAATGATCAGATTGCACGAGATGATAGAGCTCCTCAAAAACTACAATTCACATACTACGCTTTCTGGAAAAGATGGATTCCAAAAAAGTTAGAAATGTTTTACCAAAAAAAGTCCAAAGATGGCCGCGTCACAATGTCGCGGACAACAATTCTTCCAACGCGGATTTTCTTTTAGCTCTTTTTGGGGGGGGGGGGGGCAAAAACAGGACTTTTCTGAAGAGGTAAGCATACTATATCAAAAGCTGATCGAATGCAATAATTAGGTAGTGACTTCCAAAAGACCCAGGCTTGATTTTTTGCTTTTTTTCAAAGAATAAAGTTTAATTCCCCTCTTGCCAAATTTCTTCACATGAACATCTATTCAAGATATTCAAACAGAGCTGTTTGGATAAAGTGTATGCTCTTTGCCATCCTCTATGCATCGGACGTGTGCTGGTGAGTTTCTGCTGAAATTGGCTCTTGACAGTGCGTGCACATGACCCCATGTGCACCTCACCGCTAAGTAGTATTGCTTTGCAGGCTTGTAGCTCGGCCGCCAGTCACTCTAAGAGCCTGCAAGTAGGCTCATTTGAAAGGGCGATGGACACGATGGTGTGCAAATGAGTTGTGCATGAGAAATCAAGGAGATTTTACGGATGGGGTGAAAAAGCGTAGCCTTAGAGGCGAATGGAGTGAAGATTCTTATCAACATCAGGATAGTCTAGAGCTCGGAAATGGATCTATTACAAAAAAAATTAACAGTTTTGAACTTCCAGGATGGAACTGGTAGCGAAAGAAGCTCTATTCAACTTTAGCTAGAAGATCCTTAGGCTACTACTGAAGCTACGCTTTTCCACTCCATCCTCAAAATCTTTTTCCAAACTCGACTCGCTTGCATAACTTCGTATCAAAGAAGTCACGCTCTTTCGAATGAGCCTATGCTCAGGCTCGTAGAGTGACCGCCGGCCGAGCTACAAGCCTGTAAAGGGATACAAGTCATTGGTGAGATGCAGGCGAGATCCTGAGCACACTCTTCCAAGAGCCTTTTCCAGCAAGGAAACTCACTAGCAGTCAGATGCATAGAGAATAGTTAAGAGCATCCACTTTATCTGGAGAGCTTTGTTAGGTTTTTTTGCATCAGTTTTTTGGTGAAAAATTTGGTTTGGAAAGGGAAATTAAAAGTTGACTTCGAAAAAATGCAAAATAATAGCCTAGCTGGTGCTTTTTTGAGAAATAACCATAACCAGGTAATAGCCCTTGATGAGCTCCGTATGATAATATGCTTACTTGTTCGGTTTACTTGTGTTTTCGCTCAAAAAAGAGCTCAGAGGGAAATTTTTGCGTCCGAAGAATTGTTGTCCGCCACCTTGTGACGCAGCCAATTTTTGGGACTTTTTTGGTAAAACATTCCTTTTTTCTAACTTCTTTAACGAAGCAAGTAATCCGCAATAGACTGAAGTTATTTCTAACTTTTTTAAAATCCATGTTTTCCAAAAAGCGTAGTATGTGTGTTGTAGTTTTTGAGGAGCTCTATCATCTCGTGCAGTCTGATCATTTTTTGATCCTTGTTTTCCATCCGAAAACGAACAACGAAGAAGGCAGGTCGGCTTGTCCGCAACTATTTGGCGGTCAGTGTATGTTCGATTCTGCCCCAGGACCAACCAAGCACTCTACCCTCCGTGCCGGTAAATTGGTACCAGAGTGATCCAGGAGGATGAAAGCATGGCTTGATAACGGCTGTGCTCCGAAAGTCGCTGTAGTAGGTCCAATACTATTCGACATGTAGCAAGGTCCTCGGTGCATGCTCGCAAGGATAGAGAAGAGGCCGAGCACTTTATCCTTTATATCTTTTTATAGTGCGTCTAATGGGGCCAGCGCCGCTTACTGCAGCCACAAATCTACGCGCGCGCTACAGTGCTCGCAGCGCGTAGGGACCATGCTGCACAACATCGCAGGCCTTGTTTTTGTCATTGTATCTCGTAATTTCCCGTTTGTCTTGCAACGGATTGTCACTTTTTTTGCCCTCTATGTTCATATGCCTTGATACCGGATACGATTTTTTTGACAGCAAAGGAAGGAGGTATCAAATCTTAAAGGACGCGTCCGGGCAAAATCTCAAATGGAAATTTTTTCGCTTACCTGGGTTTATTCCTACCACTGATTCTGAAAATGCAGCTTGGAGGGCACGAAAACGCCTAAAACGGCATTTCTCAGAAGCTCTCGTTTTTAATTTTGTTGCCTACCGCCGCCAAGGTTAAGAGGCGGAGTCTTTGTGAGACCCTACGTCTTGACGGCGGTATGCGCACTGTGGCTTATCGAACTGAATCGTCCAGGTCGCTGAGGCGTTCCGGTCGCCACTTCTAAAACGGAATTTTCCGTTTCAGAAGCAAATTGGTGCATTGCCAGTTGGGCAAGAGGCCTATCAGGAGGCGCCCCTGTACTCTAAATTTTCGTCTCTGCCCGGACGCTGCCTTTGACCCTTTCGGACCTGGTGGTGGCGATTGCCACCATCAATTCAGAGACAAGCTGTATCGCTGCAAGAGAACCATTTTACTATTCATAGCTATAGAGCGCTTCATATAGCCTTTGTCTTCTAAATGCAGCTTTGAAATCGCATGTTCATTTGTTTTCCTGTCTGCAATATATTAGGTCGTTCCGGAAGTAATGTCGCTTTTTTCAAATGAACGCCACAATTCGTGGAACCAAGATTTTCAAGAGCTCTTGGGTTTATTCGATGCAGAATTTTGTCCTCTTTCTACTGGTTGTAATTTCATTGCATAACATTCAATGAGCTCTCAAAAAATTACCAAAACCTGCGACTCATGGTTTTTGTCACGGTCAAGTTCGGCTATTTTTCTAAACCTTTTGTACTGATTCCCCGAAGATGTACAAGTAACAGATAAATAGAACAAACCTTATAGGACACAAAACAATTTTTTTCTTTTCCTTAGTTTGCTTCTTAGAGTTTGTAGAACCAATTTTTCGATGCTGTCAAATTCCATATTTGGTCAACTCAGACCTCACAGAACAACAACCGGCAAGCAACTCGGGTGTCATTCAACGCAGCTTTTTCTCCCCTTTTTACCAGTTGTTTTTGGTTTCCGATTCATAAAGTTTCCCGGAAAAAATCATCATAATTCAGGTTTTCCAGGGTGCCCCAGGCTGTACCCAAAATTTCCGAAAGTTGCTAATCTGAAGCGGTAAATGCTCATATGCTTTGTAAAATTAGTGTTAAACCACAATCCACCTTTGTAAGTTTCAGAATCCGAAAGTTTATTGGTGTTTGATGCATATGTGTTTGAGACAAGCCTGCAAAAATTCGGTGACTTCATTGAAAAATCTCTGCAAAAATTATGACGTGATACGGAGAGCAGAAAAAAATGGCACCGTTCCCTATAGGGTTTGCTCTATCCATCCATTACTTGGACTCCTTCCGGGAATTATTACAAAAAATTAGAAAAATTGTGAAACTTGACCTTCCCAAAAAGCATGGGTTGAAGATTTTAGTAATTTTTCAAAAGCTCAACGAGTATTCTGCAGTTGAATCATAGCCTTTGGAAAGAGGATGAAGTGCTGCATCGAATGCTACCAAGATCTCCTAGAAATCTTGCTTCCACGAAATGTAGCATTCAATTGAAAAAAGCGACATTACTTTCGGAACGACCTAATATATATATTTCTGTACACAAGTGAATTGCAATCAATCAATACTTCTCGCCAGCTTCAGCACCGTTTCAGGATCTCGTTTATTGGCCAAAAAATAACCATAATATTGTCAGATTGTTCGAATACAATGTTGAAGAAGTGTAAGTACTGATTGTTCGCGGGTCCACATGTATCGAGGGAGTAGAAATCCAAAATAAACACAAAACCAAAAAATAAAAAAATCAAAAAAAACTAGTTTATGTGCTTGAAAAGAATTCAAACTTCGTCGTGAGGTTATTTATGTGGCAGTAAGTATAAAACAGTGGGAGTGGGCTCCTCTGCTCGAAAAAACTCAGGTCCAAAAGGGTTAAAGCGTTTTTCCTAATGACATCTCTCATTTCATCCAGACCTTCTTCGGATGGCTGATTCCGGATGTCTTGATTCATTACATCGACTCGTACGAATGTAATCATCTATCGTTTAGGTTTGAGTGAACAGACAGCGCGAGTGCTGTTCACTCGTTGTTCCCTCAACCTATACGATATACTATTAGACCTTATATGTTCATCTTTAGTTGTACGGAGGAAAAGCACCAGTCGTTTTCAGAATTCTTAGATAGAATGATTTAGATTACATTTTCTTTGGAAAGACCTCGAACCTCTCTTTTCTCTTCCATTATGAGATGATACTTTGGGAGATCTTATGAAGTAGAGAAGTAGAGTTTTAGACAGTTAAAGCTCAGAAATTCGGAGGCAGAATAGAGAATAAGCTAAGAAAGAAGCAGGAAGAGTAGCTTAGACAAGGACTACGCCGCTTTGCACGGCATGGTCTCCGCACGCTGCAGCTATGGTAGCGCTCGCGCGCATGTGTGTCTGCACTACACGGTGCTGGCCTAGTTAGATGCATTGTAAGTCTCTGCACCTCGGCTGGATACGTAACACTCGCCCTCGCGGAAGAACCAGTGTAATGGAATGAGCGTCATTTTTCTTGCTTCGCAGTGAGCGGTGGCTCAATTAAGGATCATTGCTATAAGAATAAAGCACTACAACCCACATTTCGCCCGGCACTGCCTATAGGGTGAACGTTTTTCTTTGAGATCCTCAGTTGTTCTTCCAAATTCTGAATAGTAAGACATATTGCCTGGAACCCAAGGTGCTACAAACCTCGGGATGAAGATGTGAGTCCTTGATAAGAAGGTTTGAGTCATTCTGGTTTTTCTTTGAAATCCTCAGTTGTTCTTCCATATTCTAAGAAATAAGATATAATGCTTGAAATCCAAAGTGCCACAAGCCTTGATAAGAAGTTTTGAATCGTTTTCGTTTTTCTTTGAGATCCTCAGTAGTTCTCCCAGACCCTGAATAGTAAGGCATAGGCATACTGCTTGAAACCCAAGGTGCTACAAACCTCGATATGAAGATGCGAGTCCTTGGTAAGAAGTCTTGATTCGTTCAAGTTTTTCTTTGAGATCTTCAGTTGTTGTTTCAGATTCTGAGAAATAAGATAAACTGCTTGAAACCTCAGGTGCTATGAACCTTGACAAGAAGTTTTGAGTCGTCCTCATTTTTCTTTGAGATCCTCAGTTGTTCTTTCAAATTCTGAGAAATAAGATAATCTGTTTACATCCCAAGGGCGTTACAAACCTTGACAAGAAGTTTTGAGTCGTTCTCGTTTTTCTTTGAGATCTTCAGTTGTTCTTCCAAATTCTGAACAGTAGGATATACCGTTTGAAACCTCAGGTGCTATGAACCTTGACAAGAAATTTTGAGTCGTCCTCATTTTTCTTTGAGATCCTCAGTTGTTCTTCCAGTTTCTGAGAAATAAGATAATCTGCTTAAATCCCAAGAGCGTTACAAACCTTGACAAGAAGTCTTGAGCTGTCCTCGTTATTCTTTAAGATCCTCAGTTGTTCTTCAAAATCCTGAAAATTACTACATACTGCTAGAAATCCAAGGTGTTACAAACCCGAATGCGTAGTACAGAATCGCTCTCCTTTTTCCGAAGAATCTTCACCTCTTCCTGCTCTCCACATAATTTTTCCATAAGTTCCTTCTGTAAATCAGTTGCTTCATCCAGCTGCCTGCAAGTACACTGTCTTCACTCTCTGTCACTCTAAGGTAAGTTGGACTAACTTTCTTTGGTTGTAAATCTGCACTCCAAACGAAGCAACATTTCCCAGTTCTAGTGCGAGCTAAAATTCGATGTGGAAAAGCTGGAGATGGTTGAATGAGCTTTGGGCTAGTATCGGAAGCAAGACTTAGACGCCATTACGTTCTATCCTTGCTGCGATGAGCCTAGCTAGAGCTTAAATGGCACTTGAAAAATGCGTGCAGTAACTCCGTCTTGTGCGTGCGTGAAAGAAGCAGCAGATAATAAGATACGAAAGTGCCTTGATCAGGGAGACGCTGATAGCGTCCGCATGATGCTATACTTGGGTCCAAATCGAATAGAAATTCGATCATTCGAATAAAACATTCGAATATACAGGGTGTTCCAAAAAATGTGAACACTGTTTGATTGTTAATAACTCCCTTGCTTTCATGTCCTTCGCCGAGCTTGAGGCACCATTCCATAGAGCGAGGTTTAACTTAGATTTACAGTATGGAGCGAATTGTCGGCCGCTCTTAATTACTGTAGGATTACGGTAGGAACTTGAACAAGGATTTTAGGCTATTGGAGGCCACATTCTGCCTCGGAACAAAACCAAACAAGCCCAAAACTCTTATACTATGATAATGGAAGCCGCTGATTTCGAATATGAAGTTTTCACTTTACTGTGATGCTTCTTTCCAAGGTTATCCCACGTAAACCGAAATAAGTGAATTTCCAGCATCTGTCAAAAATGTGAATACACCGTCAAAAAAGCTAAAAACACTCATAAAAGTTGTGTAATGAGATCAGCGTGCACGAAAACCCTAGCACACGATTTTTCAGATTCTTTGAAAAAACTTTTGTCAAATGGCATATCTCACTGTAGATCCACATGCTAGAAGTTCATACCGTAATCCTACAGTAATGAAAAGCGGACGGTGATTCGCTCCATACTACAAATCTAAGTTGAACCTCGCTCCACAGAATGGTTCCTCAAGCTCGGCGAGAGATGTGAAAGCAACGGAGTTATTAACGATCAAACAGTGTTCACATTTTTTTGGAACACCCTGTATTCGTATCCGAAATTCGATATTCGGAGTTCTTCCATTTTCGAATAATATTCCTCGAATAATTGAGAAAACGGGGTTTCGAATAAAATTCGAAAACTCGAATAATCAAAAAACGAGGATTCGAATAAAATTCGAAAACTCGAATAATCAAAAAACGGGGTTTCGAATAGATTTTATTCGAATGTTTTATTCGAATGTTTATTCGAATTTGTATTCGAATGAACTCCGTATTCAGATTATTCGACTTTGTTGCAGAGCCAACTGCTGAGTATCAAGCTCACTTCGTCCGCGTTATTTTTCGCAAAACTCGGTAATGCATCTTTTGCAACCGTTATGAACTTTGAACTGTATGGAGGGTCGCATTCTTCCGATTGCTTGACAGTAAAAAAACATATGTGGAGTTTAATTGATGCTTTTTCGATCAAAGAGATTGTTCGCACTGTTATTGTCACCAAATAAGCAAAGAAGCTATCGCATTCAGGCTCATGTTCCAAGCTCTATATTGAAAGTGTTTTTTTAATGCCTGTTCTTCTTTCTTTGCATTGCTCATGCTTGCGGTGCGCAAAGCCCACACTAGTGAGCACTCTTGCTCGCATAAATTATTGCAAAACTGCCTATTCGTTACCTTGGAGTTTTTGCGAATTGGTGTATTTTGAGTAAAGGACGTTGCAGTTATGGTGAAGGATTGAACGGTTTAGATCGCCGTACGCGATTTGCCAGTTACGAGATGTCTTCAAATGTAACGCCAGCTTACCACTTATGTTTAGCGTGTACAACTGACTAAAAAGATAAATGCCCTGCATTCTGTACTTTTAAAATAAGTTTTGGACAATTTGACGATTGCCAAACCACGTCGCCACTGAAATGCCTACGGTATGCCCGGGGCTATAGGGGCATTCGTGCTCGCTTCGCGGAATAAATCACATGCCTTCGTCCACGACTAGCTTATACCACACAAGACGAAAGTCTTTGATGAACAGGCAATGTATCGTAGCATTTGTGGCGTTGAAGTACATATGTGGCCACCGTTACTGCTTCAAATGTTCGCACACTTAGCGCTGTGAATCCGAACAACTCGTTAAATGAATACTTTATCGATTTTTGAAGAAGTTTGAGCTATGGGGCTGGGAGTTGGTACAAGGGGGTAAGTAGGGTGCTGACTATGAATTAAAACTTACTTTATTGATTTTGTCGATGTTTGAAAAATCTTGAGTTACGAGGTTGGGAGTTGGTACACGGGGGTAAATGAGGATGCTGATTGAAACCGAAATCTATTTTATCGATTTTAGCGACTTTTGGAAAATTTTGAGCTAGGAGTTGGTACAGGGGATAGAGAGTGCTAATTATGAATGGATCGGCTTTGGCCAGATAGGTCGGCAATTTTGAGATATGATTGCTCTAGTAATTCGATAAATCATTCGAATATTTATTCGAAATTCGACTTCCAGTGTTCGAATATATTCGATATTCATTCATTCGATATTTTTGATTTTCCGAATTTATTCGGAATTCATTCATTCGAGAAATTTTGAACCTCGAATTTATTCGATATTCGTTTATTCGCGATTTTTTACTTTCGAATTTATTCGATATTCGTTTATTCGAAATTTTTCCTCTTCGAATTTATTCGATATTCATTCATTCGGTGAAAAATTTTCGAATTACCCAAGTATAATGTATGCCTTCTCGGCGTGGGCTGTATTGCTCATACCTTGTCTACTACTTCTTTCTTATCGTTCTTGAGTTCTTGTAATTCTGCTTCAGCACGTGAGAGAGCAAACTCTGTCTCTCTGAGAGCTACCATAAGTACATCATTGTTTTGATCATCGCATTCGAGGAAGAGTCGACGTACTATCAAATCTTTGTTGATGGAAGCTCTACAACTTGGACAAGTGGGTGAATCCCTATGCTGAAAATAGAAAATGTCAGAAGGGTTGAGCGATGATTGAAATTTTACCTACCTCCAACCATCTTTGCATGCATTCCTCGTGGAAAACATGTCCACATTGCAAAGCTGTCATATTGGTCTTATCGAATACTTTCGTACAGATTACGCATTTGCAGCGAATCTCTTCTTCTTCCACCATCACAGAAAAACGATAATGAAACTATAAAAAAGCTTGATAATAATAATGAAACTGCCTGTGAACAAAAGTTCAAAAGGAACAAAGTGAAAGCATGAAAGTTAGACCTTCAAGTAAAATATGGATACGATACAACAGAGGCTGGCGTGAACAAATATCGAGGGGACACATACACAGACTGACATGAAGTAATGCCGAAGAAGAAACCAGCCGGCAAGCAATAAGACGGGAACTTAGTCATATTACCCGCAGAGTTCAAACTTATAAAAAAAGGGGGGCTGCTAAAACTGTAACCTTCTTGCACTTAGTAGCCACCTTTCGAAGACACTTCCGAAGGAGAAACGATGCTCACCCCTACGAAAACACGCTAGCCTTGTTGACAAGTCTTTACCCTACCAGCAGCAATCACTCGCCTCATTTTGCAACTTGTCAACATGTAAGGCAAACCCTTGGCATTTATTATGGAACCAGTGTGTCATCTCTGCTTGGCAGAGGCTCGCACTTGTCCCACTCTATATGCCTTATTCTCGCGTAATAGGCCTTCAAAACTCACCGCGCAATCGACTATCACGAATAAAATGTAAACAAGTATTCAAAAGCTTTTTCATGTAAGATCGGTGATTTCGCGTGGATGGAACTTTTTGCAGAAGAAAAAAATGCAAATTTGAATAAGTTTTTAGGCTTTTTTGGCTTGGTGGTCGTCACGAAGGCAACAGTTATTGTGAGCTACATCTCTATGCAAAAATCTTCTCAATTGCACGCAACCATTTCTTTTGGCGTCATTTTTGTAAAGTAGTAGAACTTTGGTCACTTTTTGGTCTAAAGTCCATGGCTTGCGCATCAAACACATCCTCGCCTTTGCAGAATGCGTTGATAGGGACCCAATTTTGCGGGCCAGAAGTCAAGTGGATCCGTCTGACGCGCAGATTCTGAGAGAAAGACCCAACAAATCCGTTCGTGTTTTTGCATGGTGGAGTTCTATGCTGGTAGCATGCGCTATGCAAAATTTGGGCTCAGGATGTTGGCTGGAACTCACTGTATGAAGTTCATTACAGACAGACATATACACACAAAAGTCACGTAAACACCCTTAAACCGATTATAAGTTACCAATGCTTCACCGCCTCTTCGCAGAGGCTCGCACTGGCTCCTCTGTCTAGGTGTCTTCCTCTTGCTCGCATGATGTTGACTCTGAAACTCATTATGCGATGCTGACCATCGTGAACGAATTGTGAACAACTACTCATTTCATGAGCTTTTCCATGTAGGAGCTGTAAATTTAGAAGAGAAAATTTTTGCGCGGAAGATTAAAAGAGAATTTCGGTTAGTTACTGCAGCTATTATGGTCGAGTAGTTTCCACAAAGGATAGTTACTTTCGTCATCTGCATTTCTGAGCAAAAATGTTCGCACATATGCAGATGAAATCTTGACGAAATTGATGATCTACGCAATTACTCCTTTTTGGCACTGAATTTGCGTGTAAATAGAGATTTTGCTCGCTTTTGGGTTTATATGGTGTACGCATTGGCTCGTTAACCAAATCAACAAATTCGCAAAAAGTACGGTCGTCGCATGGACCCAATTGACGCGCAGTTTTTAAAGGCTCTAATGATCACATCAGGTTGTGCTTTTGAACTGTTTACCTACATACTGATAAGGTGCTATGACCAAAGCTTCAGCGCAAGACCTCGCCTACACGCCCTATGAATATCGTGACAGACAGACATAAACACACACAGACAAACAGACAGACACGCACTTTATTATAAGTCATGATGATGATACATGCTATGTAAAAACTGACAGGCGAGCGATGAAGACCGCGGTCACAAAAAGCTTCCAGGCTCCCGTGAGAACATCGCGCTCCCTCTCGATCCGATTTTCTCTTTCCGTCGCCTTTCTCATTGCTTTGAAAGCTGAAGTACCAAAAAATCCTATTGCTTGAAACAGGAGGTTGAGTAATCTCTGACGAAGGCGGACGATGTTACTTGCAACATTTTGCGAACACAGCCGACTTCATCGCTATAGGACTCTGATCGTGAATTCTGCATCGGCTATGGCATCGCTCACGCAGACGCCACAAGGCCCTAAAACCCGAAACCATGCAAAAAACAACATTACTCCGCACCTCTTACGAGATCTCTTACTTCTCAGTTCTAAGTGATTGAAGCTAAATTTGACGGCAGGAAAGCGTTTGACAGAAACAAGATTGTGGTTCCTCGTGTTGCAGAGGCCGCAAACTCGCAACTAACAAACTCACAACTCACTCAATCACAAACTCTAAACTCACAACTCAAACTCACGCACATATTGCCTCAAACCTTTTGCTCGAAGCTTTCAAGTTTAAGACTCCAAAAAGGTCAGGGTGACATAACCCTAACGCAACAGTACGAAAAACGATTTGGATGGATACAGGACATATACCAGGGAAAAGCGCTACCAGTACCAATGTCGACGAGGTCTTCTGGCAGACTAAGCAATCGACTACTTCGCGGAACTATTGAGACACGCGTACCTCTTCGAACAGTGTTCGCAGAAAATCTAATATCTCACTTATACCGCATCCCTTCACCCTTCGGCCTTATTGTCAAAAGGATGAAGTAAACGCACATAGTACAAAGAGTGCTAAAAACACTTTACAGTAGTACATGCTATCCCATTTATGAATTTCAGAAGGTTCACCTCAGATTATGCGTCCCTGGAGATGAGTGGGTTCACACTTAGCTTGTTGATGCTGGCGAAGAGCGACGCAATGGAAGACAGTGGAATGGATAATATGTGAGAGCCGGGAAACAAAAACATCGGGAAAGACAAAGGATGAAGATGAGAAAGGCATAGGAGTAGATGGTTGCCATAATAATCGATACCAGGATGAAGATGACGCAACTGCTAGTTAGCGTGTGAGCAAGTGGTCCTGGGTAAAGTTTACCATACAGGAGAGCTCTGAATCCCCTGTCCCCAATGTAATGATCATCAGCGTTCGAAATGCGCAAAACGGTGAAAACGAAAAAAAGGAGACTAAGAAACTTCCGCAAAAAGGTTCCATAACGAAAAAGAGATGATAACCATAATCAGCGTAATTAGAACTGTCGTCAATGTCAAGAAAAATAAGCAATAATGCTACGTTTGCCAGTTGCAGTATTCTTTTCCTTGCAATTTCACTTCAGCACAAGCCACTATGCGAGTAAGTGATTCAGATGCAGCTGCGCTAGATGGTTTCAAAGGAGGGATCCAACTGGTGACTGGTCAGATGGCCTGTGGACAACTCGCAATCAGTATATCTGTATTCTCAACATCTCTTGTTTCCTTACAAGTTTTTGAGATAAGCGATATCCACTTTTACAAGTATTTATTCTTGAATCATTTACTGTTCACTTACTTATTAGACTAGTTTTTTTAATGTTATTATGTCAACTCTTTGATCGTCAATTTTTCGTTTACTTTGAGTAAAGTAAAGGTTTAGTCACCCAAGTTTGAGGTGCTGGTGTGTTGGTCTCGAGATACAAGCCCGCGTGGAAACTGTGCGTGTCAACAATCATTGGTATAGTGTGGACCCCGGGCAGCTTCCCATAGGTACCTGCGCGACGCACCCGCAACGCACGCCTTCAGTGCGTCTCCTGTGCTAGCTTCTGATGGAAATCCTCCTTTCTCTCCTTTTTTTTGTTTTTGGTGTACTGTATTCTCTCTATTTTAGGTATTAACAATTCGCGATGACCGGTGACGAGATTTCACGTGCTCTAATAGATCTGAGAGCTTCAGTCTTGTGGTAGTCTTGTGTTTTCCCTTTTCTATGAAAAATTGAGATTTGATTGGATATTAAGATAATATTCTTTCAAAAGCTCTTCTTGTATAAAATAAGAGTCCCTTTAGGTTTGATGTGTAAGGTGTAGACAGTGTCTCAAGTCAAAATTGAGCCTTCCGAGAAGCCAGTAGGCATTTTTTTTTACTGAAATGTCCACTTTTTTGAAATCGTTGACCACACTAGTTTCTAAGTCTACGAAGAGAAATGCTTTGAGAATGCTGCTATTCTTTAATTTCTTTACGTATACTTATTACAACCTATCCATCAGTACAATTTCGGAATATGCATCCATTGATTGAATTTGAGGTACTCATGGAGGTTGCCTGCGTTTCGATCTTGCATACGTCTCTTTCGAAGTGAACCTAGAGGTTTCCACTTTGCATTTTTCTCCTTTGTGAGCATAAATGTGCTCTACTGCTCATGAGTGAGGCAGGAGGCATTGAGAAAGGCGCGCGCTGCGTGCGCGCTGCGGGAGTACCTATGGGAAGCTGGCCGGGGTCCACACTATATTCGAAGCTTTATCGTCTAAATATCCCACTGCCACTAATTATTAGAATTCCTCTGGGGGTTTGAATTCCAATTTCGGAATCGCCACCCATGTGCCGTGTACCCACCGCAAAACGGAAAATAGTGCTACCGCACGGATGACGAATATAGAGAATAATATTAAGACAATGTAAAAACAACTAATTTCCTATGATTCAAAGAAAATGATAAGCGAGTGTAATGGAAGGGATGGATGACAGTCAAAAAATAAATAAATAAAAGCATTACCAAAACGAGATCGTGGCTACATGTCTAGACACATTCATACTCACCACAATCAGTTTGCTTTGGACAAGAAAAGTACCTCAAATCCTTCACATTTGCAACTATGGCAGTATGGAACCCCACAATAAAACTGACTTGGTGTCCCAAAAAAGACCTACAACAAGGTATTTACTTTGATATGGTTGTGGCAACGAGTAGAAGTCTTTACTGGGGGAAAACCGAAGAGCAACAAATGACAGTTTTTTTTGATACCAGTGAAAAATGTTGATTCATTGTCTCATTTGAGAAAAATTCGCAGTTGACTCAGGCGCTAAACGTAACAAACTGCGCTTTGAAATAACATGATTCACATCTTGGTATTTGTTGACAACTATTTCATCCCTAAAGAATTCGAAAATATCGTACAGATAAGCTTTCCAGAAAAACTAT